AGTCTTAATACTACCTATGATAATCTCTAATGATCATGAGTCGCACTCATACTTTGGTCTATTAATTTATCATGTACTTACAGGGTCTGATGCAATTTGCTTTCTGTAAAAAGTTATTTAAAGTAATCGATTTTGTTTTAGCAAAATACCAACGTTGCTTTGTGATATTATTATTTTTGGACTTCATGACCAAGCTTAAAAAAATTTCTAGTTTTCAAAAAGTTCTTCAAATGACCTTCAAAAAAACAGTCTGGGTGAACAGTTTTATTGTAAGGCGTGTGCGGCGAGACTAATGTGACCAATTTTTGCCAATTCTGAATTTTGGCTGTATGACATACACAGACCATTGGCCTTTCTTTTAAATATTCCGTTGAGAAGAGAAATGAGTTCTGGCCAACAGCTGCCAATAATTGAAGGAGCCAGCTCGTTGTAAAAGTCCATGAAGAGATCAACACGAGTAGTTTTGAGAAATCGTGAAAAGAAACCAACAAATTATCTGAATTGCCCTGTATTGACATACGAATTAAGGCAAGGCAATCTGTTCAAAAAGATTTGATAGATGTTTTTAAAATGCTGCGCCCTTTTTGTGTGGAAGATGGTTTTATAAATTCTGGATTCAGATGTTTAATTGAGCTTTGGTTGAGGGAAAAACATAAGAAAATTTATCAATTGGTCAACGACATTGGTCACGATAGTTGTGTATTCAAACAAAGAAAAAATTTAAAAGAAGGTATTTTTTTCTCAAATGAATGTCTTTTTGAATATAATTTGAGATCAGTCCGGTGAACCAATATCTGTATATCTCAATATAATTGAACACAAATGTTATTATTTACATCCTGAACAGATTAACCACTTTCCACTTGCAAATGCGCTTGTAGACGTTAATATAAACAAAAGAAAGCCATTTGCTGATGTAAAAAATGAAGATTTTTCTGATTATAAACAATCAAATAAAAAATTTGAATGGGTTGATTTTTAAATTATTACAAATGATGACTCTTTTATTTGCAATATGATATCATTAACAGCTCTAATCAGTGCGCTCGGTCCAGGGCTAGACTCCTTTCAGAAAGTTCTAGAATGTTCATGACCGTCTATTCATTTCCGTTTCCAACAAAACGTTGAGAGGATTGATAATATTGAATACAAAGGTTAAGATAGTCAACAATGCTATGAGGAGGTAATAATTAATTGAATACGATGGTTTAGATAATCTACAAGAGGATAAGAGGGGAAACAAATGATAGGGTGTAATGGAAAAGGCAATATAAATCAGAGTCATTTCGAATTCTGAACAATTGAGTCACATTTACGTTTAATTAACAACACTTGGTAGTGAGCTTATTTCGTGTCACATCAGTTTTTTTTCAACGGAACAATAGTCCAGTGAGTCCAGTATTTTCAAGTTCTCATCGTATAATAATTCAAAAGTAAGTTAATAAGTGATCTTTTCCTCATGAAGCTGCTTCAGATGATCTAATATGGTCTCATTTTATTTTTATACACAGTCACCTTACAAATCAACAACGTTGTGCCCGCTAGACGTGTGTGACCAAGTGCTTCAAAGACAATTGACTATTTTTTGGTAAGAAAAGCATTTTTTCGCCTCGTCTTGTGATGATTTCACTTTTTTGTTAAGATTCTTCAACTAAATCATTGTTGAATTATTTTTCAGCTTTTGACTAGTTTTTCTTTTTTTGTTGAATCAGTTTGAGCTTTCAATCCGTTTAATCTTATTAAGTCCTATCTGGACTGGTACCAACTCTTCGTAATTCATTATGGAAATTCTAGATGAACATGGCAATTCAGCTACTTTGTTGGTTTTCTTTTCACGATTTCTCAAAAACTACTTGACCGATAGGGTCAATATTTCGTCCGAGCGAGTTTGGCCGATACTCGATTGTCATATTTCAAGGTCAAGGTCATAAGATTATTCGTGAAAGAACGCATTTGAAGGTCATTTGAAGAACTTTTTGAAAACTAGAAATTTTTAAGCTTGGTCATGAAGTCCAAAAATAATAATATCACAAAGCAACGTTGGTATTTTGCTAAAACAAAATCGATTACTTTAAATAACTTTTTACAGAAAGCAAATTGCATCAGACCCTGTAAGTACATGATAAATTAATAGACCAAAGTATGAGTGCGACTCATGATCATTAGCGATTATCATAGGTAGTATTAGGACTGATATTTACACGAAAATTAATCAATTCACACTTGAAAAATTTTTATAGACATTTTCTTTCTCTATGGACATTACATGATAAATAGGGTTAATAGACCAAAGTATGAGTGCGACTCATGATCATTAGAGATTATCATAGGTAGTATTAGGACTGATATTTACATCGAAAATTAATCAATTCACACTTGGCGAAAAATTTTTATAGACATTTTCTTTCTCTATGGACATTACATGATAAATAGGGTTAATAGACCAAAGTATGAGTGCGACTCATGATCATTAGAGATTATCATAGGTAGTATTAGGACTGATATTTACATCGAAAATTAATCAATTCACACTTGGCGAAAAATTTTTATAGACATTTTCTTTCTCTATGGACATTACATGATAAATAGGGTTAATAGACCAAAGTATGAGTGCGACTCATGATCATTAGAGATTATCATAGGTAGTATTAGGACTGATATTTACACCGAAAATTAATCAATCACACTTGGCGAAAAATTTTATAGACATTTTCTCTATGGACATTACATGATAAATAGGGTTAATAGATCAAAGTATGAGTGCGACTCATGATCATTAGAGATTATCATAGGTAGTATTAAGACTGATATTTACATCGAAAATTAATCAATTCACACTTGGCGAAAAATTTTTATAGACATTTTCTTTCTCTATGGACATTACATGATAAATAGGGTTAATAGACCAAAGTATTAGTGCGACTCATGATCAATTCGATACAGTTCATTTCGCCTTGAACCTAAAGCTGTTTATAGGTGTAATGGTACTTGCGTTGACCTTAGCAAAAGATTTCGATAATTCTAGTAACGATAATGATTCGTAAAACTCTTGACCTTCGATGAAAAGCTTTATTATGTCTAGTATAGTGATGGTCAATACAGAGTTATAATCGGTGCAATTAATTGGCGAGTAATAATAGTTAAAAAGGATGGTAAAGTACCGTGAAAAGAAAATACTCTCAAGATAAATGTTGTCTCGATGAAACTGTTATCCTTGAGGCGGAAGTTTAGCGTAATAAAGGTTACGACTGGGTATGAGAAGTACAATATTTAAGTTCAAAAGCTATTCTTATGGCGAAGGATCGTAGGTTAAGGTTACTAGTTATGATGAGATATGATTATGAATAAAAAGGAAAAGGTATGCTAATATGGTTAAGAAGCAAATAAATTTCCAATGAAGGTGTCAATAATGGTAAAGGTTCGGATGGTAATAGATAAAGAGTTGATAAACGGTTATGGTCAAGATAAAGGATCGAAGGTGAAAGTCTAAGACTAAGTCGACCAGGTTAACTTAAGGTAATGGATCAATGGTACAAGTACAAGCATGCAAAGGTTATGAATAAGGTGAAGGATCAATTGGTACCAAAAAGGAAAAGGAAAAACAAGAATACTCAAAAGCCTAAGGCTTACCTTGAAGATGGTCCTGTTACGGGTCAGTCTGAGAGGGAGCTGAGCAGCAGCTTAGCAGCAAAGAAGGTTCTGGGAACACAAGTATGGTGGTAACAGCGAAACTGGGGGACACGAGATTGGAGGTGATGGTGGTGAACACCAAATATTTAAAATAAAACTTCTTAAAACCAAAACTTCTTAAGAGAAGTATAGCACAGAGAGAGAAAGAAAAACAACTAAGAGTTTATGTTGATGGTGACAATGTTGAGTTGTAACTGACTTCGCAACCCTCTGTCTTTCTCTCTTTCTCTTCTATAGCCAATTCGATCCATTGCGAAAGAGAAAAGACAGAGGTTTGACCCCCAAACAAAGAGAAAGAAACAGCCTCTTTATTAGGGCCCTAAAGTTAATTGGATGCGATCTTAAACTTTTCCTGCTTTTCCCTAGAGAGATGGTCATTTATAATGTCCACCTTTCCTGCTGCTTTCTTTCCCTCCTAAAAGTAATTTAGTTTTCCTGCTTAATGTAGAAATGGAAAAGTCATAAAGAAGTTAATTTCCCTGGAGAGAGGAGGAGTAAAGATACATACATTTACTTCTCCTCTCTTGTCAATGATAATCAAAATTAATAGGTTTTTGGGAGGAAAAACTCGCAAATAAAAATAATAACATTGGGGTGGAAATCTTCACCATACGCTTCTTACTTTAAAATGGTTAGGGTGAATAATAAGCCACAAATGCGACACTTCTAAAGTCGAATCGAAGACTAAATAAGGCACAATTCACCTTATTGTTTCCCTTTTTCACTTTAACGTTATGTTGAGGTGAGAAAAAATGTTATTTAGAGCACGTTTTCAACTAAATAATCACTATTTTAAACAATAACGCTCATCTTACCAAAAATCTCTATTCGTGAACTTGCCTCAGGATCTAGTGTAGCAGTTTCAACCATGCATCATGTTGTTACTGACCTTTTAGGAATGAAAAAGTTGACCCCAGGTAATGTCCCTCATAGTTTGAATTCAGCTCAAAAAAACAAAGAAAAGAGTTCAATGAACAATGTTTAAGATGTTTGAGATGTATTGCCGCCAAAGGCGATTACTTTCAATAAAAACTTTCTAACTTGTTTTTAACATGGTTAGGATATCGCCTTATCGAACACCCTAATACATTCGAATGGCAATCGAATTTTACTTCAAATTTCAGTTGATCGACAATCAACTTACTATACAAACCCTTGTTTGTCTGGGATACAACGGCTTAGATTGATATTCAAAAGTTAAGAATCTTATCTATAAAAATGAAATGGGAAATAATTAGGTGTTACAAAATTGATACAATTAAATACGAACCATAACCAATGAACAATGAAAATTTAATACTACTAGTTGGTTCAATTTTCGATTTGTTTAATTTCAATAATTTCATTTCATTAACATTAAAACGATTTTTCTATTACAATTAATCATTTTTTATACTTTTTCTTGAGTTTGAATCCATTGATTTTTTTACATTAATTGTTCCATTTTACATCTCAGTCTATTTACAACTTTATGGGCATATAAACATGATTAAAGAGGGCAATTGAAATACGAAATAATTAGAATAGTTTACAAGGATGAAATAGTTTTAGATCTCTTTCTCGTTAGATGATTAACTGATTGTTTCTCGGTGTTTGTGAGCAGTTTCGGTGTTTATCCATGCGTCGGTCAATTGTCTGAACACTGAAAGATAATATTCACGGCAATCAGTTTGTAGAGAGATAGTTTCATTTAAAAAGTAACGGCAAAACCAATAAGCCCAACGAAAGGTAATCAAAAGTTGGATGAAAATTTCGTTGATGAAAAATCAATAGGAAAAAGAGACTAGGAGAGAGAAAGAGAGTGAAAAGATTTTATTTTTGGATAGTTGTTATCTGGTCATTGGATTGATTGGTCATCATCTTGAGCTTGGCAATGATTCATTTTTAGATGCCGAGATGACCCTGAACATTATTGCCGAAAGGACTTTATCAAGTGGGTCCATTGCTCCTCGTTGTATCCATTTCGGGATTGTGGTTCGAGCTTGGGCAAAACCGAGTCTTTGAAGGATATAATCAACTCCATATGGTTCGAGGTTTTTACCGGCCCATGTAATTAGCCTAAGAGTAAATCGAGAGATATAATAGTTTAAATATTATGTAACAATCGAAAAGTTTGATTAAATCACTTACCTAACTGTTGGCTCCAAATGCCAAGTTTGACATTGAAAGTCACGAAAATCTCGTTCGTAAATAATTGATTGTGCTGATGAAGATCCAGCAGAGGCTTCAGATGACATTGGTGTATCTTTATTGTCGTTGGAGGATAAATTGGACTTATTGTCCATCAATTGTTCAGGTTTATCGATTAACTGTGCTCCAGTTGAGCTTCGAGTAAAGTAAATCTGTTTCTCTTTGAAATAGCTGGTAATCAATTCGTGGAGGAAAAAGTAAGCCTCTGCATCAACGGCGACGAAAATGTGGTCATCAAAATCGGTGACAAAAGTACAATCAACCTTTGGCTTTGGATCTATTGCCAATGGTGGCCTGATACCTTGAAGATGTTCAGTTTTCAGATCCATTTGGAAACTGGGCAGAGCGAAAATGACCTCCTTAGAGTGATGACATTCATTACTTTTCGGGTTAACGGAGAATCGTCGAGAATGAAATTCCCCTGATGCAGCTGAAGCAGCGGAACCAAAACCATCACCAGATCGTTCAAATTCAATAACTGGGAACCGATTAATTTGATCTAATTCTGAGCCAGCGAAAGTGTACTGAAACCATTCATGGAGAGATTTAAATTGCGGTGGGAACATAACGGTTCGTGAAATTTTACAAACAGTGGCCATGTTGGAATGTTGAGCGTGAAAACAATCAACCGAAAAAGTGGCCTCATCAACATCTCGACGACGATCGCGGCGACCAAGAGAGAAGGTAAAATTTTGAATTATATGAGTGTCCGATGAACCTGTCTCATTGTTGACCACATCTTGAGCTTCCGATGCAAAGGAAATTGATGGTTTCAACATGGAGAAAAGTCCCCATGACTTGGAACGAAATTGATTCCATAAAACAGGCCAATGAAATATTGTTCCCAATAAGTTCAAAGGTACCACCAAGAATAGTTCCCTTGGTGGGCAGAGGATTACAAAGGGTGGATAGAGATGCACCCGATACAAGACGCAAAACTTTCTGCCAATGACGATGATGACGATAAATCTCATTACTCGGTGAACCAGAATCAACTAAACCCGAACCACTGGATGTTGATGTTGGTGTAGAGGGTTTAACTATGCCCGATCCTCTGGTACTTTTATCCTTCTTGAATGAATTCCTATTAGTTGAAGAGGAAGAGGTAACACCGGAAGAGGAAAAAACCCTTTTCGAATTGTGAAATTGTTGACTGAAAAACTCTTCAAGCTTAGCGATGATCTTCATAATATCAGGAGTCGTTGATTTGGACATTAACAATTGTAATTGATCCCAGGCCAGATTACAATGGATAAAAATACAAGCAGGTCGTTTGGTTGGGTGATTAGAACCACTGTTGGCACCAGCATCGATCCTCCATTCATCTCGAAGTGTTAAATCAAGATCAGACATTCGCAACATTAAGATTGATGTTCCATATAATCAAGACGCTTCTCAAGTGCATCTAATTTCAATGTGATCATATGATCTGGTTCTTTGCCATAATTTTCCTTAATATTTACTTTCGTTTGAATTTGGGAAATTTCAAAAATACCACCGATAATACCACCCTTGGCATCCAAGGAGGAACCATCCAAACCCAGACTAACATTGACACTTTTATGACCATTTGAGTCGATCGACACTCTTCCCTCTGAACGGAAACCTCGAGTCAACCAACTAGTATTACCCATAACATTGGCCATGTTCATGTGAACATTAAGTTTACAAAGGTTAACACCGAAAAGAATCAAAGTTTTCCAAGGTGCATTCATGATCTGTCGTTGTTGTTGATTTGTACCTTCCGATGAGACTGATGAGTGCAAGTGAGAGTGTTTAATGCGATGGGATGAACTTGCATGTTGAGAACGATGAACATCAGTATCTTGAATATTTAACCATAATGAATCTCTACCTCGACTATTTGGAGATTTATTAAAATGACCTGAGGTTTTGATGGACGAAGTTGGTAAACCTGATTCATTAATACTCGTTGATGAACTTGATGTTGATGGTGAGGAAGATGAAGATGAAGATAAATTGTAATCTTGATCGGAGAAAATTGAATGACCAGAGATTCCTTGGTCACCCAAAAACATACGCTTCCAAATGGCCTTTCGATACCAGGCTTTTGGGAAAGCCAAAGTTTCCGTCGACAAATATTTCATTTAAACGAAGCCTAACCAACGCCATCTCTCGCCATTCAATGAAACCATTCATTCAGCTTCTTTTCGCTCTTTGCTTGGGCTTAAGCGGAAGGTCAAAGCCTCAGCCGATCATCAAACTGAACGAGAATTAGCTGACACGCCTCTTCTCCTTCATTACCTTTATTTTGCTTTTTTTTGTTAAATGAAATTATTTGTTTTCATTTTTTTTATCATCTCAGTCCCTTGGAATTGAAAAAATAGACAACAACAATTAACCAATTTTAATTTACTTTTGGTTATGAGTGAGAAAAAGTACCATTGCCCGGTGGAGGGCTGTTCTTTTCAGAGCAAAGGTAAACACTTTAAGCGCAAAATGTCCATTGATCAGGTAAGGTGGTTAAACCTTTTTCTTTTTTTTTGTTCTATTCTCTCACCTTTAATCAATATTATTTCTCTTCTATTTATATTGTCTTTATTTATTGAACATCGATGTTCTAACATTGGAACATAATTAAACTCGACAGCATTTCCTCAACTGTCACTCTGAGCGAAAGTACAAATGCTTCAATTGTGACAAAAGCTACGCTATCGATTGGCAGTTAAAGTATCACCTTAAAACCTGTGGTCTAATCTGGAAGTGCCTAACATGTGACAAATTTTACAAAGAAAGATTGTCTCTGATTACCCACTGTACTCGGCACTCTCATGTTTTACCTGATGAAGCTCGTCGTCGTAAAACGAAAAGTAAAAAGGAAGATAAATCAAGCAGTAGTACCAACAACAGTCACAGTGGTGGAAGTAGTAAAGATACACAAGTGATGATTCTTCCCGTTATGATGCCAACCGCTCAGACAACTGGAAACAATAGCAGCCATAACAACCAAACCTCAAGCTCATCATCATCTCGACATCACCATCAGTCAACTACTTCGTCTTCTTCGTCCTCTTCAAGCTCATCCTCGCGACACCATCATCATCATCATCATCAATCTCCTCATCAAGCACCCAAACAGTTACAACAACCCAATCCTAATCGGGCTCACCACCATCATCCTCCTCAACATCTTCCCAAGCCTCCATTTCAAAATCCAATTGCACCACCAACAGTTGATTATCATCAATTAAATCAAAGGATCAATATAGCAGAACTGTATGCAAATTTACCGCAAATGATGGATCCAAATTCGGGTTATATGAGAGATACTAGTGGACAGTCCGATGTTGAACATTTGAAACACGGTTTACATCATTTTGCTCCACCTCGAGCTCACCTTTGGTCAACTTCTGATTGTTAAAACTTTCTCTTTTTCTCTCTCCCGTTTCGGAAGCTTTTACCCTCGGCTTAATATGATTCTGTCATTTCTTACACATACAAAACCCAAAACTCAATCAACAATTTATAATATTTACACTAAAGCAAAACTCCTGTTTTACAATTGAAATAACATCCTAAGGCATCATTAATGCAACAACAATCAAGATGTTAATGAGAAAAAGTTCAATTCACCAATTTATTAATTTGGTGATGAGTGAAAACACAGAAAAGTTATTCTTTTGGCTCCTTCTCATCTCATCTCTTCCCTCTTTTATCTCATCTAATAAGCAAGAAAAACAATATAACCATCGATGTGTTCACCGTGCATTCATTATAACAATATCAAAATCCACTACAACACAACAATAATAATATCGATAAAGTGAAATACTCGTGAAAAGATCACGGATACACATCTAAATAATTATGCATTTCTCTCTCTCTCTCTCTCTATGCTACCTTTACTTTCTCTCACCTACAAAAAATACTAGCAATTGTAATTGTTATCCCAAAAGAAGTCAAAATGATTCAACTCTGGAGTTACAAAATTTTTCACATATTCCCCTCGATGTCACAGGAAAATCAACTTATGTTCTGTAAATCATCAAATGTAATCATCAATTAACTTTGATAACTGTTGACTTCAACTCTCTCTCTCTCTCTCCCTCTCCCTGCTTTAGTCCAGTGGTTAGCCCCGAGGGCAAGCCTTATCATTGGTCTTGCCAACTTTGCGACTCCACATTTGACTCCTGACAAGGGCGAGTACCAGTGCTTTGATCCTACATCGGGCAAAGAGAAACCTCTAACGTAGGACTAGGCTCCTACGAATAACCCCTTGACCCCTTTATCCCTTCCCACAAGCCCGTAAATCTATATAAAGCCGATCGAGTACGTCGGCTAAAATAGACGGGGTGAGGTGCAAACTAACCCTCTGAGACTCCCCTGGTGGGATCCCTTGAACTAAGAAACTATCTCTCTCTCTCTCTTCTCCCTTTCTCTCTCCTCTCTTTCTCTTTACATTCACTCATCATCTTACTAATCTTCCACCTTCCATCCTCCTTGTCCTCCTCTCTTCCAACCGCTTCCTCTATTTTAATTACTAATAAAATCCATCAAACAAAAAACATTTGTGACAAAAATATCAAGAAACAAAATAACATCCAATAATTATTGTTCCCGAGACAATATATTGAAATTATTGTAATTGATTTTATTTCATTGACTGATCTCTGGGTCTAACTTTTCATTGTAAATTGAAAACTTTACACTCGAAGAAACAAAAAATGATTAAGTAAATACATTAATAAAAAAAAAAAAACTAGAACATTTTATTCATTTCTCATAAATATTATTAATTCTTAATTGTTATCGAAATTAAATCCATTTGTAAGACTAGAAGAGATAAAGAAATTTTTTAATTGCAATGAAACGGAAGAAAACAAGAAACAATCAACTAATCATTACACTTGTCAAACTATTTAATAATTATAATTTACAGGGTAAGTGAAACATTAATTAACTATTGATTGATTTATAAACAATAACAATTAAATTGTAGGTGGTTGAGTGGTCTTGGTGTCTAATTAATGGTGAACTTGAACTTTGAAGTTGATTGTGAATGAAATCAAGTTAAAGGTGACATTTGGTGACACAATTTGAAAATATTTATAAATAATTAACTAATTGATTCTTTTTGATTGGAATATCAATAAAATACAATTTCCTTTGGACTTTTTTCGCTTTGGTTATTGTTGAGTAAATGAAAAGAAAGAGAAATATCAACTCATTGATAGTTCTAAATGCTAATTAGATTAATTAAGGTTCTGATTAATAATTCGATTTCTATTGTGGGGACATGATTCCTTTACATCGCTTTAATGTATCGGTCGGAGCGTGTTCAGTTCGACGGAGAAGTTTTCGAAAATCGAATGGAAATTCCTCTGATACTGAAGCTTTTCTCATACTTCCATCGCTTTTATTGGTTCCCGTTGATGCGGGTTTGAGTATTTACGAAATTGATATGGACCTTGATCTGATGCTGACCCCGTTTCTGGTGATATGTTATAAGGTTGACCACCGCCACATCGCTGGAACCAACTTTCCACCTCGACCAAAACTTTCTTACCATTTCCAGGTCTCATTTTATCCGATGAAACCGCTGCCGATGAAGATGGCGAACAACTGATCGAGTGATCTTTAGACGGACTCAAGCCCATCCTGTTATCGGCCGTTGGTGTTGTTTCACCAGGACTACAAATAGCATTTGATTTGGACAATTTATTACGATTATGACCATTAACTTTACTCTCTCCTGTGTATATGAAACAAACAAAAGGAAACATTTTAGCATTAGAAACATTTGATTGTCATAAATTAAATTGAATTAATCAACTAATTACCCAATACATCACCGGTTGTTTGTTTAACTAAATCCCACCATTTACTGGAAATTAAATTTTCTTTTTCATGATTTTCCAACCTTGATTGTAACATGTAATCTTCACTTAAATATTTACCCACTGAGATTACCTGAGCCTGTGGCTGATGGAAACTGAAAATAAACGAGAAGCGGAAAAAAAATTAGTTAATTGTTAATACGAAAAAAATCAAAGATCCAATTTAAAATCTAAATCTAAATCATGGGTGAGGAAAGACAATTAGTTTTGATTGATTTACTTTCTCTCAAGATTTCTTAATGGTGCATCCCAAGGATCATCCAAAGTGTAGGGTACACTTTAAATTGTTAGTTAATTGTTATTGGTAAGCATTGCAATGAATAAAGGAAAGAAAATTAATATTTTCATTTGATTATTTAAACTTTTTTTTTGTTCTATCAACAATCAATCGATAAACTTACTTATAATCAATTCCTAGTTTAGATGTTGCCATAAGGAAATGAGATGGATATTGATCATTATGATCAGTTGATTGTTGTTTAGATTGAAATTGATGAATTAAATGATGATGGACAGGTGAACACTTGTCATTGTTGTTGTACTGTTGTTGTTGTTGTTTGGGTGGGGATGATGATTTATCATTGACTCGATTGTTAAAATTGAGACACTGAGGGCGGGAAGAGTGGATTTGATTATTAATATTTTGATCTCTAGACCAGATTTGATTACTATTGTAATTGTTATTATTGTTGTTGTTGATATTTTGCTTATTATTATTATTTAATCCAGGGGATGCTTGATACATTTTCATCCGATCGGCAACAAAATGATTTCCCTTTCCAGCTAATTGTTGTTGTTGTTGTAACAATTGTTTCTGTTGCTGGTAATATAAATGTTGCTGTTGATGATGAAGATGAAGATGATGACCATGGTGACGACCAACTTCAAATACTTGTCGTTGATGAGGAGGGACAATCGGTGCAGGAATAACTCGACGATGTTCATCTAGATGAGGTTTCACCTTTTTCCTCGTTAAATAACCTCTTACACCTAAAAGGATGAGAAGGAAAAATCAGAAAAAAAATTATAAGTATATTTTTCTCATAATAAGGTCACAGTAGTCTTACATTTCTGGATTAAAATGGCCGCTTTTTCGGGCGATTGCCAATATGGACAACGTCCATTTCTTTGTTGCTGTTGTTGGTAAACTAAGGGTGAAGATGATGAGACTGAGGAAGATGAGGAAGAGATTATCATCATATTTTGAACTTCATGAGGTCGAGCTCGTTTCGCTTGGTTCGGTGTTGATGTTGGACTAACAGATGAAGTGTCCTCTCTTTTTGAGTAATCACCGTTGTAATCATATTGAGTTCGGGGACTTGTTTTGGCTTCCATCATACGTTTACGTGCTAACCAACCGCGAGCATATTTTTGCATTATCAATATGGATCGGGCGACATTCCATCGCTCCTTTTCCGCTCGTTTTTAGCTAACCAACGACGGGCGAAAGCTTGTACTCTGATAATTTTTTGGATAACTTCATCATAGACACGAGATAAGTATTCAATATGATAATATTTGAGAAAAACTTTTGTTTTTCCAAGTGCCCAACCATCAAGACCTAAACGAATCAATAGTAAACGACAAGTTTCCCGATCGGCGACCACTTTTTCCTCAAAAGAGAAAACAATAAAACTATATCGACGAAGAAACTCAGCGAATGGTATTCGATGAGAAAAGCCCATCTGACGAATTTTAATTGTCTCCATAATTCCAGTGTAGGCCAATTGCTCGGCGATTTTCTCATGGCTCAAAGTCATCGCAAGTTTTGAATCGTTTGGTTTAATACAACGGACAAAATGAGGAGCACCATTGGTCAGTTTATGAAGTAAATCCATTAATGAGAAACGGAAATAAGTGGCCACAGTTTGTTGGGTTCGTGTTTGACTAACCAAACCATTTCTATCATGATCGAAACCATTTTTACCTAAACCAATTGGAGTTACTGGACTAGTAACTCCATCCAATTTGGTTGGAGCATCAATCGATGAACCCGAATCGGGTTCAGCTCCAATGTAAAGGTGACCTGTTTTGGTTAACGGAAAGGCAAATAGAGCCTTAACAATAGGCACAGACGATTGGCGGAGTAATTGAATAACCTCTAGTGGCACATAATTACGATTTTTTTCCAAGAAATTTCTTGCCTCATAAGTTACCTGATAAACAGAAAAAGTTAAACAATTAATAAACAATTTCTGATTCTCTACGATAAAAAAGGCCAAGGTCACACACAGATACGAAAACGATATAATTACCTTTCCAGCGTAATGCATGACAGTAAATTGTAGTGCATTTGACTTAGGTTTCAAGTAGAAGGAACTTTTTATATTGGAATGAAATTTCTCGATTAACGAGGCATCAGTAGCATTCGGAAAATGTGTCTCTTCATCAAGTAGAACCAGCATTCCAAGAGGACGACCAAGAAACATGTCCAAAACGGGCTTATTATCGTTGAATTCAATAAGTTCAACGTTGATTCCTTCTGAAATATATTCTTGTTGCTCCCAACGGAAAATGTGTTGATTGAAATAATATTGCATTTGCTCATTGGCGATGTTAATACAAAGTTGTTCAAAAGAATTGGTTCTAAAGTTTTCGAATCCAAAAATGTCCAATAAACCGACAGCCAAAGGTTCACCACTATGTTAACAAGAGGAACAATTAACAAATGGTGTAAAATTAACTCAATAATAAGTTAATTGTAGTACTTACTAGACCATTCGGCCTGGTGCAAGAAGACGATTAATTTGATTAACTATCCAATCAAAAAGTCGACCATAAATCGCTTTGGCCATGGCATCTCTAGTTGTTTCAGCCTCTTGAACGGAATGGTTTTTAATTATACTCTCACCACGAGTAACAACAGTGTTACGGGTTAAAGCGGCCACCAGGCTGTTGGCATCAATACGTAAAAGCTGACCCACAATTGGAATGATACTTGGATTGGTCAATTTACATTTATTTGAATTGTGAGTCTCTTCAGCTTCTTCAAATCTAATGTCACCCAAGTGAAGTATGGCCGCTAAAATGGCAATAATTGAATCAGTGTCCTGAATCCACACCATGGAAACCATAATAATAATAGTAAAGAATAATAATAATAATAATAAAAAGGAAGAAAAAAGAAAAAAGAAAAAAAAATATAATATTTCATGAAAATCACCATGAAAAACAAGATAATTGCTTCTGGTTATCAAAGTTTAATCACTTTGAATTACAATCAAACTTTTTGTGTTTTCCCTCAAAAAAACAAGTAACTTTTTGTTACTTAATCAGTAATGATAATGATAATAATTCTGGTTATGTAAGAAAAGGGTAATAAGCATTGGTGAAGAAGATGATAATAATTTAACCATGATTATCAATTGTAGTTAACTCACTCTCTAACCATGATTAACCATCCAAATCCCAGTTTACCGTTTCTACTGTGATTATATCATAAGCCTAATGATTATTTCTCCATCTAATTTAGCTATCGTTTCTCTCACCTTAACTCATATAAAACAATTCCAATTAAATTAAACATGTAAATTGTTGCTCCCTAGTTTGATTATACGATAAAATATAAAATTTTACCTTTGAACGAAATCCAAGAAGTTGAAAACTTTGTTTGACCGCTCGAAATGCGGTCACATTTTTTACTATACTTTCGGGATCATGTTGATTACCACCAAGGAAACGATGAGATCGACAATCGGTGTGAACATGAAGAAAGTAATCACTGATTCGACCCTCTTCAGCTAAACCATCGTACATATAATAAAAAATATGATAATTACGTTCACCACTGTGATGAGAGGGAAGAGAAAAAATAATAATAACATTATCAAAAAATTACCCAATTATTTGTTACTTGGTTATGGTGTAAACAGAAAATGATCAACCATGATTGAGAGATAATTGTTCAGAAAAAGGTTATGTGTAATTGTCTTGAAACAACAACAACAACAAAATAAAAGGGTTGATGGTTAGGGTGCTGATGATAATGATGGTGATGATGATGATGATGATAATGTGAGTTGATTGAGTGTTAGAACTTTTTTTTTGACTCTTCAACAGGAAAAAGTGGTTAAATTGTGTTGAACTTACTTCTGTTGCCAAACTACTCTTGATCGTTCCAACAGGTAAACATATAATTTGGCACCGGTAACTTTACCAGTTTTGGTAAATGTAACATCTAAAAATTTACCAAATCGACTTGAATTGTCATTGATTCCTGTCTTTGCATTTCCAAATGCTTCCATGATTCGGTTAATTTCAAGAATTTTATCTTCAAGGTTACGATTAAGTGCTTTACCCAGAAACACTAAATGTTTCAATAAAAAGTTTGCTGATTCCGTTTTACCCGCTCCACTTTCACCTGAAATAACAATACACTGATTACGACGATGATGTAACATTTGATGATAAGCAGAATCGGCTAATGCATAGACATGAGGTGGATTCTCGTTCTTGGCCTTATTACGATACATTAATGAATGCTAAAGAAAATTGCAGAATATAAAAAAAAAGGTAATTAGTTTTGATTTGATTTGATTTTCTCTTTGAGCTATTGAAATTATTACCTTTTCATCATAAATTCCCAATGGTCGGAACGGATTTACGGCTACAAGTATATCACCAATGTAGGTATATATTTGACCTTCTTTGAACCTTTCGAACAGGTGATTTATTACAATTTCTTGGTTTAAATTTTCCAATGAGGCAAGATCATCGTGGACAATGGCCAGTGGTTCAGATCGACGGTCAACCTTTAATTTACCATGTTTAGTTGTAACCTCAGGGATACGTTTAGGATAACCACAGCCACGAACTTTCAACATTAAGTTTTTCAATTCCATTGCCAACTTAATTGTTCAGAAAAAGAAAAGTAAAATAATAATAATTAGAATCTCTTTTTTGCCTAAATTGGTTCATGTTAATCATTATTCTTACCTCATCATGTTTACAATCAACTTGCTTAATAAAAGGGTGAAGTAAAAGCTCACAAATTTGAGGTCGTTGTTCATAGTCTTTGATAAGGCATCTGTAAATAATTAATAATAGATAACAATTAGTGTCAAATGATAATTGTTATTGTGAAATATTAGTCTTAATTGTTGAGGTATAAGAAGGTAGAAAGCATATTATTCAATGGAAAACGTATTATGTAAAATGAGATGTAAATTGTTAACGATGAAATTATTTTTCAAATGAGCAACAATAAAAAGATGATGATGATGAGGATAATGTTGTAATCATGAAAGCGTATCAGGTTAAAGGACAGTAGACTGTGTAAGATTAGTTGGGTGTGGATGAGAATTTAAATTCTCAATTATTCTGAGGTACCTTGAATAACCTTTCACTGTATTCACACAACAGTTTCATTGTTGACTAACCTTTCATTCAACAGAAATACTTGTCCGGTTGGTTGTATTTGGAGAGGGGAAACAGAGTGAAACTTGGTGACTATAACATGATAATCAATGAGGAGGAGGAGGTGGAGGTGATGGTGGATGTGTAAGAGAGAGAGAGAGAAGGGTGAAAAAGATCTGATAATACAGGCTGTTATTTTGGCTTCAGGGTAAATGAATCATTGTGATAATTATGGGAGGATGCTAATGGCTAGTTTAAGATGGACATTCTCACTCACTCATCTTATGAGATTAAAAAAGATACTCTAATTATTATGTAATCAAAAGATGGACAGAAATAAAATACGGAAAAGAAAAGAGGAAATCAGGTAACTGGGTAAATTATTATCTATTCTTGTGAAGGTCAGTTAATTGTTGACTTGGATTGTAAATGTTAACACAATAAGTTAATTGTTGTTGTTAAATATAAAGTGACAGTCAAAATTGATGAAACATTAATTGTCATATAATTGGCATGTGTATATATCATTAATTTATTGTTGTTATCAATCACTTACTCGGCTATGAAATCGTTGAAATTTTCAGTCCAACAAGAGGGTTTCTTTAACTTTGGCGGTGGGTTTCTGGTGAGAGAGAGTGATGAATGATTAGTGATTTATGAGATTTCAATTGTTGGTAATTAAAATTTACCTTGGAATATGAAATAAAGCTCTCATCGGGTGTAGTTGAGCTAACGGAGGTTCACCATCGGCTAATTCAATGGCCGTTATTCCGAGTGACCAAACGTCACAGCGAACATCATAAGCGTATTCTAATTGTCGTTCACATGCAATCACTTCCGGTGCCATCCAATATGGTGTACCAACTGAGGTGTTCCGTTTACCTTGACTATTATTCAGGTGAGATGAGACTCCTACCATGAGTGGACAATGGAAAAATGGACACAAACAAATTGGTTAGATCAAAATTTACTTCGATATCGAATCTGAACATTTTCGGTCAAATTGCTAACAAAGTTTCGTCTTTTTCAATGTAACTCAAGTTAATTGCCAACTTACCGAAATCAATTAACTTAATCACACCTTCCTCGGTTAATAATATATTGTGACCTTTAACATCTCGGTGCATGATGTGACTCTGATGAAGATAACTCAATGCCTGTAATTAAAATTAGATTTGATTAGTGATTAAAGTGAAGGAAATTAATTGGATGTTGTATTAGTTAATCAACTTTTTCCGGTTTTTTAATTGTTTCAAATATTATCATCTAACTGTTGATTATATTGTTTAGGATTTTAGATGATGATGATGAATTAAACTTGTACGTGATTCAAATTCATTGAGTAAATTGTGTTAATTGTAATAAAATGATAACCAAGTTAATTGTTGTTCTTTCATCGTAAACAATTAACTGTACTATTTAAATTTAATTGGATAAGTTCAATTTTTTTTCAATGAGGGGCTTGTGAATTTTAATTAGCTAATAGCATGATTAGTTAACAGTTAATTAATTTACTTTGAGATGATTATTAGCAATTGTTAAACTAACCTAGAGAAAAGTGATTATCGTTCAAATTAAAACAATCAACAATTGAAAAAGTTACATTCTAATCAAAGTAAATTGTTACCATTAAGGTTGATTAACAAGTAATCACTACAATTAGCTATGCTAACTCATCATTAACTAATTAAACTGAATTAACTTTAACTTAATCATTTGATTGTTTTTCAAACAATTTGTCTGATTGTGAAGTAAGATAATAGATTGTCTGGTTGATTAGCTATAAATAGTAATCAACTGTAATTTAATTGTCAACAATCAGTAATTAGAAAAATTGTAATCAATTCAATTGAAGATTTGGTGGTTATAGTGTAAATCAGATTTACGATAATCAATCAATCAATTTCTCCAATTTTCTATTGTACAGTTGAATAGGGAAGAAAGAGAGGAGAGATAATTATTCAATATCAATCTTAATTGTTGTCAAGTTAACGGTTAGTTAATCTTTTTATTGTAACAATTAACATTATCATCGGCATGACAATATTCAAGTAACAGTTAAGAAACAAAAGGTTTCAACCTTAACCTAACTAAAGACAATTGTACTGATTAAATATAATTTAGATTAGTAATTTGAGATTACAATTGAATTTAGGATAAATCAGCAATAAATCAATAACAATTAGTTAGAAAATAAGTATTTCTCATTTCACAATTAAACGTATTTATAAATATATTTATATAAATTTGAATCAAATTGTAACAAAATTTAAAACTATCGAGTAACAATTTAAACAACTGAGGTCAATTACTTTTGATTGTAACCCTAATCAAAAATAAATTGTTACCTTTTCTCACAATTAATAAAAAACTATTCAATGAGTTTTCAATGGTTGGGAAAATAAATCTAATTCATTAAGTATATAAACTATTGCTACAATGATTATTATTAGATTTGATTGTTGATTTTAATTTAGTTTCCGGTTTCAACAATTTAGCATCATTTAAATTTATATATATAAAATTTGATTTATATAAATTGTGGACCCAAATTAAAGCAATCAACATGATGAGTATCTAATAATATATTATATAAATTAAGTTGATTGGTTAAAATATTAACATGGTAATATTAACATTTCAAACAATCAAAGTTAATCATCAAGTAAATCTAATTGTAATCCAATGTTATAATGATTAACCAACACAAAGGTTAACCATTGATTGGATTAGATTGGTGAGAAAAATAAATAAATAGGATTCTGATTGTAATTGTGATCAAATAACATTATTAAATTAACTTTTGACATGAATCAAATTTAATTGTGACAGTTGATCAGCTGTCAATTGATACATTCTCATAATCAATACAACCTCCAAAGAGTAAGGTAAGAGAGAGAGAGAGAGAGAGAGAGAGAGAGAGAGAGAGAGAGAGAGACAATTAGATTATTGTAGTTAATTGTGAGAAGCTGATTTAAGAGGTAATTAGGGTTTGTCTAATTGTATTTAACTTATTGTAACCAAAAATAACGATGATACAATTTAGTTAACAGTTATAACTGACAAAATAATATAATACACAATTGAGTGAACATAATTAGTCTCTTTAATTGTGATGAAAGAGTGATGATCAACATTCATTTTAATCATCGATATAAATTGTGTTCAATCAATTGTTATCATCTCTCATGTACATTAACCGTTATTATTACTTTTAACAACAAGAGTTACAAGTTCATCATCATCACCACCACAACATCACCAATTTAACCTCCTCCTCCTCCACATTCAACTGAACAATATTGTTTTACCTTTTCCACTCCCACTCAGGTAATACTTGAAAGAGGAAACACCGGATATGGACCAATACATTCACCCATTCATTTGACTCTTTTGTTTCTTCCTCATCACCAATCATCCATCAAATTATCATCATCATCATCATAATTATCATCAAAACCATCTTTCAACAAGATGATAAAAGGGTGATGATAAGTATGAATAATGATGAAACTGAGTAACATCATAATTGATTAACAGAAAAGTATGTTGGTCAGTCAATGGTCAGTATTATGTATCCATTAAGATTGATACTAAAGTTAGTACAAAAATTAGAGGAATTGAATTTAATTGTCCATCGCTAATTGTTGTCACTGACGAAATGATTATTTTTGTTAATTGTGTTCTGATAAGTTGATCATGTTCACAGGGTGATTAAAACTTTGGGATTTAATTTTCTCGCAACAGTTAATTAAATTGTTGTGAGTGAATATTTTTCTTCTTTCTCATTATAAATTAATTTACTACTTTGTGATTACTTAATTTCATAGTTTTTGATTTAGGTAAATATCATTAATATTAATTGTAATGATTACAAAATCCTTAATCAAACTCACGAAATAGGTTTTCATGGTCATGATGATGATGATGATTATGATTAAGATTAAGATTCTGATGATGAAGATGATGATAGGATGAGACTTAAATTAAATATCTCATCATCAATGGTGGGTCAAGTTGATGGTCAGTTCATGATTTAGATAAACATTATTGAGGTTAAATTTCAATTGTAATCATCATGTTGATTTACTCATCACATCTAATCAACTTGATTACACCTCAGGCAAATCATCAGGTTGATTTAATTGAATACTGATTGAGATTGAAGTAAACTCAATCAAAACAATTAGTGTATTTATCTACAATCAATTGAAAATAATTTTGTTCAGTAAATTGAAATTGTATATTTTTTAATTGCTTGGATTAGGATAAGTTTGACTTGAATTTTTGATAAAAAAAAAAAACTAATTAACAACAATTTAAATCATTTGATTGTTTGATTCACTTGGATGATTAAAAAACAATTGGAATCTAATTGATTGTCTATATCTAATGAGACACAAACAAGATTAGGATAACCTTAAGGTAAACTATTAGGATCATTTGAATCACAATCAACTGTAATGATTTAGATTGTTGTTCTGACAATCTAATCTAATCAACAGGATGATTAACAAATTCTGTAATGCAAATTATACACTTGATTGTTGTAATAACGTAAATGATTAGGATTATTTAACTAATAACGTGATGATCTTGTTTTTTGATTAGCTCTGAACCTTGAATTTGTTAATTAATTGTAGACAATTAAATGTCTTAATAACTGTGTGCGAGTGTGTGTGTTTTTTTTTTGATAATCATTGAAACTTATTAATTGTTGATACTTTGATCATTAACAAGAAAAGGTAAAACTTTATAAATGGTGAAAGCTATTAAAATGTCATTAACAACAAAATTAACTAATTAACGTTATTGTCAACTAATTGTATCTTTCTGGGCATAAGTCTAATTGTGATCAAGATGATACTAATCATCAATGTTAAGCCAACCATTTAAAATTTTAATCATTAACAAAAATCCTAATTGTTCAGAGAAAAAGATTTCAACGATTATTATAATAATATAACAACAATTAAAGGAGAAGAAAAAAAAACAAGATGATCATCATAAGTAAACAATTGATCCTTGCCCAAAGTGATTAACTAAATTATCTGAAGCAATGGTTAAAGAACCAATTAAACAAACAGGTAAATTGATTTGTTAATTGTTACCACATTTAAATTGATTGTTGACAATTAACTTACATCTATGGTCTCTCGTAAAATATATGCGATTATCCGTTCAGGTAATTTTTCACCTTTTTTACATAAACCTTGAACCAAATCAGTTACCGATCCTCCAGAACATAGCTGACAATTAGTTGATTGATTAGAATTAAATAGAAAGAGAGAAAAACAAAATTAATAGGTTAATTGACGATTGTGTTAATTTAATTGTTGGAGAAAGCGGAGAGAGAAAACTAGATTAAGAGCTGATTAGGTTAATCATGAGAATATAAGTTCCATGATAGATAATTTAGTTTAATATTACAATCAATATGAATGCAATTAAAAATTTATGCAAATAATGATCGTAACTAAGATTAAACCGGTTAATTAGTTAATCTAATATAAAGTTTTATGGACAATAAGAATTAGATTTTGGGGATAAGCTTGAATACTATTGATATAATGAGAAATCCACTGAATTAATTAGTGAAATGAGTTGGTAATTAAAGAGTGATTAAAGATTTACCTCCAGTGCGAACCACAATTGATCATCTTCTCGGCGATTTCCCAATTTAAGGTATAATCCATAAAATGAAGGTATATTTGGATGGAGAGATTGATTAGTTAGAATTAAATATTCCTCTTCCACTTCTTCAATATTATCACTGATATTTTCCATAATTTTAATGGCAACTTGACGATCTAAGGGATTAATTTAGTTAATTGTTAATAGTATTAGAATTAACTCTAAAGGAATTAAGATTAATACTTACCGGTTTCTCGATCCTTTGCTTCAAACACTTCGCCATAAGTACCTTCACCAATCACACGAATCAACTCGTATTTAGATGTTGGATCAGCTAATGAACTAAAATCAATTGATTTAGATAAATCCTCATAATAATCAACCATTTTTAATTTTGATGGCGATTAAAAGTAAAATGAAAACAATCAAAAACAAACGTTAACTATTGACTTGAAATGATGGTAAACAAATATAAGCACAATCGTAAATTGGAAACCACTGTAAGTATAATAACCTTACAAAGATGATTTAGTAAAATAATCACAACAATTAAATAGCCCCAGTAAGTGAAATTCAATATAACATCAAGATAATTTGAAACAAATCACCATAATCAGAGAAGTAAAGTTGATTGTTGTTGGGATGAAGAGTAGACAGTTAAGTGAAACAATTGAAATTGGTGAAACTTTTTCGTTGCAAGTTAATATGTTGATCATCCTTTAATTGTCCAATTATTTTGGTGACATCATGATGATTTATCCAAAGGAGAAATTGGTTACATTGTGGAAATAGAAGAAGAAGAAAGATCGAAATTAGATTAAATATTAACCAGGTCTTCACTTTACAAGCTTAAAAAACAAAGTTAAGAATAGAATTGATTTGTTGTTACCTTTACACTTTAAGGTTGTTGATGTTGTTTTGAGGCTTCATTGATTAAATTAAACAATTTGAAGCCAATTAAGTACAAGGAATAAAACCACATACACAGAGATGGAGATTTAAACACCAATAAAATTAATTCCTAAGAAGGTCACTGATGGATAATCATTGAATAAATTAATATTAATTTGGATTAGAAGGGTTGATCAGAGAAGAAGAAGAAGAAGAAAAAAAGTTAACTCTCTTCCCATGTTGTAACAATTTCTTTCATCTAGTGATTTATGACATTATTCCAATGGTATCATGGTGACCAAATATCCAATAGGTGAGCACATATAACACATTAAACATGACGATGGAAGAGGATTAATCCTTTGGCTTTGTCATCTTTTCCTTTTCTCTTTCCAGTTCCAGTGTTGATCTTGTTGTTACTGGTGATCAATAGATGAACAATTGATAAAATTTAGTAAAAAAGGTAAAGCAAATTCACTTGTACAGGTTTCAAATGATGTTAACAGATTATTACTATTGTTGTTGTTGTTGTTGTTGTTGACTGTAGATGTTGTCTGTTACTCTCATTCGGTGAACCACTCGCAGCTCACTCGCACGGTCTCCCGATTCCATCATCATCATTAGTTCAATGGCTTCTTCTTTTTCTCATCTTCATTTCTGTTTCCTTTTTTTTACCGTCTATTTTACTATCATCATCATCTTCTTCTTTTCTTTGCTTACCTGATTTCTATTTTTCTTTGATCGCCTTTTTCTTTACTCTCTGATTGTTAAGGTTCGTTGATTACCAAGTTGTTGCTTATGGCTATACTTTCATGCATATGTTAATTTATCGACAGTAAAGTGACAATTGTGTGTGTGTGTGTGAGAGAGAGAGAGAGAGAGAGAGAGTATCCGAAAAATACTGAATATGTTGATGATGGAAATGATTATACCTGAAAGAGAAGAGAGAAAACAATTAGAATTAGAATTAGAATCAGATTGTCACTTGTATTGATTATCTGGATTGTGATTAGAAAATAGTGATTATACCTACATGATAGTGAATATATTTCAACAATTAACTCAGAATAAAAGGTGAAAAATATTATTGTACAAAAATGAAATTCTATCTATTGAACTATTAACTTTCGCTTGTGGTTATTGTTGTTATCCAGTAACAGTAATAATAGATTCCATTGAAATTCATGTTCTATTTTAAGTCCATGTTGTTTCACTTTTCTCTGAATAAAAACAAGAGAAGAAAACAGGTTATGGTGAAAATCCGTTACTTGGGTGATTTATATTTATACATAAATGATAATCTACTGTTAGAATACAAAAGCGAAACCTCTTACCTTGTTGATCTAAATTGTGTCTATAGGAAATAGAGACACAATGGTGAACATTTCTGGTCTCCATTGAAAAAGAATGAAAAATTCATCATGACGATGATGATTATCTCTCTTACTGTTTAACCAAATACAATAAAGGAATGAATAAAGACAACACTAAATTACCAAGATCCGTTCTAATTGTAAAGAATAATAGTTATATTCACAATTAATGATAGAAAATATTTAAAAAAAAAACCACAAGAATTATCATAATCACCAACGACGAAAACAAAACAAATGGAAATCCCAAAATGATCATCGCTTATTTTTAAACCTAATAAACAAAAATAGAAAATTAGATTAACTGAATACAGAACTTTGAATTGAAAGAAACTCACCTGAGAGATTAAAACGAGATTAACAATCAAGATTAACTGAAAAATTTGAATTTCCACCAATAAAGACCCAACCCTTTTCTCATAACCAAAAAGTAAATTGATCATTAATGTTGTTACTTTGTTTCATATTCAATTGGGTGGGTTGATAATTGATCGAACTGACAATTAGCTGAAACGATAGAATTACTTAAATTGAACAATTAACAGAATTAATTAAAGAATATTGATTAGAGAGGGAGAAAAGAAAACAACAAGTGGATCATTTAACTAACACGCAATTAAAAATTCTAAATGTAAACAAAGAGGAAAAAAGAAGCGGCAAAAAAAAAGAAAACATTTTATTCTTTGGTCAATTAGTCACGAAGGTTCCACTTGTTCTTCAAGAGAAATTAGTTAATTCTCTTTATTGGTTAATTGTAATGGTAATTGTTTAGAATAGAAATTATCGATTCCTGGTTATTGGTGTTTTATTTTGTTCGCACCAAAAAGAGGAACAAATAAACAAAAGGTAAGAATTATTTCTCCATCAAAATATTGAGTTTTTCTGTTGATATTTTTGTTTATTTTTTTTCTTCTCTTTTCTTTTTTTTAGAGAAAACCAAAAAAGAGAAGCTTTTTTGTTCTTCCATGGTTGAATAATCTATTTTCACCCAACCTTTTCAGCTTCTTGTGATTCTTTTTATCATGTTATCATCAAGATCTAACTGTGTCCAAGGTTACCTCATCTTCTGTTGGTGTCATCATCTTCTTCATCCATCGTTCACCTTTTTCTCCAAGGTTCTTGTTCAGCATCTTCACCTCCTGTTGCTTCATCTTTCGTCGCCATTTTCATCTTCATCTTTTTCTTTCTCATTCTTTTCTTGGTCTTGACTGAGTTCAACAAATGTAAAGTCAACATTGTCATCATTGTTACCTGTTGATTGCTTTTGTTTTATTTGTTTCTCTCTCTCTCCTCTCTCTATTTTCATCTTCTATTGTTAGTTAACCACAACTGGTTAATCTCTTTTGAGAGATAGAAACAGAATCTTCAATCTTAAAGCTCATTTCAAATCGGGATCGTGTGAGGATTTGATTGATCACCATGATTGTATATTTACATGTTACGAATTATTATTTTCTTCACTGGCCCGATGTCTATTGTTTCATTGATTACCGACTTCGTCTCTCCATTGAAACTGTTCACTCCATCTCAGAATTATAATTTCATATCATAATTAAATGGAGAGATAATTGGTTATGATCGGTAGATTAATGGGTTTTCTGGCTTCACAGTTTGATTGTGACAATTAATCTTGTTGTTGTCTTTACATACAACCATCATCATTAAGAAATTATATTAATTTTCTTATTCTTCTAATATCATCCTCATCATTATCATCCTATTAACCAGTTCTTTGTCATCACTATTACATTTTCATCATCATCCTCATCATTGTCATGTAATATTCATACTGAAAATCTATAGACCGTTAATCACGAAATAAGTAGCAAATTAAGTAAATTAACTAATTTACTTATTAACAAATTTATTTACGACTCGTTAGATTTGCTGGTTAAATTGTAATTGTTTTTATTTCTATCAATTGTTAATAATTGGACAATGACAATTTAATTTTATGTTTACTAAATGTGAAAATTAGTTTTGATTGTAAACAGAGATGTAAATACAATATAATGTACAAGAGATTTTAAGAAAGACATTAGGTTGATTTGATTGTCTTAATTTGGCGATTTAATTGTGGAAATTGTAATATAAATAAGTCGCAATTGTGATTACAATTATCTTCTTATTAATTATCAGAAGAAAATTAATCCTTGTCCTAATTAAGCCAAATAATTGTGATGATCAACTAAAAAATGAATTTAATTTCTTCATCCATTTCATATTATAATCACGATGATTAACCACAATTAACCAGAAATTATTATTATGTTAATTGTTTCCATCTAATGATTGAACAGAAAAATGATATTACAATTATGAGTCGATGATTAAAATTGTTAGTCCAGATTATAAATTGTTGTTCATCAAATATCGCGGATCTTTGGACTGAGCAATTAAAATAATTTCAAGATGATTATGATTGAATTGCATTGATGATGAACAATAGTTTCTGATGATTAAGTTTCGCAATTGTTTCATTGTTGACACTTGATTGTTGATTGTGTTGATAAAAAAAGATGAATTTAAAAATTGGAATGAGAAAAACAAAAACCATTGATAACCAAGTAAACTAATTAAATAGTTGAAACTGACTTAATTGTTGTTGTTTATACTCAAATGATGAATAGTTTTGAGTGATGTTTACATTGATCTTGTTAACTGTCCAATGGTCAATTGTGTTTACATTTGCGGGACAGTTTTGATGATTGTTGAAAAGAAAACACTTCACATTTGATTGCTCATAAATCTCCAGAATTCTGATGCTTTTCAATATCGATATTAGATTTTTTTGGTGAAATTTCGTCATCACCACCACCACAAATTGACGATAGTTTGAAATTGTCGAAATCTTGTTCCTTTGAGGTTCCGAAAATGGTGAAAAAAATGGCACCGATCACATAGAATAAACTACATGACCAAAAGACGTAATTCCATACTGAGGGATCACCATGCTGAATTGGAATGAGAGAGAGAGAGAGAGAGAGAGAGAGAGAGAGAGAGAGAGAGAGAGAGAGAGAGAGAGAGTTATTAGTTTGATTCGATAAATTTGTATGAGAAACTTACTCCCAATTCCAGGACCAGTCCAACGAAATAAGGTGCTAGTGGGCCAGGGAAACTGGACAGACCTGCGGTGAAGCCGTAAATGGCCCCAGAATTTTTCGGTGAAATGTCCATGACCATTGGATTATCTCCACCGGCACTGAATCCCCAAAGAATCATCGAAACAACCAAAGCAGTTACAATTCCAGTGGTATTATTTGTTATAAAAGGTATGATACTGGTCATAATCGCTGGACCGATTAAGGCGATGGCTTCGAATATTTTTCTTGACGTTGTTCGAGAAATTAACTTCTTATGTTCAATCGTATCTGAGATGTAACCGGTTATCAGAAACGAAACACTCATGGATAAATATCGTAGAGCATTGATTGCACTATTCTGTTAGACGATTAAGAAGAAAATGATTAAGTTAATTGCGTATTTTTCAAGGTTCGTGATCAATGATTTGTACCTGTTTCAAATTGAGTCCTAATGCTTGAGCCAAATAAGTTGGAAGCTCAGTTTCCCAAGTAATGTAGCCCCATTTACCGGCAAATTTGGCCAATCCAACGGCCCAAACAACGGGTGAAAATACAATGGCAACCCAAGGGATTTTGTGTCTTCCATTGGTCGGGGAATGACCGCCGACACAGTTACTCTTAGTCTCTTCGGTAAGACTTTCCCTGATCAAGAGTCTCTCAGAATCGCTGATATTTGGATGAGTTTCCGGATCATTACGAACCACATAGAACCAAATCAAGAGGACAATTAGACCCACCGAACCAAGAACGTAAAAAACTGAAGGCCAACCACCGGCGATCTCACTTTCCGCCAGGTAACCAGAGATCAACATTGTAAATAGAGAACCACAATTACCACCGACAACAATTAAGGCCAAAGCAAAGGATCTCTCCCGCTTGGGTATCCATCGGGCTAAAAGGGCATAAAGAGATGGGGTCAGAAAACCCTATCGGATTCAAAGAAGAAGAAAAAACAATCAACTAATTGTAACAATTAACTCTCGAACTTCAATTGTAATCATGTTCCCCCAAAAGGACAATTAGACTTATTCCTGTCTTCAAGATCAACCCATTGATTAATTGTAACAATTATCTTCTAGATTTACAATTAATCTCAGACTTTGTCTTGGTTGATTGCAGTGTAATTAACTTAATCACATGTACGTCATAAAGTACTACAATTGATTGTTAATTAAACAACTGATTAAGTTCAAAAATTGTCACACCTTCAAAAGTTATGATTAAATTTTTCATATTTAATTGTTATTAATTGACATTTTTGATTGTATCACAGGATTAACTAAGATTCCAGGTAATTAATCAAGATAATTGTTAACAATTCATGAAGACACTGATTAAACTTTTAGCTTGTTGTTGTTAATGTAATTAACTTTTCAGTTAAATTAGTAAACAATCAAAGGTTCAGTTATTCAATTAGACGATGATGGTTGAAATGATTAAGTGAAATAGTTAATTTAATTTGATTAAAGTTAAAGAATTGAAATAAGGAAGGAGAAATTAATTTTTTCGTCTCATTGTTAAATTTTATCTTCTATTATTAATAATAAATTGCTAATTCAATTTAGTTTAATTGTTTGACGATGATAACTATTGTGATAATCAACCGATTATCAATAACGTGGTGATCACAATTTAATAATAATGTTAATCAATTGTTACAATTGATAAATGTTGTTTACCTTTTAGGCAAAGGGTTAAATCGGGATATCAAGTTGGTTAATTGTTAACAATTTATTTGATCATTGAGACTTTTATTGATCATCAATCTATTGCTAGATGTTGATATTAACTGTTAATTGCAAGTCAATGTTGATTAAGCAACAATTACATTTAACTAAATTACTTTGATTGTATTTTGTGAAATTAAGTAATCAATTTATGATAGTTTATTAATTATATCAAGAAACGTAATCATAAGTGTTAATTGTTAACCCAATGGTAATTTAAAAGAGTAAATTTTATAATGTTAATTGTTGGAATTGTTATTAATAGTAATTAGTTAATTGATTGTAAAGAAGTAACAAAAAAAAATACCAAATCTTAATGAAAGAAATTTCCATGTGGATAATTAGTTAATTGTTGTAACATTATTGAAAATGTATTACAAATGATTTGATTACGAAAAGATTTACTTAATGATAACAATTATATTAATTCAGTTCCAAGGATAATCAAGTTCAGCTCATGTTGATTGCTAACAATTAAACATTGAACATCATAAAGGTTTGCAAATGATATTGACCTAATAATCAAATGAAACACAATTAACATTCAACAATTAACATAACAGACTAAGTCTCAGTAAATTAAAGTTGAAATAATCATTTAATTGTCAATCTGGTTGAATAATCACCTAAAAGTAATCATTTAACAATCAAGAATTAAATTTGCTGCGAAAGTTTAAATTACCAGACAATTAATATAAATTGTAGTTTTTTTTTCAACAATTTAATTCTTGTATAGCAACAGGATCAATATTGATCAGTAAATTGTGTTGATTGTAACAATTTAATACGATGTAATTAATTGTAATTATTTACTTATGAAAAAAAAACCCATAGAAATCAAATTTAAACAAAAAAACCTTGATTAACTATTCAAATGTCAATCATGAAATTTTTTATCAACAATTAATTGTCAATATTTAACAATTAAAAAAACAATTGATTGCTTCCCCATTCAGTACTGTAGCTAATTACAATTAAACTAATAACAATTAATAAATTTTGGTGCAATCGAGAAAAAAAAAACTCAACAAAAAAAAAGTTAATTGAATGTTGATGATTGTTTGAAATTTACATTGACAATAAATTGTCAATTGATTAATGTTTAACTGTCAAGATAATAATGATAATTGTCAACAATTTGTCAACTCTATTGATCAACAATTAGATTTGATTGTTTACCTGAACAACTCCAAGTAATGATCGAGTCAAACCAACGGCAAAGGGGCTGTAATAAGCGGCCGAGGGTATGAGTAAGGTAAATAGAGATGAAAATAAGATGGACAATGAAACAATGAGTCGAGGTCCGAACCAAGCACAGAACTGACCACCGGTCATGTGAGCAATTATGTAACCATAATAAAAGGCACCAAGAATTAGACCTTGAGTAGTTGGTGACCAATCAAATCTGCCATCAAAGTCATCGAGAGGTTCATTGATTACCTGGATAACGAAACAATTGTTACTCATCAATTATAAATCAATTGTTAATTAAATTCACTAATTTAGTGACTTTTAATTAGCTAGTAGAAAATAGGTTGTTAATTGTTAGTTAATCAAGTTTTCTTCCCTCAAAGGTTTTGGTGCAAAGGAGGGAACCAGATTGAAACAATTTAATCAATTCAAGAAGCCCTGAGAATGTCATGTGTGATCATATTAATCATTGATTCATATTGTTAATTGTTGAGATTGATTGTGTTAATTGACATCTCCTTGAGAAAAGGTAACAACAACAATTAAACCACTAATGTATTAATGAAATACTTGTAATTAACTTTTCCTAACGGTAAATTGAATGGTCTCAATGTTTGGATTTCATAATAGTAATTGGAAAGCACATGAACTTTTAATTGTTCATTTCTAATTGTTGGAGTTTTTATAAATAGGAGAAAAACATTTATGGTGATTAATTAACTAGAAAGAGAGAGAGAAAAAATTAACAATTAAGTCTCACACATGGAAGCAACTGATTAATCAATGAGCAGCAAATTGAATTGCTAATTGTTACAATTTAAGGATGGAGATAAAATCAATGACAATGCGGGAAATTAAAGTTAATTATATAAATATTATGGTAAAGAAAGTTCTTACTTCCGAATTAATCAGCACAAAATTAACCTGATTACAATTAAAGAGAGAATTGGTTAGACTTTAATTATGTAACTTAATCAATCAAATCACAATAACAATTAATGATTGACACATTCAAGGAAAAATGTTTAAAAAAGGTCAATAGGCTTACAATTAATTCAGAGTAATTCAATTACTTACCATGGTTTGATTTAATTGTTGTGGTAGATTTGTCGTTGTTGTTGTTGTTAAATTGCTGTTTTCACTAATTGTTGAGGTCGAATGTGAATTCAAAGGTTTTACCATGGCCACAATTGCGATACTCATGTTATCCCTTAGGGCATATTCGAGGCAATTGGCCAAAGTCGCAGTGGCCAGAATAACATATCGAAGAGGGATATTGGCTTTCGATAATTTTTCCACTTGACAATTAAGTTTCATTTTGATTCTATTAGTTAATTGTTGGAGAAAATTAAATATTGGAACAAGTTGCAAATGGTTAATTAGAAAGGTTAACACGGAGAAGAAGCAAATTAAATTGTTGTTGTATAAAAAGATGATGGAAAGTTAAGTGGAAAAGGAAAACAATTTAATCACAATTGGTGATGTTTGGACAATCAAGACACTTTAACCACTGATAATTTAACCCAACTTGTTTTGAGTTGATGGTGTTGTATATTAATTAAAGATCAACAATCAACAGATTGTCAATGGTAATAGATAGTGAGATGGTGAGGGAGAGATGATGATGATGATGATGAGAGTGAGAGAGTGAGAGTGATAATGGAAACAAATTATTCTTAACCATCAAGAGGTGTGGTTGCAGCCACTGTAATCACAATTAACTTTATCCACAGGAGTTTACAAGGAAATGATAACAATTTAACACATTATGTTGAAAGAAATGCTGATTAACTTATACTTGATCTGAACGATCGTCATAATAATCTGATTGTTTTTTATACCTTGATTGGTGAAAGAAGAAGAAATTAAATGACTCATAATGATTAGAAAAGTAATTGGGATTATCATGATTCTACAATTTAAATGGTGTTAAACAAATTCTGTTTCTTCATCGGCAACAAAGTTCATCATTTAAAATTATTCTGTGGAAAATCAATTAATCAATTCATAAAGTGAATTTACATATTTTCTATTATATTATATGAATGTCATGATGATCAGCATTTCGAGGGAAGAAAATAATTATTGAAATTAATTATTCTCAAAAAATTTTGACAAAAAGAAGTTAAAAAATTGAGTTAATCAAATTAGAAATTAAATCTTATTGATTAATGAAAAAGTTGAAACTTTATTTTTTATTCTGTAATTTAATTCGTTGTCAGTAGATGGAGTCACCAACTAATTGTTCAAAGAATTTGATTTAATTGTAAATTATTTCAGTAGTTTATCGGTAATTCATCAGGTTACGATGTTGGTGTTTAAGGTAAAGTTTCACTAGTTACTTATTTTGCCTCGGGGTTTGTTCCTAAACTCACTATTCCGGTGTAATTGTTATCGTTATGATATTGTGATTATAATGAAGATTCAACTGTAACTGTTAACGAAGGTTAGGAATTTAATTTCAATTGATGTCATTTGATAATTAACTTAATAAATTTTCTCGCGAGCTGAGCAATTCATGGCTCTTTCATGACCATCACCTGATTGTGTTTGTTGATCAGTATCGACGTAAATATCGCTCGATGTTTGGTTCGCTCTAAATCCTGAGCATCTTAAGAATCGTATCGGTGGTAAAATTGAACAAATTGTCTTATTTATCTTAATAATTTTCCTCAATTTCTATTTTACCAGACATTTAACTCTACAATTTCATCATCTTTCATCTTCCAACACTTGAGATCATCTAAGTGACCGATAAGATTGATTTGTAATACTGGAACCATAGATTAATCTTGACAATCATTTTCTCCTTCAGTTCATGAAAGAAACTTTAAAAAAAGTCCTAACTCTATTCTAATTCCTATTTCATATTTATAATTTCACATATGGAATAACATTGAACAAATAGAAAATTAATTGTCTTAGATTATTGGAAAACAAAAGTTTCCAGTTATTTTTATTCTGCAATTTTATTCGTTACCAATAGATGGAGACCTTATTCTTGAGAGGAAATCAGTCAATTGACCAATAACAACTTTAATCTAATAAAAATGTCTCGATCATTTCAAAATATTCCAACAAGATGATTTAATCAACCACAACAATAAATTGAAAGATGCAAATGCTCAAAGAAAACTTAATTTTCCAATTTTTTTTTCTTCGCCGCTTAAATAGTTTCCTTTTCGCTCCCTAGATGGAGCCAAAGCTCGAAACGAAGCGCCATCTATTATATCAGCGAAGCAAAAAAACAATTTCTCTTCACTTGAAATGTTGATTATAAACTGAAGGTATTGTTTATTTTTCTGTGTTTGTGTTTAATTTTTAGATTATTTAACCAGAAATGGAACAGCTCATTCCAATAGTCAACAAATTACAAGATGCTTTTTCCACCCTGGGTGTTAGTTATGCATTTGATTTGCCCCAAATTGCGGTGGTTGGTGGTCAATCAGCCGGTAAATCCAGTGTCTTGGAAGCTTGTGTTGGACGGTAAGTCCTTTTTTCATCGTTACCTTTTATTGACTGTTATGGTTTTTTTTACTTTTATTTTCTTCAATATATTTACTATTTTTATAGGATATTGTTATTTATTTCTATTAACTATTATGAGTGATAAATTGAGTTGATTAGGTTTTAATACATTTGACGTATTTTCTTTGTATCTCCAATGAGCTTTCATTTGTGTACAGTTTTTGACTTGTAACGATCATTTTTATCATTTTATTTTCTTTGTTTTTGTTTTTGTAGAGATTTTTTGCCCCGTGGATCGGGTATTGTCACTCGACGTCCGTTAATTCTTCAATTGATACATTCGAATATGGAATATGGTGAATTTCTTCATTGTCGAGGTAAAAAATTTACTGATTTTGATGGTATCAGGAAAGAGATTGAAGATGAAACAGACCGAGCAACTGGAAACAATAAGGGGATCTCACCTGTACCCATTAATCTTCGTGTTTACTCCCCTCATGTTCTCAATTTGACCCTTATCGATTTACCTGGATTAACCAAAGTTCCAGTTGGTGATCAACCAGCGGACATTGAAACTCAAATCCGTGAGATGATTTTACAATTTATTAGGAAAGAAACATGTCTCATCTTAGCTGTTACAGCAGCTAATCAAGATCTTGCTACATCAGATGCACTTAAAATGGCTAAAGAGGTTGACCCAGAGGGTTTAAGAACCATCGGTGTAATCACCAAACTTGATTTGATGGATGAAGGAACCGATGCTAGAGATATTTTGGAAAATAGATTATTACCTCTTCGTCGAGGTTACATTGGTGTTGTCAATCGAAGTCAAAAAGACATCGATGGTAAGAAGGATATTCGAGCAGCCATGGAAGCAGAGAGAAATTTTTTCCGAACCCACCCAGCATACAGGTAATCTTTTTGTTACATATATTCTGTTTTGTTTTACTCACACCTCTATGATTTTCTTTCTATTTTTGCTTTTGCTTTCTATGTTTTGTCATTTCTTTCAATACTATCTCTTTCTCTTTCTCTGTCTCTGTCTTTCAATTACTTTCTTTTATCATCTTTTTTAATCTTATCATTGTTGTCATAATTTGCATCATCACATAATAGAGACATGGTTGATCGTTTGGGTACTCAACATTTACAAAAAGTTTTGAATCAACAATTGACAAACCACATTCGAGATACACTTCCATCGCTTCGAGATAAATTACAGAAACAGTTTTTCACTCTTGAGAAGGAGGTTGAAGAGTACAAAAATTTCCGCCCCGATGATCCAACTCGTAAAACAAAGGCAATGTTACAAATGATTCAACAATTACAAAATGACTTTGAACGTAACATTGAGGGTAGTGGTTCAGCTGCCATTAATACTTCAGAACTTTCCGGTGGTGCAAGGATAAATCGACTTTTCCATGAGCGTTTCCCCTTCGAAATTGTAAAAATGGAATTCGATGAGAAAGAATTGAGACGAGAAATCGCCTATGCTATTCGAAATATTCATGGTATTCGAGTGGGTTTGTTCACCCCTGACATGGCATTCGAAGCGATTGTCAAAAAGCAAATCGAAAGGTTGAAAGAACCTTCACTTAAATGCGTTGATTTAGTCATTATGGAACTTGGAAATGTTGTTCGTAGGGTCACCGAACGAATGAAAAAATACCCAAGACTCAGGTAAGAATAGTAATTAGCAACATTTCTCTATCTTTTCATAAATTGTTTTGACATAATTTTCTCTCTCAAATATCTATTCTATTTATGGATCTTGGATAATCGTTCTCTTCTCAATAATAATATTCATTCATCTATTTTACAGGGAGGAAACCGAAAGAATAATAACTACTCATGTAAGGGAACGTGAACAAAAGACTAAGGACCAATTACTGTTATTGGTAGAAGTCGAATTGGCTTATATGAATACCAATCATGAAGACTTCATTGGCTTCACAAAGTAATTAACCTTGACTTATTCACTATCATCAATTTAAAAACTCCCACAAAGCAAGTAGAATACAAGAGAAGAAGAAGAAGAAGAAAAAATCAAATAGGAAAAGGTTTACACCATCAGAGAGAAAAAAAAAGTGAGAAAAGGGAGAAAGTGAATGTGTATTGCTTATATTTATCATCTCCATGAGAACACAAGAAAAATACAAAACAACCAAAAAATTGAACGTTATATTTACCAAATAATAATACTAATATCAATTCTCAAGTTACAAATTGTAGGTTTTATTTTACTTTAATCAACTTGTTTTGTTTTCATTAGATTTATTAGATCTTTAAACAATCAATTTCTTTTGTTGTCAATATTACAACAATTAATTTAACTCACTTTCAGACATGTTCAATAATAGTTAATGTGAAAAAGTTGTGAATGACAGAGAAAATGAAACAATCAATATGAAAACTTGATTATTATCGTTGTAACGTCAACGATAATCAAGAAAAACACCAACATAGAAAATGTCTACCTGATGGTTAATCGTCAAGGTATCTCATCAATTCACCATGAAACCTTTTCGTTATTTCTGTTATGCTTTATATTTACCGAGAAATTATTCTTCTGCTCTCTCTCTCTCTCTCTCTCTCTCTCGTTCTCTTCTTTAAAAAAATCTCATGAATCTTTTTCTAATGTTTTACTTTATTCTTCTTTCTCTCTCTCTCTCACAGTGCACAACAAAGTGCTGACAATACTAATCCAAAGAGAAAACTTGGGAATCAAGTAAGAAGTCAAATAGATAGAAATATTGTAGGTTCTTTTTCGTTGGGTGAACGAATTTAATCCATTCGTCACTCTATCTTTAAATCCACCACCACCTTAATCACATCAATCACATTTTGTCCTTTGTCTAAACTACAAAACAATTAACCTGTGCTGTTGTTGATAATTAACCATAATACTAATCAATCCTTGCTAAAAAAAATCTAACCAGCAAACTCCTTTTTTCTTCACAGCATCATAATGACACTCTCGCAATTTAATAGTGATTTTAATAGCTTTAAATCCCAACGAGTACTTGAAAAACACTCTTATTTTTCATCTACAGAATTGAGTAAATCTTTTTTTTAGGATACATTTAGTATCTCACCAACAATCATTGATTCAATCGATCAATCAATTAATCATCCATCCTTAACTCCCCTTCCTCATTGTTTATGATGTTACTGCTGCTGTTGTTGCTTTTCATGATGATTTTATTACATTTAATTCATTATACTCATTGATTTAATATTATGCGTGCTAACAATTAAGTACCCGCTATTAATTTATCTCTGTAACAATACCTTTTTTACCAAGTGTTTTCAGCTTCATCTGCTTCATCATTATCATCATCTTGTCACTTTTTTCTTCCTCTTCCTCTCTCTCTCTCTTTCTCTATTTATCATCTTTCAATTGAAAATCTCTCTTAACCTCTTAAATTTTTCTCTTTCTTTTCTGCTTCAATGATTTACTTCAATTTTTGTTATTTTTTCATTGACAAAAAATAACTAAGTCTGGGGTAAGAATCATCACCAAAGGAGAGCAAAAAAAAATCAACTCTCCTTGTACATTTTCTTAATTATATTCACTAAATTACCTGTGGTTTACTTTTTGGTTATTTTCTTATTTACCTTATTATTTGTGTTTCCCTTTTATACTCTTTTTTACCAATTTTGCTTTTTTTATGTGTCTTTTTCACTTACCTGAGATATTATTTGTATTATCCAGAATTTGTATTTAATTTCTGTTTACTTTGACTACACTTTTTGTTTAATTTAGGTTATCCGAAAGGGATACATGTGTATACACAATCTTGGCATAATGAAAGGAGGTTCTCGAGATTATTGGTTCGTTTTGACGAGTGACAGTCTTTCTTGGTATAAAGATGAAGAAGAGAAAGACAAAAAGTACATGTTACCACTGGACGGTCTTAAACTTCGTGATATCGAAAGTGGTTTCATGTCCCGACGACACACTTTCGCTCTTTTCAATCCCGATGGAAGGTAAACAAAACCTTTTAAACGTTTGAAACGATTGTGACACTTGAGTTTAGAAAATTGATCAAATGCTTTTACGTTTTTTTTTCATGTTTACTGTTAATTCACTTCAACGATCTATTTCTCTCCGGTTAACCTATTAACTCCCCAAACAAATCAACTTATTCCCCATTTTGAAGGTTCTTTTATGATCCGTTGATTTGAATGACAAATTAACTTTTTTTCCTGTTTTATACTAATTGATTTCCGCAATCAACTAACTAACCTTATAGACTTGAATTTGTCTTCTTTTTTTTCGTCAATCGTTTTAATTAATACAATTATTATTTAGTAGCTTAGTTTGTGATAATTATTACTCTCTTTTTTTTCTTTTGATAGAAATGTTTACAAAGATTTCAAATACCTTGAGTTATCATGTGAATCACAGGAAGATGTTGAATCATGGAAAGCGTCTTTCTTGCGAGCTGGTGTTTATCCTGAAAAAGCTTCAGCGGAGAGTACAAACGGTGAAGAAACTGCGGCTGAAGATGTTTCCTCTCTTGATCCTCAATTGGAACGTCAAGTTGAAACGATCCGTAATCTAGTTGACTCGTACATGAAAATAGTAACCAAAACATTCCGCGATCTAGTACCTAAAATTATCATGCATCTGATGATCAATAACGCCAAAGATTTTATCTACTCGGAATTACTGGCAAACCTTTACGCTGCAGGGGATCAGTCAACGATGATGGAAGAAAGTCCCGAAGAAGAGAAAAGGAGAAACGAGCTGCTTAAAATGTACCATGGATGTAAAGAAGCGCTGAAAACCATTGGAGATGTTTCAATGGCGACAACTTACTCACCACCACCACCGCCAGTTAAAGATGACTGGTTACGAGCATCTCAACCTTCACCGACACCACCTTCACCCGGTGGTGCACCAAGAAACACTTTTTCTGGCAATAAACCACCTTCAGCTCACCCACCGCCTGGAGCAAATATAAATAGACCACCACCCGCTCCTCCTGGACGACCAGCACCAACTATACCTGGACGAGGTGCTCCAAGTGCGAGAGGAGGTGCTCTTCCTCCTCCACTCATACCTTCGTAAGTGACAAATCAACTAAAATTATCTATTTAGCTTTTCTTTTAGCTCCTTTTCTTTATCATCCTGATTGTCTTTTTCATCTTACCCTCTTTCCAACCAATCAACCTCCTCACATATCCTTCTCATTAATAATCATTCTCACTAATTAATTAACAACACAATTTAGTTTTACTCCATTTCTTACTTTATGAATCACTTGCTTACTCACCAATTTATTAACTTCTATTCTTTAACTATCATTTTAACTTAATAGAAGATAGAATCTATTTTCATATTGAATTAAATTACATAATAGTCTTCTTCATCTTGATTCATCTCTCTCTCTCTCTTTGTCTAAGCTAAATGACATTCAACCTAACCCCATTAAGTCAATGGCAGAATAGTTGAAAACTATGAGCATGCTTAAGTTGCTTGTACTTGGATCTTTTAACTCTCTCCTCCATCCTCATCATCTATGAATGAAATACTATCAGTAAACAAAAATCATAAACCACTAACTTCATCTTTCTCATTCTCTTTCTCTCTCTCTCTCGTTTTCTCTACTTCTCTCTTTCTACAACTACATATACACTTACACATGTCTCTCTCCTTCCTCTGTTCATCTCTTATTCCATCTTCATCTTCTTGTAATTTACGCTTACCCATCTTCACAACTCATTAATGCACCTCTACGACTTCTCAACACCTTCTATCATTACTACTACACCTCAACTTGATTCGACTCAAATTAATTGTTTGATGTTATGTGTTTAACTATGAAAACGATAAAAATTTAATTTGAACGATAATTTTTTACCTTAAATAATGATGATGATTAGTCGAGGAGGTGGTCCTAACATACCTGCGAGGGTTCAACAAGCGGTTGGTCAGGCCGTAACCGATACACTCCTCGATGCTTTCGGAATGCCTGTTCACAAATGAATCATCATTCCACTGATTGTTATCTAATTAAATGAAAAATAACTCTCATCAAACTTATCCTGATAATGTTACAAGCAAGAGAAAGAAAGAAAGAAATTAACTAATCAAATCTGATTAGTTTCAATTTTTTTTCCTCTCTCACTCTCATTTCATCTCTTAATTGTTATTTGATTTACTCTAATTAATGATAATGAATCTATTTGATGTTGATGTTGGTAGCAATTAGCAATTAAAAGTCAAGCAATTAAATTAACTAATCTTTCCCCAAAAAAAAAATTAATGAGTTGACAATTGACAAGTTTTAAATTTTTTTTTCTTAATTTTTTTTTCTTTTAATTGTGTGCGTTGATGATTAGACGACCAGTGCCAACGATACCTCCTCGAATACCTGACAGACCTGTTGCTGGCCAACGATGAACTCGTTGAAATATCCGGAATTCAGTTCATCAAAAGACTCTTGAGAATAATGTTGCCGATGTAACTTCAAATCTTCTAAATTATCCAAACTTATCAAATTCATTTTTTAGATGTTACAAAACAAAAAAAAATTCTAAATCGAAAAGAAATAAAATATCAAGATTAAAATCCATCTCGATAAATTGATTCCATCAATTTTTTCCTCTTTCAATCAATGAAACAATTAAAAAGTAAACAAACTTCGAGACTTTGGAAAAAATCAGCTGATCAGATCTCGAAAGTTTCGAATCCAAAAAGACAATATTTTCATTTTCTTTTCTTTATCAAAATTGTTTCTCTTTTAAAATGTTTGGTAAATAATTTAATTTCCATGAATTAACCATCTTACTCTTTAACAAGTGAATCTCAATTCCAATTAAAGTGATTAACTTATTTTATGTTTAATTCTTTGAGTGTCATCATCGACTAATTTATCAATCGGTTTAATTTCCTGTTCACTGGTGCGATGGTTTCGGTGGTATGTGGTTGAGGCTCACATAATAATATCACCAATTGTCTTCATACTAAAAAAAACAAAGGTAATCATGGAGATTCTTGGAACTGAGGCTGAAAAAATCGCTTGAGATTTTGGTCCTGTCGCTGAACCTGACGAGAAAAGTTCCTTGATAGTTGATCGATACCCTGATTGCCGCATCACTTTCAGTTAACACAATCTAATGAACTCTAGAGGATCTTCTTCACTCGCTTTCGATGTTTTCCCTTAACTAAGACAAGATAAAGATCGATTTGATGCTCAGGCCACTCCAACTTAAGAAGCACCAAAATCATTCGCTAAATTCGCAACAATCAAAATCTAAGGTCGAATTTGCTAAAAACTACTCAGTTACTATCAACCTGTCAAGAGATTCCAAAAATTGCTTCACTTCCCATTTCTTTAAATGTTCAACAATCCGATTCCAGTTTCCTTCGCTCCAGTCCAAACCATACTTGTAACGAGTGTCAGTCCTAATTAATTGGACTGACACATGAAACGTCAGAGCAAATAAAGAGTTTTCTTCACCTCGAAAAAGTCCAATTGTTTAACTTTATAACCCATTCAATCAATTATAAACCATATTGAATTTCATTCGCCTCATAATTTAGCTGCAAACTCCTTCGACTTAATCAATCTATTCCTTTTTCTGTGCTTAAAACGAAGAAATCGAAAGCTTTGAAATTAGCGTTTCCGCGCAATCAAGCACGTGCTTACAGGGAATCACCTCTTTTAGCTGATTTGTCGCTTTACTAAGGGCGATTTTTTGGATCCAAAGCCTAATTGAAGCACGTTGGTCACTTTGGACCTTATAAAACAGATTGAGCGCTTATATTGCTCTAAGACCATGTTACCTCGTTTTTAAGAACTGTGCTTAATTGCGCAGAAACACGGTAGTTATTTTTAATTGTTGACGATTCATATGATTGACTAGTTACAATCGCCGGTAAAAGTTTTTGAATAATCATCTAAATTGATTCAAAACTATTCACTATCAACTGTTGTCAATTTGTTATTGCTTTTATTGAAAAGATCCTGAAGATTTACAGATTTTTGATTGTTATCACTTGATCCTAATCATATAAATTTCATTAATTAACCTCATGAGAATCTGAGCTCATGATTAAAGTATTTTAGAGAACCAAATGAACCAAACATTAATAAAATACATGTAATAAACTCAGTATCCAATATACAGAATCACATTGATCTGCTTGAACTTTTCGATTCATCAGGATTCGTTCCAAGTCCAATCGTTGTTCGAGTCTTTTCCCCATCCCCGAAACCCGCTTTAGTCTCACTTTAATCTTTAGTTGAGTTTGTCCATGTACTTTATTTACTCTATTCGAACCTTTATCATGCTCTTTGTTATATCAGTTTACTTTTTTTGGAAATAAAAGATATTCGGAAATGGATGATTCATTCTGCGTTAAGGTCACATCGATATTATCAAATCTAAAACGATAAAATTGACACTCGATCAGTCATGAAAACAGAGATATTTTCCCAAGCTCATCTACTGATTATCTTTTTATTACATATATGGATATATTTGATTCTCGTTATTATCTTTTTCTCTTGCTATCTTATTGCCGTGAATTGAATCACAACCTAATAGAGAAATAGTTGATTGATTAGAAATTAAATATTTACTATAAAAAGTTTGTCAATCAATAAATGTCAAACCACATTCGAGTTACACCTCAATTGAAACGTTCATTTAGCTTATTGTTTATTTTTCAGTGTTTAATTTACAGTTTTTTTACCAGAAATGGAACAGCTCATTCCAATAGTCAACAAATTACAAGATGCTTTTTCCACCCTCGGTATTAGTTATGAATTTGATTTGCCCCAAATCGCGGTGGTCGGTGGCCAATCAGCCGGTAAATCCAGTGTCTTGGAAGCTTGTGTTGGACGGTAAGTCCTTTTTCTGATTACTTTTTTGTTATCGTTATTTTTTACTGGCCATTTTTGGTCAGTTTTCATTTGTGACGATTGTTTGATCTTCTTTTTTTTTGAATAATTGCAGAGATTTCTTGCCCCGAGGGTCAGGTATTGTCACTCGACGTCCCTTGATTCTTCAATTGATACATTCGAGTATGGAATATGGTGAATTTCTTCATTGTCGAGGAGAGAAGTTTATGGATTTCGACGATATTAGGAAAGAGATCGAAAATGAGACAAATCGAGCAACTGGAAACAATAAGGGGATCTCACCTGTACCCATTAATCTTCGTGTTTACTCCCCTCATGTTCTCAATTTGACCCTTATCGATTTACCTGGATTAACCAAAGTTCCAGTTGGTGATCAACCAGCGGACATTGAAACTCAAATCCGTGAGATGATTTTACAATTTATTAGGAAAGAAACATGTCTCATCTTAGCTGTTACAGCAGCTAATCAAGATCTTGCTACATCAGATGCACTTAAAATGGCTAAAGAGGTTGACCCAGAGGGTTTAAGAACCATCGGTGTAATCACCAAACTTGATTTGATGGATGAAGGAACCGATGCTAGAGATATTTTGGAAAATAGATTATTACCTCTTCGTCGAGGTTACATTGGTGTTGTCAATCGAAGTCAAAAAGACATCAACGGTAGAAAAGACATTCACTCAGCCATGGAAGCAGAGAGATATTTTTTCAGAACTCATCCCGCTTACAGGTAATTCTTTCGTTACATATTAACACCTTTGATATTCTCGACTTTTCCTCTCATCTCATTTTCGTTGTTTTGTCTTATAGTGACATTTACGATCGATTGGGTACTCAACATTTACAGAAAGTTCTAAATCAACAACTGACGAACCATATTCGAGATACTCTTCCATCGCTTCGAGATAAATTACAAAAACAACTTTTTTCACTTGAAAAAGATGTCGAAGCTTATAAAAACTACCGACCCGATGATCCAACTCGTAAAACAAAGGCCATGTTACAAATGATTCAACAATTACAGAATGACTTTGAACGTAACATTGAGGGTAGTGGTTCAGTTGCCATTAATACTTCAGAACTTTCCGGTGGTGCAAAGATAAATCGACTTTTCCATGAGCGTTTCCCCTTCGAAATTGTAAAAATGGAATTCGATGAGAAAGAATTGAGACGAGAAATCGCCTATGCTATTCAGAACATTCATGGTATTCGAGTTGGTTTGTTCACCCCTGACATGGCTTTCGAAGCGATTGTCAAAAAGCAAATCGAAAGGTTGAAAGAACCTTCGCTTAAATGTGTCGATTTAGTTATCACTGAAATCGGAAACGTTATTCTCCTTGTTACTGAACGAATGAAAAAATATCCAAGACTCAGGTAAGAATATTCGTAATCATCACTTCGTTCATTTTGTAAGACACAATTTTCGAATCTTTTCTTCTTGATAATAATATTTTTCTATTATTATTTTACAGGGATGAATGTGAACGAATCATAACTTCTCATATAAGGGAACGTGAACAAAAGACTAAGAACCAACTACTTTTGTTCATCGATGCTGAATTAGCTTATATGAATACTAATCACGAAGACTTCATCGGCTTCACAAAGTAATTAACCTTCACTTATTCACTACCATCAATTTAAAAACTCCCACAAAACGAGTAGATTATAATTAATCTCTTCTTTCTTTCTTTTCTTAATCAAACTCATTCACTAATTATAACGTACTTGATTCACTCTCAGTGCACAACAAAACGTGGAAAATATTAATATCAATTCAAAGAAAAAACTTGGAAATCAAGTAAGAATTAAAGTATTATGATCGATAAGCAAATGTAATTTGTTTGTCATCACAATTTAAAACAGATTTAATTTAAGCTTAGAAGTCACAATTTTGATCTACTAAATTACTGAAAACTTCTTCGATGTGCTTTTATATTCCAGGTCATTCGAAAGGGTTATATGTACATTCACAATCTTGGGATAATGAAAGGAGGTTCTCGAGATTATTGGTTCGTTTTGATGAGTGACAGTCTTTCTTGGTTTAAGGACGAAGAAGAGAAAGACAAAAAGTTTATGCTTCCATTGGATGGACTTAAACTTCGTGAAATCGAAAGTAACTTTATGTCTCGAAGACACTCATTCGCTCTATTCAATCCCGATGGAAGGTAAATTAAAAATCTTAATTGTTGAGACGATAAACAAAATGAAATTGATACCTGATATTTGAAAATTGTTCGATTGTTCAATAGTATTAGTAATTCCATGTTTTTTCTTTCATTGGTAGTAACGTTTACAAAGATTACAAGTATCTTGAGTTATCATGTTCATCGCAAGAAGATGTTGAATCTTGGAAAGCGTCTTTTCTCCGAGCGGGTATTCATCCTGAGAAAGTTTCGGCGGAGGGTACAAACGGTGAAGAAACTAACACCGAAAATGTTTCCTCTCTTGATCCTCAATTGGAACGTCAAGTTGAAACGATCCGTAATCTAGTTGACTCGTACATGAAAATAGTAACCAAAACATTCCGCGATCTAGTACCTAAAATTATCATGCATCTGATGATCAATAACGCCAAAGATTTTATCTACTCGGAATTACTGGCAAACCTTTACGCTGCAGGGGATCAGACAATGTTGATGGAAGAGAGTCCAGAAGAAGAGAGAAAGAGAGATGAGCTACTTAAAATGTACCATGGATGTAAAGAAGCGCTTAAAGTCATTGGGGATGTTTCGATGGCGACAACTTACTCACCACCACCACCGCCGGTTAAAGATGACTGGTTAAGACAATCGCAACCAACACCACCTTCACCCGTAAGTGTCCCGAGAAACACTCAAACAAATAGACCTTCGCCCGCTCCTCCTGGACGACCAGCACCAACTATGCCTGGAAGAGGTGCTCCAAGTGCGAGAGGAAGTGCTCTTCCTCCTCCACTTATCCCATCGTAAGTATTTATCAATCAATCTCTTGATTAATTGATCAACAATCGAGTTATATTTCAATTCTCACTTAATGAATCAATGTTAATAATAATTGTTTGATGTTTGTTATTCAGTCGACCAGCACCACCGACGATTCCACAACTGCCTGTCAGGCCGGTTCCTAATCGACATGAGTATTCTTGGTAGAGAATATCGTTCTTGGATCCATCGCTAAAATAGATTGATTGATAAAAGAAGAAAAAATGTCAGCACTCACGTTGTAAACTGAAAATCGCAATATTTTTCGTCTTATTATTTGTTGTGGTGATTGTAACTTACGATTAATTTAATGTACATTTAATTTGGTTTCCATTAAGAATGTTTAATCAGTTGATTGTGAATAAACAACTTATTTTGTAAATTATTCCAATGGATTTCACTTCAATTATATCAATCAGAGTAGTACAATTTAATGTATTCTTCATTCCAATTTGTTGTAATGATTTTGATGACAAATAATCTTCAATTGTGGACAATCAAAGATTAACCTGGTAATCAGGGAGAAAATTGTTCCACCATTGATTTATAATTAATTCTTTATCCTTGTTTCACTTTTCTCAAAACAAAGAGATCTCATTTAGTGTAAATTGAATCTCCCAATGTCGATTTTTTTACTTGCATGTAATTATCACTAAGTAGCATCCAAGAATCGGGTCCAAAGGCTCCATTAGAAATAAATTTCAATCACTTCTGCTAAAATAAAATGAAACAATTAAGATTAATTTCAACAAGTCAATGCAATTACTCAAATCTCTATCTGGTTGAAAGACTACAATTGTTACCTTTCAAAAGAAAATAAAAGTCTTACCTGAAACAATCAACACCATGATTAAAGTAAAATCCGAACAATTAACCAAAATTAAGTGAAACTGTTACATTTATAATCAAATTAATTAATTCACAAGGAGAAAAAAACAACAAGAAGAAAAGAACTGAAATGACTCAGAAAAATGGAAAATTCTCTTCTATAAACCGACTGGTTCCATGGTGATTGTGGAATTTAATTGACTCCATCAGATGGAATTTTCAATATTGCCACTTTGAGTCACCAAATTGTTGAAAGAATTAACAATTAACAATTAAATTAAATAGCAAAGGTGACGACAAGGTGAGAGAGAAACAACTGAGACTTTGAAAGAAAACAACTGATATCAAGTACTCAATGTTTTGGATCCTAAAAGATATTTTTCATTTTCTTTTCTTTCTCAATCCATCACTTTTTCTCAAAATTGTTTCTCTTTTAATATGTTAGATAAATTATTTAATTTCCATAAATTAGCTTGACAATTAATCGTCTTTCTGCTTAACAAGTGAATCTCAATTCTAATTAAAGTGATTAACTTATTTAATGTTTAATTCTTTGGGTGCCATCAACATCATCTCTTAATTTATCAATCGGTTTCCTTTAGACTTTTATTGTCTCTCTCTTTTCCTTTCTTTCTCTGTCTGTGTGTTTTTTTTTCTCTCACTCTTTCTTTTTTCTTTCTATTCTCATATTTTTTTCTCTCTCACATTTGATAATTACATCTAAAACAATGGCTGGTGTCAAAGGTTAGTATTTATGTCAACTTATTAACCTTTAATGACAATCTACTTGTACTACTGGTTGACTTTTCTAATTGTCTCTTTTTGTCTCTTTCTTGTTGATCTCCTCCCTTTTTTATACTCTCTTTTTTCTCTCTCTCTCTCAAACAATCGCTTCATCACTGTGTTTTATTAATTACTTGATATGGTTCTGATAAAATCACCATGATTATCCTTCGATGCTCTCACTGTTCTCACTCTGGAAATAATAGCGTGAGTAGCTCACTATTCTGAGAGAATCTGATATCTTCTCTTTGTTTTCCTTTTGGTAAAATTCTAATTGTATATTTGTCTCTTTTTCTTTTCTTTTTCCATCTTAATCATGAAATTTAGCCTAATTGTACTTGCATTTTCGGGTTCAATTGGTATGACTCTTGTTATACTTGGATGTGCTCTTCCAAATTATGCGTAAGTTTAATTCAATTTGTTGCGCCTACAACAATTTGTCCCGATTTCCGTGATTTCCGCTAAGAAACACAACCCATTTTCCAACATTTAGTAACCGACTTTTTCTTGGTCACCACAAGTAAAGGTTTGACATTAATCTCCAAGGGAATTATCATTCTTACTGACAAAGAATCAGTTACAATGAGTTAATTGTTGGCATAGAGATTAACCCCCTTACCCCTCTCTTACTAATCACCACCAGAAACATGATATTAATTTGATTCTCTTTCTTGATTCACACAGTAATTGGTGGCCATTCTTTGTCGTATTATTTTATCTTCTCTCACCTTTACCCACGATGCTTGCCAGAAGATATCAAGATGATATGGGCTCAAGTAATTACTGTAAAGAAATGGCACTTTTCATAACATCAGGAATTGTCATATCAGCATTTGGATTACCTTTGGTTCTGGCTCATGCTCCAGCCACAGGGCCTGTGGTAAGTTAATCTCTAGTAACAATTAATCAAAATCAATCACCGAAAAGTAAAACAAAATTGATTACTTTATAAACAGTAGTCAAGTTTTTACTTTCAACTGATGATAATAACAATTTAACTCTATCAACATCAGCTGTTTCTAATCTTTCAGTGAGACACATTAACAAATTATTATTATTAAGCTTAATTATATTGATTTGGAGTTTTCATTTTTACCTTATTACCTTTGATTGACTTTTCGATTGACAAGTAAACATTGAAAACAAAGTAAATTCATTAATCTCCATCCATGTGATTCAATATTAATTTTTTTTTCTCTCTCTTGTTTATATCATTTTCTTTTTCTCTCTTTTCCTGTGTTTATACAAACAGATCCAATGGGGAGCCTGCATTTTGACTTTATTTGGAAATATTGTCGTATTTCTAACTATTTTAGGTTTTTTTATTGCTTTCGATAATGATGATGAAGGATACAGTGTATGGTAACGGATAAGAGAAGATGTTTCCTACTTTAATCATCAACATGTGTATAACATATATAAGATTTCGTTCCATTGATTGTAAAATCTGAATTGGTCAGATAAACAACAATCAACATAATTTCTCAGCATCTTTACTTTTCTCTCTCTCTCTCTCAAATAATGTATCATGCAAAAATCTTTCTTCGTCTTGTTCACTTATCTTTTCATACACAAACACACAAACAGAACAAACAACACACATTTAATTAATTAATTATAATTAAAAATAACTAGAATTGGTCATTCAAGACTGAGTCATCATATTCCTCCTTTGTTTTTTTTTGTTTTCTTGTTGTCACAAATAATCACTTAGTTTTTTTTACAACCTTTACACAATCTTTTGGCCTTCTCTCTCTTTCTATCCGAAACAGTCCAACAATTAATTGTTTTAGTAAAAATCTGATTTAAAGAGTTTCTTTTTTGTTCACATTAATGCTTGGTGATCAACCGGGTTTTTTGTTTCTGGATGGATGAAGTTGTAGATTTAAATTGTTGTGTGATTGTGTGTATGGTTTATATGTGTGTTGTGTTGATGTGATGGTGTTTGTGTGTATGAGTGGATGGATGTTGGATCGAGATGTTGTTGATTTGTTTGAGGGGAAGGGAAAATTTGTTTCGTTTTTCACTTAGACAATTTGCTGATTACTCGAATCAAAGCTCCATTCTCGTCTTTAAGCCTCTTATTGTCACTCTTGAAGGTTTCCAATTGTTTAATTTCTTCTTCAAGCTCACTGAGCTTCCGTTGGAGTGAACGTTTTTCTTTATTCCATTCGTGTTCCTTAAGTCGAATCTCTTTTTTCAATTTTTCCATCTCTATGGTTAGACTTTCATAGAGTTGACGAAAATTTTTACTGTCACTACTACTGCTAACATTACTACTACTACTACTACTACTGTCTAATTGGTCTAAAGGGGATTGAAGAAAATCGCATTTTGATGATTGGGAAGGTGATGTTGGTGTTGTTGATGTTGGAGGTAAGGGTGCAGGAGGTAATCGACAACGGGTTGGTCGAAATTTTATCTGGTCACTTTGTTGTTTGATTAATGGATTATTATTATTATTATTGTTGACATTCCTTGTATTATGATTATTATTGTTATTATTGTTGTTGTTATTTGAGGCATTACTATTGGCCGGATTATTATAACTGGACGAATTAAGTGGTGATGGTGCAATTGATGAGATTGTTGTCGATGATAAAGTATTAATATTATCAGTGGACGATGTTATCGTTGGCGATAATAATGTTGGAGTTGTTGGTGATGTTGGAGATGGTGGTGTTGTTGTCTTTGGAGTTGAAATGGACGAATTTATTACAGCCGGTGATGCCGGTACTAATGAGGTTATCATAAATTGCTCTTTGGCTTGCTTAACATCTTCCGCTGAAACTCCTTGAGTTGATCGTCTTGTTTCTCGAACTCGCTTGGCATGAGCTTTCCTTTGAGTTTCACTTTCCGTTGGAGGAGTTGGTGCAGAAGGCGGTGAAGGAGGCACAACTAATTTAATTAAAAGGAAGCATATAAAGAAAATATAATTAGATGAGACAGTGAGAGAGAGAGAGAGAGAGAGAAAACAATTAGAATGATAAAAAGAGAGAGAATTGTCAGATTCCATTGTAATAGAAGAAGAGATAAATAATCCAACGAACCTTTGGATTGGGATACCATTTGAGACTTCATTTGCTCTCTGAGTTTTTGCTCCTCGGCAAGTTTATGACGTTTCTCTTCAAGAAGTTGAAGAATCAATTCGTGTATCGTTAGGTCTTGTAATCGTTGACCTGAGCTTGTTTTAGCATTAACATCAGCTCCATGTAAAATAAGTAATTGTACAGCACCAGGTTTTTGCCAGTAACAGGCAGCAGCCAGTGGAGTCCAACCTTCATGATCTCTCGCATCAATATCTAATTGACTACGAAGGGTACGATTGTTAAGAAGAGTACCCAGAACGTCAATGTAACCTTTAGCTGCGGCCACATGAAGTATTGTTGCTCCTGACTTAGGATGAGGTTTATCATCTGTTAAAAGGATAAAGAGAGAGAGAGAGAGAGATATTAGTAAAACGAAAGGAAAACATAAACAACTAGAAAAGGAGGTGAAGAAAAATATAAAATTAAAATAAAGTAAAAGTAAAGGGTATATACTGGCTGTTTGGAATAAATTTGAAGATGAAAATGGATAAGATAAGAAATGTTAACATAGATATTTATCTATGTAATATAAATACATAGATATATTTATTTATACGTACCAACAACTTGAGTTTTAAGCCAATTATTGACATCACTTAACATACAGATATGTTCTTGGTGTCTTAAACTATCCGCATCAGTAACACCTAATTCTAGTAATTTTTTCTCTATCGTCTCTTTAATGACAAGACTATCGGTAATGTCACAAGCTAATTCACCATCGTTATTAATTATCCTTGGGTCAGCACCTTTTTCCAATAATAAACTAGCAATGGATTCATTACCACAAGAGGCTGTTGCATGTAATGGTGTCCAACCCTCATGATCACAACAATCAATATCAGCTCCATGGTCTAATAAGAAACGAACCATTTTTATATTATCATCAATACAGGCTTGATGAAGAGCAGTTAAACCATCCACATTGGTACAATTAATGTTAACCATATTCTGTGATAAAAGTCGTTCACATTCATTAAGATCATTACAAGCACAAGCAGCAAGAAAGGTTGTTGGATGGCTAAATTTGATCTTTGGTTTCCCATTGACACCGCGATTATCACCCATGGCCAATTAAAACTAATTACACTTGATAATCGATGGTAACACTTGATAATGATGATGATGATGATGATTATGGTGATGAAGGAGGAGGAGGGGAAGGGGAAGGGTATTATTATTAACAATATTATTAATACACTTGACTTTTCAGCCTTTTTTTAGGCAGAAGAGCAAAGGGAAGGAAATTAAGAAGAGAAGAGAAAAAAAAAGAAACTGAAAAATGGTAAATGGTTTTAAGATGTTGTTGTACAATTTACATTTAGCAATCAAAATTTACATTTCTCTCATCTTGCACAGATAACTAACATCATCATGTACTCATCATACTCATCATCTTCATCTTCATCATCACACTCATACTCATCATCATCTTTGTGTTTTGATCTCGACTCTCTCTCTCTCTCAATGGTTTTTTTTACTCTCTTTTCTTACTTGAGTTTCGTTCACCACCACACACAATATATATAAATATATATATAAATCAGTGTTCACCCAATATGTTGGAACTGTAGAGTGGAAAAACTAAAAAAAAACTCAGAGTAAAACCCAAAATTAGACAGATGATAAAGAAAGAAGAAGACTAAGAATCTTCAATTTGTCTTTCTTTTTTTTCATCCTCTTTTTTTAACATTTTCGCAAATAGACCAACAGGTGTCACTCTCATAGAAGAGAAAACAAATTGAGAATTTAACGAAAAGCGGGAAATTCAAAGTTACTTTTAAATTTCTTTTCAATATGAATAATGAAAATTATTTTCCAATTAGAAAAGAAAATATTTTACTAATTTTATTGATCAATTAAGTATGGAAGTTGAGAGATATGCTTGAAAAAATGAGTTCTCATAAAATCTGGTCCAATGTCAATTAGATTTAAATTGTTTGGATCGAAATCAAAATGTTTATTTTGTCCAAATAAAAAACTTATTGATCTTTTGGTTAGCAAATTAAATGAATCAATAAATTGTTTAGATGAACTGGTAATCAATGGAGAATCTCTCATATCAAGAAGAACTAAATTAGGTAATAGTTGAACAATTAAAGGAACGTGAAGATCGGCTAGTTGATTGTTTCCTCGAATGGCCAAATGTTCAATGTTTCGATACTTGGTCAATATTAAATTAAATAAATTCCAATTCCAATTAAGTGAATAACTTTTCTGGAGATTAGAAAATGATTAGAATTGAGAATTTTTAAGAGAAAAAAAAATCGTCATTATGATTAGTTGAATTCTTACTACAGCAAATTCAAAGACGAAATCTTTTATCGATAAGTTTTCGATCTGATCGTTGATCTCAATTAGTCCACTTCGAGTATAAAATAGATAAACACTTCGCAATTTAGGACAATTATCAATTAAATTAAATGCAACGTAATTCTTATCATCCCAATAAGTGTGAATCAAGGTAATCAAATTAGGAAATCCGATTCGTACACTTTTAAAGTGTTTCAAATGATCAACTAGGAGCAAAATTAATCATTAGATTTGATAAATTGATCAAGAAAAACTTACAATTAACAAAACTTATGTAAAGTGATTCCAAGTTGATTAGGTTACTAATATTTTCCCAAAATATTGAATGATAACCAAATAGTCTGAGCTGTTTAAGTTTAGGTCCATTTACCGGGTCGATATTGGTCAGTTCGAGTCGGCAAGTGACCAGCATTTCGATGTTAGGACAGAATTTAGAAAAATTCGACTCGTAATAAAAAGGTTCAATTAGTCCCTTGATTGTTTTCGAAGTTGACAAAAATTTCGAGAATTCGGAAAAAACAATCGATTTGGAAAAGTTTTCATCGATAATCATTGATTGAAGATCAATAATCTAACAAATAATATTAACATTGTCGATTAGAAATTGATTATAATTAGTGATTAAGTCTTACTCGAAGCTTTGGTAAAAAATAACTTCCTAAATATTGGAGTAAATTTTTTCTCTCTGAGTGATTAATATAAATATAAATTGAATTCCAATAAATTTCGGTTGATGATTGATTCTCGAGAATTGGTAAACATTGATAATCGTAAGTATTAATAACTAAATAGTAAATGTTGTTAGTTGAATAATTTAATCTTGAAGCCAATTAAAAACTTACTTGTTGCATATTTAACTCTTGATAATCTTGATTTAACCAATTCCTCCCAATGGATACAAACTGTTGATTAGTAAGAAATTAAATTGTCTCGATTTTAATTTATATTAATTATTATGATACTCACCATTGAAACAATTAACTAAATCTTCAAAATCAAACAAATGGTTGAAAATATGAATAAGACAATCATCATTTAGAGTAGAAATCATTTTCGATAATAACTAAATTATTAGGAGAAATTAAAATTGTTTACAATTAGAGGATTCTAAGAGAGTGATAATCACTTTAAAGACTGTTAATCAAATGGATTGATTGTTGAACATTTTGAAACAATTAAAGTTTATATGTGTGTTTCCTTTAAATGGCTACACTGAGAAATTGATCAATCGAATCGGTAAAACAAATATGAAAATAGTTAACATACAAAATTCAATAACAAACGAAAACTTTTAAAAACTTGAATCAGAAAAACAATTGATCACCAAATTATTTTTCCTTTCATCGGGTTACAATATGATTGATTGAATTGTTGGACTTGATTTGATTTGCCCTGGATACTTAGAGAAGACAAATTTTGGCGATTGAAGAGATTCCTTAGCATAAGCTAATACCATAGTTGGAGTATTATGAGCCCAATATAATTCATCACAATTTCGTTCATCATCATGGATCACAGCAATTACTCCAGCTGATTTGCTTGTTGTCACATTTGCAAGGAATGGTGAGTCTGGAATATGGAAAATAGAAACAGAAAAAGATTAACTTTAGATGAAGAAATGAGTAAATAAACTATTGTAATTATCGTCCATTATACTTATACAATATATATATAATTTACCAGTAAATTTAGAGATAAACATGTCATTAAATGATTCAACTGATTGTTCAGTGTTCGATAAAAAGTAAGATGCACATTCTCTGGCAAATAAAGTCTTGACCAGATATTCACCGCTTCCAGAGGTACTGATTCCGACTGATTCTTGAGCCCAACAACCGGCGCCATAAGAAGCCGCTTGACCCATTCTACCAGGTACCTTGAAAAGTATTCCGCCACTTGAAACTCCAGCGGCAATATGACCTTTCCTGTCGACCGCAACAGCACCAACAGTATCAAATCGACGAGATTTAATTGAATTGTCAGGTTCACTTGAGTCTTGTCGGTCAATTTTTCTCCTTAATTTATTGTATGTGGATTCAGCTTGTTCTGTGGCATAAAGGTTAATGTATGAAGATGAGATGAAATAATATTCACTTATGAGTCTATGAGATGATTAGTGAAAGAAATAATTAGTTTTTAACAGTAAACAGACACCAAATAATTAAATGAAAATGAGAAGGAAAAAATTTCGTTTTCTCAAACCTGTAACTAGATTTGCCATTGGTAATCCTCGATCAACAGCCCAACGTTTAGCAGGTTCACCGACTAAAATATTTGGAGCAATTAGACCGTAAGGATTAACAATTAACTGTTCTTTAAGTAACAATTGGCTTATTTTAATTGGATTTTTAATTCCTGGTACAGCACCAACACCAGCCCACAAGAGACTATGACCATCCATTAAACTAGCATCACATTCAATGTTTCCATCTCGACATAAATTGGATCCATACCCTGAATTAGTTGATGGATCATCTTCCATAACCATGATTGCTTGAGTAACAGCATCAATAGCAGATAAATTGTCTTTAATTGCCTTTAATCCAGCTTCACATGATGATTTACAAATCTTTTCATGAATCTCTCGTTTGGATTCATAATGAACTCCAGCACCTAAATAATAGCAACAAAAGAAAACAATTAAAAAATTAACGATACAATTACAAACCATTTAGAGTCTAAATTACCATAAAATCTAATTAATTTACCTGCATGAACAGCAATCATAATAATTGATCACCTTAAATTCAATTGCACCAAGAAACATGAGAATGACAATTAACCAAAGTGAGAGAATCAAATTTTTCCAAACAAAAGGGAAACAATTGAGATAACAATTAATTTCCAAAAACACACAATCGTTGAGTTGATAGTTTCTCAGTTAAAATTAAATAATTTAAAGAGAAATTACCTCAACAATTAAAGAAAACAATTAAACAGAATGAGATTCTGTTGGAGAGGAAAAAACAACAACTCATCTTGAAGAAAGAGAAAAAGAAAGAGAATCAAATTTTTCTCTTTCTTTTTTTCCAATGTTTTGATTGGTCACATGTTTTTGTTTTTCTCTTGTTGTTGTTTTGAGTTTTCGCATTTCTAATTTTCAATCTAATTGTTGATTTAATTTTATTCTAAAAATTGGATTGAAATGTTTTTTCGATTATTTCGATTGGCCCATTTTTCTGGTTTAAGTTCATCTAAACGAGGACTCACTGGAAGGTCACAATATTTTCTTAAAGATGGACCTAAAGCAATTAGGCCTCGGGATAAGCCTGTTGTCTTTGGTGATTATTTATTGTTTGTAAGTTTTGTTTTTCCAATTAAATTGGCTGATTATCGGATTAATTTGAATTTATATTATCACAGGCGATTCCAGCGACTACCTTTTGTCTTGGTGCTTGGCAAGTCAAGAGATATATGTGGAAACAGGACTTGAAATCTCAACTGAAAAGTCAATTATCCAAGGAACCAGTACCATTGCCTGAAGAGTAAGTGAGATTGTTGATTGTTGTTATTAATTGTTGTTAATTTACATGTGTATTTGACATTTCTTTCTTGATAGTTTACGTGCTGTTGATGATATGGAATATCAAAGAGTAATATTAACTGGTCATTTTGACCATTCCAAGGAACAATTTATTGGCCCTAGAGTTTTCCTAAAAGAATCGGCTATTGCAGTTCCTAGTATGCTCTCTGGAAATATCAATGGTTTCCATGTAGTTACACCATTTAAATTAGCTAATAGAGATTATAGTGTGTTAATTAATCGAGGTTGGGTACCGAAGGATAGACTTGACCCTAGTAGAAGATTAGAAGGTCAAATAGAAGATGAAGTAACGATCACTGGAATTGTTAGAAAGTCAGAAATAGTAAGTAATAAACAAAGAATTACTATTATTATCTGTTAATCAATGGAATCGAAATTATTTTGTTTTTCTTTTTTCTTTTTTCTTTCAAAATTAGACGGACAATTATTCTGGATCAAAGGAAGCAAATGGTATCTGGCTACGTCGGAATATCGATCACATAGCCCAAGAATGTAATTCTGCTCCCGTTATGATTGACTCTGATTTAGAAAGCTCAGTTCGTGGTGGACCAATTGGTGGACAAACACGAGTTGAATTAGTTGACAATCACATGTCATACATAATCACTTGGTACACATTGACAGTGATATTATGTTACCTTTGTTTAAAGCGAATCTACGTTAAAAAGAATCCAATTCAAGTATCATAGGCAATCAACTATGGTTTGTGTGTGTACAATCAAATTGTAATTAAATCTCGACAAGACAATTTAGCTTATAAAACAAGATGAAGTTTATTCGGGTCAATAAGGTTAAAGTGAAGGACATCAATGGTCAGTTGAAAGGTTTATGAGTATAAAAGTTGATGAGATTGAAAGATATTTAAATTATAGCGAGAAAACAAAAAATAAGAAATCAAATTAATCAACCAACCAATTTTCGATGAAATTTCTTACATATTAAAGGTATTTTCTTTTTGTGTTGATTCACTTTTTTCACTTTAATTCTAATTCTCTTCTCAATCTTTTTCGTTAATTTAACAGGATCAACGATGAACTTTGGTCGCTCGTAGATGGTCATAAGTAGCTCTTCTTCAGCTTGAGATTGAATATATTTCGTCTTTTTCTTATTCTTTTTTGAAATCTTAGCAAACTTCGTTCTCTTCTTTCCGTTGCCATGTTTGAAGTCGTCATGATGGATTCCCTTAATCTCTTGGCCGCTCTGATTCGGGTTATATGAATTCGGTTGGTGGGTCTCAGGAAAATGTTGATATGGGTAATATTGTGACTCAGGGTAAGATTGTGATAAGAAACCAGGATCAGAAATATACGGATTAGGGTTAGACTGGAGTCCATAGTGTCCATTGTAATTGTAATCACTTGGATCGTAAAGTGAACAGTCAACAAGAGTTAAAATCACGGCGACGAGAAGGATTAATTCACGAATCTATTTAAAGAGCAAAAGAAAACACAAGAATAAATTTACAATTTAAATGAGAAAATATATGACAATCACAATCGAAATAATCAACAAATGAAAACTCACCATCACTTAGATGAAAAATGTAATGAGAATCAATTGTTTCCTATTGATATCAAACATTAACTTTGATTGTTTGAAGTAAACTGATCAATCAAATCACTTGACCGATCCTTTTATTCATCGACCAGTTTTCCCTAATCTATTTAAAAACGTTCATTTTACATAAAAAGTTTAATAGGTTCTCTGTTTTTCCTAATTAAATAGATTATCGTTAAATGGGTTGTGAACATTTTCCTGTTAATCCGATAATCTAATTGAAAGAATTAAAATTGGAATTTCAAAAAACGCGCTTTTCTTTTTTTTCCTTTTTTCTCTCAACCAAAACATTCGGTTGATCAACAATCTGATGTGTTGATACTTTTGTTTAAAAATCTTTTTAATTGATTAGTTGATTTAATTTAATTTAGAATTAAATTAATATTTTCTTCATCATTTGCATCTTTAATTATGCATAGAATTAGTTTTGTATTTTCTTTTTAATTCTTCTTCCTTGTTGTCATCTTGTTGATGTTCCATTGAAAGATGATTACAGTGAATCTCTGATTATCAGGCCACTTGCCGATGGAATGATTTATAATCATTTCCAATTTAAAACTATTCTTAATCAAGACATTGAATTGCTTCATTTAGGTGAGTTGACATTGTTGAGAAGTGGATTTGTTTCTCTCTTGTTGATTGGCTGATTGTTTTGTTTTGTTTTCTGTTTTCTGTTTTCTTTAGAAAATCATTTTGATCGATTCCCTTTGGCGATTGGTAATTTTATCACTAAAAATTTAATTAAGGAACTTTCATTCAGTCTTGCTCGTGGTCGCTGGAAACTGGATCAATGGGGTTATCCTTTAAGATATCAGCCCAATGGTGCCGAGCTTTGGGTTACTCTACAACAATTTAATCCAAAGTGAGTTTTTTTGTTGTTGTTGTCTCAATTGGATAAATTTTATTTGGAATCAATTTGATTTGATTATTTTTTTCATGTTTCTTTTTAGTCCTTGGAAATCATGGAAAGATATTACCAGTACATTATCTGGACTTTTTTGTGCTTCTCTCAATTTCATCGATAAAGCAGCTACAACTAAACCGAAATTTTCTCTCAATCCTGAAGGAATTTTCATCAATGACACTTTCCAACCAGAAAACATATTCTATGCAAGTCTAGCCCATGAAGCCGTTTGCACGGAAAATTTAACACCATGGAAAAAGCTTTTACCATGTTTCTCAAAGGCCGGATTAGCATCTCTTCTGAATGCTGTTCAAATTTTCAATTCTAATTATTTTTCACTTTCACTTGATATCAAATCAATTTGCCGGGTAAGTCTTTTTACCTGGAATTTAATCATCACAAATCGCTAATCTTTCAATGTTTTGCTTTTCTCCACTCACTTTCTCATAGACTCCAAGTTGTGATTCAACATCAATCCAATTAACCCAATCAGTTATGGTTGTTTTCAACCCACCAGCCATGTTTGAAGGTAAACAACGTTGGTCAATTGTTAAATTTTTCGGTACCTCATTAAAGAAAGAGTGTCCAGTTGCATCTTCAAGTAAAATCTACATTGAAACAACTAATAATGAAACATCAAATCCTCACATGTTGTCACCCGAACCCGAGACAAACATTGATGCTCATTATGGTGACGAGAAACGTAAATTTGCAGTTTATGATGTTAAAAAACTTCTAGATCACAATCGAAGTCAAAATATCTCTAAATTTAACATCTACAGTATGTACCAGAAAGAGCACATTTACAAAACAATTGTACCACCTTATATAACTGCTCATCGGTACATCACTGGTTATGGTGTTTTCCAGGGTGGAATCACTTGTAGGATATCAAATAGACTTTCGCAAGCTCAAAATGTCACCTATTTAGATGTGATTCCTTGGTACCTTAGAATTTATCTTCACACATTAACGATAACATCTGATGGTAAATCAATTGAACCAATTAAACTCTATCATGTACCGGGTAAGGATAGAGCTCAACCTCATCATCTTGAAATTATTTTATCACTTCCACCACAATCGATGACAACAATTAGTTATCATTTTGAAAGAGCTTTTCTTAAATGGACTGAATTTCCTCCTGATGCTAATCATGGTGTTTATGTTGGAGCTGCAACTTTATCATTCCAACCTCCTAATTTCCAGAATCTCACAATTCATCCGGATGAGACAAAAGTTAATGAAAATCCGATGATAATTAAGATTAAAACTGAAAGTCTTCTGGTTTCCTTACCAACTCCAGATTTCTCGATGCCTTATAATGTTATCTGTTTGGTGAGTACAGTGGTCACTTTAGCTTTTAGTCCGATTCATAATTTGACCACTAAAAGAGCTCGAATTGCAACAATCACGGAACCTCAAGGATTTGCAAGTCGAATATTTAAATTTTTCAAGAGAAAATAAACAAAATGTAATGATAGTAGAAAAAAATCTTGTAATAAATTCAACTAACGTTTTCTCAAAACAGATTTGAAGAACTGTTTTTGTTTGGTTGTGGAAATTGTTGAGCTGAACAGTTTCCTATTAGCTCGACAATTAAAACAGAACATAGACAAAAATGATTAGGTATAGATTTGGATTTCAAAATTTATTGTCTATTTTGCTGCTTTCTTTTCAGCATTTTTAGCGAGGGTAGTTAATCTAGCTGTTTGCATTTTCACAAGTCTATTTATCCTTTGCTTGGTTTTGTAGAGTTTGAATCGATCGAAATCACCCATCTTGGCTTTCTGTGGATATCAAAGAGAGAATAAGGAAAAATGACAATTAGTTTAAAACGAATAAATGACAAATTACAAATGGATGAGTAAAGTTCAAGTCAGATTAATCAAAGGGTATCGTCACTGTTAATCGGACGGCCCTATCCTATCAAGTACGGGAAGGTTCATCATTTAAAAGATTAAGAAAATGTTACCAATTAAGGTTCGATAAAAAGAAATGAGAATAACAAACCTTTTTCTTGTTGACCAAAGTCATTCCAGTTTTAGATTTAGCAAATTGTTCAACAATATCACTTTTCTCCCATCTTTCAGCCAATGCTTTTTCACCAATAGTTGGATGAATATCTTTCATCAAAAATTTGGTCAACTTCATCATCTTAAAACTCATTGGTTGTCGTTTAACACCAGTTGTTGGTCCAGAGACTAAAGCTCTGTTTTGATCGATGATATCAATAATGGTACATAATTTATTGCCAAATCTACCACCGGAGATTAAAGCAATTCGGCCTCTTTGAACAAAAGCTTTACGACCCTAGAAAGAAAATGTAACAAGAAAAAAAAATTAACACCAACACATTAAAACACATGAAGATAAAACTCATCTCTAAAAAAAAGGTCAATCGAATTAGAAACAAAACAATTAACTTACCATCTCAAGTTCTGTGAAAACCAATCCAATTAAATTAACTAATAAAAAGAATTAATTTAAATTACAATTAACACACTAAAGAAAAAATTTCTTCAATCAAATCAACAAACTAAATGTTCTTAAAGGAAACGGAAAAGGGAAACAGCCTTTCGGTTACCAGGGTAACTAAGTTTTCTTTTCAAAAAAGTGCGGGAAATACAAATTACGAAGAAATAAATTGTTATCACAATTAACTGATTATCTTTACGAGTGAAAAATTAGAAAACATTGAAATGAAGTTTAATTCAGTGTAATCAATCATTTAACCATTTCCTGGAAGATGAATGGAAAGTATTTACTATATAAAAGTTAGATTCTTAAAGTAAAAAAATGTATCTCAACAATCAACTAATTGAAAGCGGTAAATGTTAATTGTGATGATTAAGATTAAATTGAAGTGGATTAATTGGTTGGTCAAATTTTCTTTCAATACTTGCTGACCAAAAGAGTGGGAGAAATGATAATAAAAAAAAAGGATAATGATTTAAGGTGAAATTAACTTGATAACCTTGCGAGCGTGCAAACTAATCAACTAAATTGTGTTACAGTTAATCAAGTAATCATCATCATTAACAACAATAATCAAAACGAAACAATTAACTCGTTTACCGTTCACCTGATCTCAATCACTATCCAACAATTACCTTAATCATAACTGATATAAAAAAAAGGACAAACAATTTAAGATACAACTGATTAGCAACAATTAACAATTGAAATGATATCAATTCATTAATCATGACCACTAATGGACTTAAACAATTAATTTAATGTTCAATATGATAAGAAAACAAAATACTAACTATTAGAATCAACAATTTACTAAATATTGTTTAACAATTAAATGTCAGAAATAAACAAATTAACTCATAAAAAGTGATTAATTGTCAACAATTAAGTGTAAATAAACAGGCAAAAAAAAATAACATCAAATCAATTGTTTTAACATTTATTAATTTAAGGCACATTTTAACAATTGATGACGAGTAAACAATTAACTAATTGTTTCGCTTAATTGCTCTGACAATTTAAAATAACAGTAATGATGAAAATGAATATGAAATTTATAAGCAAATGAAACCCAGAAATAAATTATCATGTAAACAATTAAACCCGTTGATTGTTGATCAGTTTTCTGGTTGAAAAAAAAAATTTCCATTGATTAAAAAATAAGAAGTACTAATTGTGATCGTTGATTGTTGTCAATTTGATTTTAATGCTCATTATAAAGTTTCAAGCAATTAAGTAAAAACTGTTTTAACGTGAAAATGATTTTCAATTGTGATGATGATGATGATGATCTTATATAAATTGAAGACAATTAATTAATATGATTACGACGACGGCGATGATGATGATGATAAAATGGCGATTGCGATGATGATGGCGATGTTTATGAGCAGATTGATTGGTCACTAATGTCCATTCATATATTTATAACATGAGAAGTGGGGGAAGAGGAGAAAAGTAAAATAGTTCTAATAAAGAAAAAAAAAAGTTCGATGATGATTAAAACATTTCGATTGATTAACAAAATTTAGCAAAACAATAATCAGATAAATAAATAAATAGACTTATAAAGTTTGTATATTTGTCTGTCAAAGGGAAGGAAAAATTAACAAATCAGATTGTCTTGTCAGGATAATTAACTTAATCTACAATTAACCTGATATATCAAAAGGTTGTTGTTGTTGTTGTTTTGATCAATATAACGGTAAAAATAAAAGTTTTGTTTTATGAATGAATTGTTGATGTTTGAATAAAGAGATTTCCATGTTAATCCATAATCATTTAAATGTCCATTTATTGTTTAATTCCTTAATCTGGTTTGATGGATTGATGATTAATCCTAATTGATTTTGTTTCTCTTAAACTCACTCACTCTCTCGCTCTTTTTGTTTGTTATTAATTTTCGGACGATTTAATTAACTTTAGATGCTACTTTTTTAGATGAACTAATTGGTCGAGTTGCTTTGGTGGAAGTTGATGTTTGAACCTTTGGCGTGTAAGACTGTTTGTAGAAATCGCCGAACAGGAAAAGGAAAAGGATTCCATGGGCAGCTTGAAGAGAGATGAGGAACTTGGAACAGGTACAAGTTTGATCGGCGAACATGTAAAGTGAGTGGACAGTCGCGAAGCAGAATTGTACTAACTGTAATTGAGTGATATACTTTTTCCACCACAAATAGGGTTTCATGTGGGGACCAAGAGCGGAGAGAGCATAATATGAGTACATAACTGTGTGAACGAAAGCATTGATCAATGGGATGAAACCGTTATTGGTGTAAGAGGAAAACTTGAAGAAAATGTAGCACCAGAAAGGCATCATTGTGTGGTGGAAAACATGGAGCGGGGAAATGTGGGTATACTTTTTCCGAAGAACAAAATAAACAGTGTCAAGAAAATCGATAAACTTTGAGATATAATAAGTATAACCAAGATAGAATAGAACTCGATCTTGAGTTGCCGAACTTGAAGGGTCAAAAGGTCGACATTCTAATGTATCCAAGCCCCAATTGGTTCCCCACATTCCCACCAAGAAACCGATTCCATTCAAAAGTACAAGGAAAGTATTATGGGCTAACATGATTCCTCGCAGTTCGTAGGGTGGACGGTCTTTCATCATTCGTGGACCCATAACCTTAACAAAGTAAAGGTAGATAAGGGTCAATGCGATTACGTGCCAAGGTCCACCCTTTAAAAGGGGCAAATGACTAATACGATGGTCACCATAGATTTCCCAAAAATCGTGGCACCAATACTTGATCATTCCAAAAACGGCTTCCATTTTTAATTTTTGTTACAATTTACGAAGAAAAAAACAAAACAAATTTGATGATAAAGATGAATTGATGAGGTTGATGTTAGAAAATTCCGTTATAATGATTCCGTGATTAATTGATTGTGTTAATTGTTGATTAGGTCTGATGAAGATTTAACTTGCTACTTTCCTTTTTTTCTGTTCAATATTCAAGTGATTGAGTTTACAGTTGGTTGACATTCAATTTACTAATTATGATGATTATCAAGGTGAGATATTGATGAGGTAAATAAGATGTATGAATATCAATAATTGAGAAAACAAGATGATGATAATGATGAAGATAAAAATTTGTTAACGATCAATTAAATCACCTAAAAGTATTAGAGCGAATCAAAGATATTATCGAGTTTGTCGAGTTTTAATTTCTCTCTTATCGAGGTTAGATCAGTTTAAAAGAAAATCTAATGATGATTATCGACGATGATGATGATGATAATTGTCGATAACTGATGATCAGAATCCTTGATAGAACAATTAACGAATGGGAAAACACTTTTTTCTCTCTTCGACAAAAGAGAATAATTAACAATTCCAATCTTTCAAAGTTTACGATTAAATCACTAATCCCAATGGGCGAAGGATTTGATGTTAGATATTAGTTCCTAGTGTATTGTAGATGATCAAGTTGATTGTTTTGTGATCACAACTAATTTGCTTACTACAGAGAGCAAATTATCACAGATGAAGAAAAACAAAACAATCAAACGAAAACGTTGATTGTTGTAAACACTTTGATTAGATTCAAATCGTTGAATGAGATTGCAAATGATGCTTTTAGATTTTCAGAAAAGTCACTTCGAAATACTCACTTACCTGTTTCTTACTTTCTCTCTCTCTCTCTCTCTCTCTCTCTCTCTCTCTCTCTCATTATATCGCAAGGATGATTAGAGTCTGAAATCCAGTTTCCATCTCCTCCTTTCTCCAGGTAAGTTTAGTGCTCACTAATCTGTCCTCCTTTTATCTTCTCTTTCTTTTCCCTTCCCCTTTTCTCTTAATTATCATTTCGACTCTTTTTCTTTTTCTTCAAATTCCAAATACAATTTCATTCTTACCTGAATTTTTACCTCTTTCCCCTTTTGTCTTCTCTTTCTTTTCTCTCTCTCTCTCTCTCTCTCTCTCTCTCTCTCTCTCTCTCTCTCATTATATCGCAAGGATGATTAGAGTCTGAAATCCAGTTTCCATCTCCTCCTTTCTCCAGGTAAGTTTAGTGCTCACTAATCTGTCCTCCTTTTATCTTCTCTTTCTTTTCCCTTCCCCTTTTCTCTTAATTATCATTTCGACTCTTTTTCTTTTTCTTCAAATTCCAAATACAATTTCATTCTTACCTGAATTTTTACCTCTTTCCCCTTTTGTCTTCTCTTTCTTTTCTCTCTCTCTCTCAACCCTTCCCCTTTCATCTGAACTGTTTTCGAACTTAATTTCTCTCTCTCTCTCTTACTCACTCTTTCTTATTCAGGTTCAGTTTTATATCCAAAATCATGAATTTTCTTGGATAATTGTGTCTATTTATTATCTCCTGATAATAAAGATGAAAAGATTATCTTCTTTAAAGGGTCAATTATATTTATAATTTCATCTTCATCATTTTGAATCTAATTTCATTCACCACGAGTTACAAATGATTAGTTAAAAAGTATATCAGCTGATTGTGGTAAACATTAAGATAATACTAATCTAATATACTAATTGTTAATACATAAATCTGATTGAATATAACATAACTAATCTGATAAAGTAATCAACCAATCATTTGATTTTAAAACTGACAATTATAACCTAATCAGTTAAAAGCTCATTAGTTACACTTTCTAACAACAACAATAGACTAACAATTAAAATGATTAACCATTAACAAGATTAAGAAACAAACAAACAAACAAATATCCACCTTGAAGGTATTAATCAATATTAAATTCAATTGTGATGATTACAGTTTTACCGGTTGTAGATAAACAAACAATCAATTCAAGATTCAAATTGAAATGTTATAAAGAAACAACAATTGATATTATTTCACAATAAGAATCCAGGTAAACAAGGTGAACATGATTAAACCATGAACAAGGATGATGAAGATGATGAAGATGATATAATGTTTTATTTACAATCACAATTACCTGGTGTTTATCCCTCGCACCTTCAAGCACCAAGAATATCAAGTTACCCCAATAATAAGAATCATCATCATCTAAATTAGTTAAATCGTATGATATGATTAATATTCATTCATCATTCATTGAAAGTGGAAAATGTAAATCGATTCAATTTTAATAGTAATTTCGTCCTCTCTCTTGTCATTTTAACCTAAATTTGATTCTCTTTCATCATCATCATCATCATCATCTTCATGTTCTCAGTGTTATTTATATCTTTTACTATTTCGAAAGTAAAATAAAATAAAACGAAACTTTTACCTGTTGATCTTTCTAAAAGAAACTGAATATTTACCCTCAGGCGTTTAAAGAAGGAAGAAAAGATGATGAATGAAGAGAATGATGATGATGATGATAAGAGAAAGAACCGAAAAAGAGGTAAATGCTCTTTCTTATCTTCATGGTTTTAATGGTAAACATTTCTACTGGTTTTCGAACTTGTAACTCAAAAGATGACCCGACAAAACTTCATTGGACAGTCTGGACTTGACCATTAAGGTTAATGTTTATGGTCAAGGAGAAAATGATATTATCTTTTTTTTCTTGCTTCTTCTAATGGAAAAACAATAAGGATAATTAATAACTATCGAAAATGCCTCAGGCAAGTTGAACTCATCTAAAAACATGATAACCAGTTGAACACCAGAAAGGAAACAACAACAACAAGAACAATTCTCTTCATTATTATTTCAATTTCATTGAGAGATCATGATGAAGATGAAGATGAAACAAGTTGATGAATTTAAAAACCAGTAACAATCAAAGTCTATGTGAGTTTTCAATGTGTTCAAATCTTATTGATGAGATTCTGTTCTGATGTAATTAATGTCGGAATTTCCCAGCATCAAGCTTGATTAATATCATCACCATCATCATCATCATCTTCGTCATCATTATCATGATATTTATCATGATAGAATCCAGAATATCTTCCTAGATGAAAAATTCACAAGGTAAAAGTTTGAAACGATTCCAAGATTTAAATTCAGGTAGAAATGAAAAGGAAAAAATTATTTTCCTTCAAGGTAACAATCAACAACTGTTAATTACTTAAGAAATTGCTACACAATCAAAACAATTTACTAATTAAATTTGCAAAAACTATTTGATGAAATTTTCCATAGGAAAAAAAACCTCAACAATTTAAACTAAATCAAAATGAACACATGAACATCTTAGCATCGGTAATACAAATTGTTACGTTGCTGAAAAACTTTTAATTTGATTTAAAGTAACAAATTGTGTTAATCATCTTAAGCGATTTAGGTTAACAATTTAATGATAATTTACTTTTATAATCTAATTTACCATCTGATTAGCAATTTAATTATTCAACTTTCATTCCAACAAAAGGATGGTCGCCGAATTTTAGTTTTGAGTTAAGAGTTGAAACTTTGTATTTGAACCATATGAAGTCCAAATATTTATTTTTCAATCTGATCAGTAGTTTTCGAGAAAATCGAGTTCAGTTAAAACTGGTCCTTTTCTCAGCAACGATGGTTTTAGATCATGAAATTTTATTTTATCGACAACTTTCATGCCAGAAAATTAAATTTGTTTTGGTAAAAATATCAAAGTGCTCATCAATTCCGTTGTATTTAAATAAATGGACGGCGATTAGTCCCAAGTGTCGAGAATGATCTGAAACTTATTTTGAGTATCTAGTATGGGTTAACATGTGGATCGAGCACTTTTTCATTGATCAACAGTTTACGGAATGATGGCCTTTGATCTTCAAGGTAATATCTCGAAACTAAAATGATTGGAGATAAATAAATCAAATCATCGTCATTTAACCAAAGCTATCAGAAACAAAGTTTTGGCCTTAAAAGTGATGGTCAGCTGAGACTAAAGTTAATTAAAAGTTATACTACACTCAAGTTATAAACACCAAATGTTTTATGCTTGCTCGAATGAAATACTATTTCATCAAACATTGTCAAACTATTTTAGCAAAAGTGACTGTATTTTAAAACTATTGTTTCGATAGCTTTGGTTAAATGACGATGATTTGACTTATTTGACATCTCCAATCATTTTAGTTTCGAGATATTAGCCCTTGAAGATCAAAGGCCACTTTCTCATTCCGGTAAACTGTTGATCAAATGAAAAAGTGCTGATCCACGATAACCCATACTAGGATAGCCTCAAAATAAGTTTCAGATCATTCGACACTTGGGACTAATCGCCGTCCATTTATTTAAATACAACGGAATTGTCTGAACTTTGGATATTTTTACAAAACAAATTTAATTTTCTGTAAGGCATGAAAAGTTGTCGATAAAATAAAATTTCATGATCTAAAACTCATCGTTGCTGAGAAAAGTGACCTGAAGTTTTAACTGAACTCGATTTTCGAAACTACTGATCAGATCAGAAAAATAAATATATTTGACTTCATATTTGTGTACAAATACAAAAAGTTTCAACTCTTAACTCAAAACTAAAATTCGGCGACCATCCTCCTTAAGTTGCTTAAATTGTTGCTGATTGACAATTTACACTTTGATTATCATCATCAATCCTTTTCCATTGGTTGCAACAATTAACGTCGTTAATTGTGATGAAAAAAAAAGATGAATATTTATAAATTGTGATTAAGAACATGATTAAGTCTATTTATATTTCCAACTGGCCAGCGGTCATTTTGAGTTAATTTGTTTGTTGATTGTTGTTAATTGAAAACCTTAATCAACTTTAATTCACTTGTAAGCCAATACTTAGTTAATCATTATTATCAAATGATTATTATTATTAATTTTCATCAATTATCGTTTGGTGGTTTATTTTGATTAACCATCAAAGTCCATTGATCCCAGTTGATGATTACAATTTACCCTCGGGCATAATTTGATTAACAAGTTTCAAATGGTTAAACAGACAACCAAGAGACACATTTATGAAAATGACAATTTAAATAATTTAATTTTAAACTAAACTAAATTTTTTCATATTATTATTTTTAAATTAACAGTAAATTAAAAGCTAAATAAACATTTAAATTGTTGAAACTCATCGAAGTCCAAATTGATCAAACTCCTCATTAATTGATCAGAAACTATTTTATATATAAAATGACCTGACAAAATCGCGACTCATGTTTGTTTTCATCAATTCTTGTAATAGTAGCAAGAACCTTATGCCGTTTAATGTTAGTATTGATCGGATATTACAATTGTCTCATAAACTCACCTTCAAATGACCTTGAAACGCGTTTTTTCGCAAATGGTCTAAATGAAATTGACCTTTCAATATCACGATCGAATATCGCTCAAACTCATAACTTACCATTCAAGTCTTTAGGACTAAGAATTATCGAGCTGAATAGCCCTTTAGTTTTTCCTTCAGGGGAAAAAATGTCAATTCAAATGGAAAACAATGTAATTGATTTGTTTGATTTTCTTTTCGTCAACTTTGGAATTGATTTCTGAGGAAAAAGTTTAACCAATCATCGAAATTTTTTCTATTAAGTCTTCGTTCACTAATTAACAATAAAAATAATAATTTTCGAAAGTTAATTGATGATAGTTCTCTAAATACTTTAAGTTTAAGCAACGATTCTCATAATTTATTCTCAGCACGATTAGGAGGAGCTCTTCCACTTTGCCGCACTTGGAGCCATTTCGTTCAGGCATAGTTGGTGCTGGTCGTCCAGGAGGAGCGGGCGAAGATCTATATGAGTGTTTCTCGGGCACTGGTGGCCGAAGGTGGTGTTGGTTGCGATGGTCTTAACCAGTCATCTTCAACTGGTGGTGGTGTGTAAGTTGTCGCCATCGAAACACCCCCGCTGACTTTCAGCTGGTCAACTAGATTATGGATCATTTCAACTTGACGTTCCAATTGAGGATCAAGGGAGGAAACATCTTCGTTGGTAGTTTCTTCACCGTTTGTACCCTCCGCCGAAACTTTTTCAGGATGAATATCGGCTCGAAGAGAGGTCGCTTTTCATAAGTTAATATCTTCTTGTGATGAACTAAATGATAACTCAAGGTACTTGAAATCTTCAACAAACATTATCATCAATAGAATAGAAAATAATTATAACGATTGATTAATTTAATTTAGTGATTATAATCAATTGATTACAGTCAATTTTTCAGTTGGCGATAATTAACTTGCTAATCAACAGCAATTTACTCGGACAATTAGTGCTACTAAAGGTTAATCCATCATTCATGGCGTAGAATAGTTGATTAATCAATTTAATCATTAAATTGTCAAAATTTGACGAAAATTATAAAGACAATTGTTATCAACCTTGAAACAGAAACAATTTATTTAACAATCTAGGGTTTAATTTTGAGGAAAATTTCAAATGAAATCAATGTGTTGTTAGTGATTAAATTTAATTTAAATCAAGAAGTGAAAAGTTAATTGTATTTTTAACAATTAACGACGGAAAAAAAGTGGTAATAAAGGGAAGCATTTACGATCAAAAACATTAAAATCGTTAAAATTAACAATCGTTACAATCTAGTTAAGACTTAATTACAATGAAGAAGAACCATAATTAACACCGAACAATGATAATCACAAGGTCCAAGTAACAACAATTAACCAGATGAAAAAATTGGCAGAAAATAAAAATCAATCCGATCAACAATTTGATGAAATGATTTTCAATGTTGGTCAATAAATTAAAATGACCAAATTAGGTTGAGGGTCAACGGATAGTGATTAAGATTATGCCTGATTAGAAACAAAGTATGATGAAGATGAAGATGAAGATGAAGATGGAGATGGAGATGGAGATGATGAAGATAACTCTCAATTCTGAATTTGAATTGTGATGAAAATTTCGCCTCAAGGTAAAAGAAAACGATTCAATCAAAATGGTAACAACGGTGAGTGACCTCATTCACATCATGATTAAGATGATGATGAAGATGATGAAGCTCATCAAGTCACCTTTTTTTAGATTGTTTCCCTTAAATCCAGTTTCTATCATAATCACAATCAAATCATAATCATGATTAAAATTGATTCTAATTCAATGTATCCCTTTTGTTTTCATCCTTTTCCTTTTCATCATTTTCTTGGAGGTCATTTACTAAACCATAATTTTCCTTCAATCAATTGGACAATTAACTAAACTAATCTCCATCATCACCATGTAATTGTCTCATTTAATATTAATCATCGTCAATAAATGATTACAATGAAAGACAATTTAAGAAGAAGAAAATAATTTAAGTTAATATCAATAACGTCAATTGGAAAATTTTTAATCATCAGAAACAATTTCCTCTTAATTGTTGTTGGTAATAAATTAAATTGATTGTATCAACTACTGTCTATTATATTACTTGATTATCTTTCACTCTCACTTAACAATTTAACCTACAATTAATTGTAAGATAGAAAGTTAAATTAAGATGAACTACTTTTTCTAACCAACAATTAACCATTTCTGTTAATATAAATTCATTTCCACTTATTTTGTATGATCAAATTTTGAACTTGAACTAAATTGTTTGATAACTTTTGATTGTTAATTTTTGAAAAGACACATTTAAATGTTTGCAGATATTTAATTGTTTCAACACAATTAACAATTCGTTAACCAATTAATTGTTATATATATTTTTCTCTTGGTGATTGACAGTTAGTTTGGTTGGTAGTTAATTTTGAAAGTCTTCAGGTAAATATATTAATTGTAATGAAAAAAGAGATCAAGAAATTTTCACAACTTTTACCTTAATCATTATAATCTATGATTTGGACAATTAAATTATTATCTTAATCAGTAGATAGTTAATTTAGTGTATTATTTTGTATTTTAAGTTTTCTACAGTTGATTTTTGTTTTCTATTCCGTCTTAATTGTTGGCAATTGTAAGTAGATGATTGATATTGTCATTGAAAGTTGATAATGATGTTGATTGATGAATAACAATAAGTGAAATTAAATATTTGATAAGGTGAGATGATAGATTAAGGGATAACAAAGATTTGATTAAAAATAGTAATTAAGATGTTTGCAGTTGATTGTTATTTGAATTGATAGTTGATTGCTGGTCAAGCCAAAAAAAAGACATTGACACCCAAATAACAGGTAACATTTGTATAAGATTAGATTGGTAATCAAAATAATTGTGCAACAAAATTAACATGGTAAATTTGGATGAATAATTGTCCAGAGACTAAGGATAAACTGACCATGAACGATTAAAGGATAGAGACAGAAAGAGAGAGAGAGAGAGAGAAAGATGATTAAAAACAATAGGCAGTAATTAGATTGGCAATTTGAATTAAGAGGAATATGATTTTCCGGCAATTTGTTTGGCCCCAAGTTTGCTATCAATAATCAAGAACCAATTTAAGTCCTGGATTGATCTTTTTCTTGGCACTATCAGGAATTAATTGTTTGGTTATCGATGGTGATGGTGTTGGTAACATGTTCATCTTTGATTGTTGTTGTTGTTGTTGTCGTTCGGGTGGAGGTTTAAATGAGTGTTGGTGTTTAATTAGATAGGAAGAAGTTGAAAGAGCTGAAGTTGCAGCTGATGTTGTTGTGGTTGTCCGACAAGAAGATGATGATGACCAGTCAACTGTTTGGGTTGAAGTAAAATCCCAGGAAACAAAATTATCTTCATCTTTAATTTCAAAGGCACCAATTAGTGTATGTGAACAATTACCAATAAACCAATTGATACACTTTATCCATGTGAGAAGAAGTGAAAAAAGTGTAAGTAGAATCGCGAGTTTAAAACATTTATACAGTAAAAGAATCATTTCAACCTCATAAAGCCAATACACTGATTAGAATTAGAAAATTAATTAAGTTGTACAAACGAAACAATTTTAAAATTACAGAGAATAAAAAAAAAGAACAATTAATTAATTAGAAATGAAAACAATAACAAAGAAAAACAATTGACTACAAAGAGAAAGAGTTAAGGTGAAGACCAATGAGAACGAAGGAAAATCATGTGACACAAATGTGATTTTTTTCTAAAAAGAAAATTTTATTTTCTATTCTTATTTTTTATTCTCTCACTTGATAATTAATTGATTTTCTTCTTCACTAATTAACCTTCTATTCATCTAGTTCTTCTCGGTGTTAATTTAATGGAATCACGATAATCTAATCTGTGGATAATCAAAAAGTCAACTTACCTTTGGATTCTGTTTGTTATGTGCCTTTGGTTTTATCTTTTTGCTTTTCTTGTGATGTTTTGCTTTTCTAATTGTTGATTAATTGAATTGAACAATTAGTGGGAACAGTTAATTTGTTTTATGGCCTCAATGGTATTTTACAAGTAATTAAATTGTGAAGATTTGATCTTAATTAAAGCAACAGTAGCAATCATAAACAATTAATGTTTTAATCAATTGTGTTTCTCAATAACAATAACAAAATATTTTCACTTTTTTTTTGTCTTGTTTACAATTACTTTTAATTAGTGTTACCTGTTGATGGATAGACTTACCTGGCTTTGAATTGGAGGTGATATTGGAGCCAAATTATATCAGATTAACAACAATTAAAAATGATCTGTAGTTGATACAACAATCAATCTGATTTGGAGTCATGCTGATTTATAACATATTACATTCACCACTTGGAAAAGTGCATTTTTATTTGCCTCTGGATTGTGATTAGGTAATTTGATTGTTCCTTTTTTTAAGTTAATCGCAATTAACTCAATCAATTTAAACTTGTTCTCTTTCTAATTTACTTCTATTCTCCTTCCTTCCAGGTAAATTTGAATCAATCGGTGAAATATGATGAAAATTAACGGAAAACCATTTCAACTATCGTACAGCAACAACAATAACAAATATACACACACAATTAACACTCCTGTTGATTGTGATTACATGATTAGTATACCAAACTCATGGATGACTGAAGATATTAATATGAGAAGAAGAAAAAAATTAGTTACGATTAAGTAAATGGAAACAATCACAAGATGAATTTAAATTAAGGAGAACCCATTGAATGAGGTAAGTTGAAGAAGAAGAAAAAAGTTAATTCAAAAGCAAATTGTTTACCTTAACCAATTAAGATCGTTACAATCAGTTAATTGTTACAACAATGAACCAACTCTCTATGATCAGTTTCAAATAGTTGATTAATAATCATCAACCAAATGGAAACAACAACAATAATTATCGGTTGATTGACGTATTGATTGTTGTCATTAATACTACAATTTGTTACTTATTAACATTTTTCCTTTTTCTAAATAACAATCTAAATAATCATTAAACAATTATTATATTCTATGGTGATCAACAATTTAACTAATCATCGTTAATCAGTAATCTTCAATCTTCAATCAAAAACAATAATTGAGAAAATTGTACAAATCAAAAAAAATTAAGGTTAAAGGACAAAAGTGATCGGTTAATATTCATGAAGACAATTTAAATCAACAACAATCACCAGCATAAACAATAATCAATATTGATTACCAATAAATTAATTGTTTATTAGAAAACTAATTAATCAACTTTGTAAACAAACAAATGAAAGGTTAATTTGTTTATACGCTAATTACCAATAACAGTTATCAACATTTGATTGGGTCAACTATTAACAAATTTCAATCTCATCTCCAATCAATAAATGATGATTAGTCAAAAATAATTACTAATATTATTATTGATTGGGTAATTAAGTTTTTTTTGGTAACAATTTACTAATTGTTGTAATAATCAATATTAAGGATGAAACAAAAAGGATTTAACCTGATTCCTTGTAACTGTTTCATGAGACAAGTTAATTTAGATTAAGCAAAACAATTTAGTTAATTTCTTCTTAGCTTCATCTCAATCATTTAATTCAACTTGAAATGTTTTCAACTCAATGTCTGATTGGACTATTTAACAATTAAATTAATTAGCCTAAAGGGGTTAAAGGTTAGTGGCTATTCAATGACCCAAATTGAATATTCAATAATTTACTAACAATTTACAGTTAATCTTTGTTGGAAAATTTAATATTTCTTTTCTTTATTAACTTTTGATTGTAATTAATTAACGTAATCGTTATAATCGTTTGAAAAATCAAAGTGAAAATTGTAAACAAACTTTTCCATAGCAATCAATTAATCAGAATGAACTTTCGACTTGACTAATTAATATAAACGCCATTTAACTGAACTAATCACTATCTAGATTAACTAATTGTGATTAAACTCTAATAGAATTTTTTCAGATGATTAATAATGAACAAATTCAATTGGATTGTTTTGATTTCTTCTAATGAATTCCGTTGACTGATTAACTTGAATCGGCCAATTTAATGATCGCCAATGTCCAAACTTTCACTGGAAATCATGTTCATCGTGTTTCAATTAACTAATTGCTGAATTGATGTTTCGAACTCTTTTTTTTTCATCAGCATGAATGACACAAATTAGAAGTCACTTTCCTCGAGTATTTTTTTTTCTCGACAAGATTTGATTAACCTTAAATGTCCATTGTGACATTAAATGATGAACAATGTTAAGATCATTGTGATTAAATCGAGAAACAAGTTCTAAAGTCCAAGTGTAAATTAGGTTCACTGGATTAAAAGCCTAATACAATAAGAGAATCACAATTCTTGTTGATTTGATTAACAATCAGGGAATTGAAAAGTCACTTCCTCTTATATATGTTGATCTAAAGTAACCATGAGTTGGATTAAATTGTCGATAACCTTGAATGGAAAAATTAAATTTTCCTCCTCCCTTTTGTCTTCTTATTGTTATTGTTTCAACCATTGTTAATTCTCGTGAGTTTGTAATTAAAATGATTAATTTGCTAATTATTTTCAGCCGAGAAAAATGTCCAAAAATCCAACTATTAATGAATGGAGGATATTTGATTGACCTGAAAAAAAAACCGAACTAAAAAAAAGAGGGAAAAGATAATTATTATTATTATTATATCGTAACATTAAACAATTAATGTGATTATTTCACAAACTCACCATGAAAATGTTAAGGATTAAAGTGACAAGGTTAGGTTAGTATGGAAAAGAGATAATTACTGATTAAAATTGAATATGTTCATGACCTTTAATCACCAATAGTAAGAATAAAAAAGGAATTGACAATTTTCACTTTTCTTTTTCTCACCAACTAAACATAAACACGAAGGTCGCAGTTCAACAGGTATTGATTTCGTTTCTACACCGATCAACATGTACCGATCAAATTTTACAAATACTTTTTTCAATGTTCTTCTAATAATTTTATTATTTCATTATAACATTATATCTTTAATCATTTAACCTTTTATCAAGTGATGGGCGATATTTGAAAAAAATATCATCGACAATATCGAGATCACTACATTTATGGTGTTGGAGTTAACCCGGCAGCAACACACGCAGCCATACACGTACCAAGGGCAACATTGCAAGCTATGACAGCGGCTGGTGCACTAGCTCCAAAAGTAACACCCATAGTTGCCCCTGCAGCTCCATAACAAGCAACAGCCATTGCATTACAGCCTGTTTGACAAATGCCATAGCTCAAAGGTCCACCGTTGACCAAAAAAGGGATACAAAGGAAAACGAATAAGAATTTCATCAAGGAGAACATTTTGTATCAAATTACCAAACAAAATGGACGGCAGAAAGTGAATATATCAGGTAATCAAAGGTACGAGATGAAGGCGTAGAAAAAAATGATCCAAATTAAAATCTATTGAGAAAAAAGATATAAGAAAAGAAAAGAAAACAATTAAAAAGTTGCGATTTAAAAGGTAGACATGTTTTTTGTTTTTCTCTCTTTACAAACTTTTAAATTGCTGGCGATTAATTTACAATTTAAATTTCAAGGTTAAAATGGTCAGAGATCAACTACTCACATTTAGTTATAATTGTCACTTTTCCTTCCACGTAAATAATCAAGTGAAAACAATTTAGTTGTGTTGCCTGATTAAATAAATAAGATTATCAGATTAATCTTTCAATCGATCCATCGGGAAACGCCAATTTTCTGATATTTTTCGATTCAGATTATACCCGATGCAGTATCAAAAACTGTCTTGGAATTGTAATTAACTTTAATATCTACACCTGGAATTAAAAATATTGAATAATCCATTTGTCCAGTATTGGTACCAGCCGAGTTCGGATAGACTTTAATTCCACCAGAGTTTATGGTTTGTTAATTGTTATCGATTGTTAATGAGAAAAGTCGAACGACGAGAGATAAAAAATAGTATCACCAGATTGAATTTAACACGGGAGTTTATGGACATGACGGGTTTTGGCCTTGTACTCAGAGACGATGCATTCTTCGTAGTGTAACTATCGTAATCTATTGGAAAATTAAGTAACTATTGAGAAAATTTTTTCTTTTCACTCTTTTTGTCTAGCTATTCTCACCAACTAGACATACACACAAAGGTCGCAGTTCAACAGGTATTGATTTCGTTTCTACACCGATCAACATGTACCGATCAAATTTTACAAAATTTTTTTCAATGTTCTTCTATTATTTTATTATTTCATAATAACATTACATAAATGCCATTTTTCCTGTGATGGGCGATATTTGAAAAAAATATCATCGACGAATCGATATCACTACATTTATGGTATTGGACTGCACCCGGCAGCAACACACGCAGTCTTACAAGTACCAAGGGCAGCATTACAACCAATGTAAGTGTAAGCATTAGGACCAAGAGTAACACCCATAGTTGCCCCTGCAGCTCCATAACAAGCACAAGTGGCTACATTACCCGTTTGAGCAAAGATATAACCCGAAGGTCCACCGTTGACCAAAAAAGGGATACCAAGGAAAATGAACAAGAATTTTACCAATGAGAACATTTTATATCAAATTACCAAACAAAATGGACAATGGACGAAAGAAAGTGAATATATCAGGCAATCAAAGGTACAAGATGAAAGCGAAAAAAAATAATCCAAATTAATTCTATTGAGAAAAAAATATAAGAAAAGAAAAGAATTAAAAAGTTGCGATTTAAAAGGTAGACATGTTTTTGTTTTTCTCTATTTGAAATCTTTAAATTACTGGAGATTAATTTACACTTTAAATTTCAAGGTTAAACAGGTCAGAGATCAACTACTCACATTTAGTTACAATTGTCACTTCTTCTTCCACGTAAACAATTAAATGAAATCAATTTAGTTAAGTGTTGCCTGATTAAATTAATCAGAAGCTGATTATCAGATTGATCTTTCAATCGATCCATCGGAAAAACGCCAATTTCCTGATATTTCTGAAGCCAGATTATACCCAAAACTGTCTTTGAATTGTTATGAACTTTAGTATCTAAACTTGAAATTAAAAATATTGAATAATCCATTTGTCCAGTATTAGTACCAGCCGAGGTCGAATAACGCAATCGGCTTTAAAAGATTAGACTTTAATCCATCAGTATTTAATGGTTTGTTATTTGTTAATGAGCAAAGTCTGACGAGGGATAAAAAAGTGTCACCAGATTGAATTTAATACTGGAGTCTATGGAAATGACGGGTTTTGGCCTTGTACTCAGAGACCATACATTCTTCGTACGTATAACTATCGTCATTTATTGGGAAATTAGGTAACTCTTAAGAAGAAATTTTTTTTTCTTTTCACTCTTTTTTGTTTAGTTTTCCTCACCGACTAAACATACACACGAAGGTCGCAGTTCAACAAGTATTGATTTCATTTCCACACCAATCAACATGTACCGATCAAATTTTACAAATATTTTTCAATGTTCTTTCTTTTATTATTTTATTATTTCATAATAACATTTGATAAATGCCTTTTATCAAGTGATGAGCGATATTTGAACAAAATATCATCGACGAAATCGAGATCACCCCATTTATGGTATTGGACTGAACCCGGCAGCAACACACGCAGCCATACAAGTACCAAGGGCAACATTGCAACCTATGACAGCGGCTGGTACACTAGCTCCAAAAGTAACACCCATAGTTGCCCCTGCAGCTCCATAACAAGCAACAGCGACTGCATTACAACCCGTTTGACAAATGCCATAGCTCAAAGGTCCACCGTTGACCAAAAAAGGGATACCAAGGAAAACGAACAAGAATTTCATCAATGAGAACATTTTGTATAAAATTACCAAACAAAATGGACGGCAGAAAGTGGATATATCCAGGCAATCAAAGGTACAAGATGAAGGCGAAGAAAAAAAATGATCCAAATTAAATCTATAGAGAAAAAAATATAAGAAAAGAAAACAATTAAAAAGTTGCTATTTCAAAGGTAGACATGTTTTTGTTTTTATCTCTTTACAAATCTTCAAGTTGCTGGCAATTAATTTACACTTTAAATTTCAAGGTTAAACAGGTCAGAGATCAACTACTCACATTTAATTATCCAGAGGTGTTTGCACTTACAGCATATAAGATTTCAGTATCTCCCCAGTTAAGGCTTACAAAATACACGGTGATAAGAAAGTTCGTGTGAAAGGGGTTGGGGGTCAAACCAAATTTACAAATGCAAATGTTTATCTGCGCATCTCTAACCCCCATTTTCCCTCACACGAACTTTCTTATCACCCTGTATTTTTGTAAGCTCAATTTCTCAAATTAATTCAACCTCGATTCTATGGCGCGAGCGTTTGAAAGAGCAAAAAATTGTATTCTTAAAAGGGAAGATTTTTTTTGGTGGGGAAATCAAATCAAGGTGAAGATGGAATTGGATGGTAAGGTTCAGAGCCTTAGGCTCTCATCGACCAAGAGAGAAGGTAAAATTTTGAATTATATGAGTGTCCGATGAACCTGTCTCATTGTTGACCACATCTTGAGCTTCCGATGCAAAGGAAATTGATGGTTTCAACATGGAGAAAAGTCCCCATGACTTGGAACGGAAATTGATTCCATAAAAACAGGCCAATGAAATATTGTTCCCAATAAGTTCAAAGGTACCACCAAGAATAGTTCCCTTGGTGGGCAGAGGATTACAAAGGGTGGATAGAGATGCACCCGATACAAGACGCAAAACTTTCTGCCAATGACGATGATGACGATAAATCTCATTACTCGGTGAACCAGAATCAACTAAACCCGAACCACTGGATGTTGATGTTGGTGTTGAGGGTTTAACTATGCCCGATCCTCTGGTACCTTTGTCCTTCTTGAATGTCATTATCCGTCGTTGTTGATTTGTACCTTCCGATGAGACTGATGAGTGCAAGTGAGAGTGTTTAATGCGATGGGATGAACTTGCATGTTGAGAACGATGAACATCAGTATCTTGAATATTTAACCATAATGAATCTCTACCTCGACTATTTGGAGATTTATTAAAATGACCTGAGGTTTTGATGGACGAAGTTGGTAAACCTGATTCATTAATACTCGTTGATGAACTTGATGTTGATGGTGAGGAAGATGAAGATGAAGATAAATTGTAATCTTGATCGGAGAAAATTGAATGACCAGAGATTCCTTGGTCACCCAAAAACATACGCTTCCAAATGGCCTTTCGATACCAGGCTTTAGGGAAAGCCAAAGTTTCCGTCAATCGGCGCATATCATATTTAAACGAAGCTGAACCAATGTCGCAAAGTGCTGAGAATCGTATCATAACTGTTTGATTAAGTTTGTCTTGTGATGAATGAGATGATCGGATAATTGATGGTGGGGAAGTTTCCAAGCTTAAAACGAGTCGGCGACTTCGAGAAATGTTGATCTTAACAAATTCAACTTGTAAACTAAGAGCATCTTTACGATCAGAGTTTGATTTCGGGTTAGGGAAAGATGTGGCCTCAGAAATTGATGAGCCTGGTGCTTTCTTTTGTCCACCGTATGGGTGGAAAATGTAAAGTGAAAAATCAGCAAGACAACCGGTCATACTTAGGCCACCTATCGATGTTTCCGTTTGATGTTGAGGGTGACGATAATCCGATGCTGACCTTTTATGGCCATGTTTAACGTTACCTGTTCGAGAAGGACCACAAGATGTTGAGTAGGGAAAATTTTTACCTAAAGGTTGTTGTGGTAAATTAATGTCAAGTTCATCTTGAAGTCGTTTGGATGAAAAGACAAGATCAACTGAGGGAAGTTGAAGTAAACATTCAACTCGAGAAACCGGAAGACAACTAAATCGTAGGACAGAGGGTTGCATGTGAAGGTAAACAATAACATCAACCGGAAAAGACCCATAGACAGCATATTGAGCTGGTGCCGATGTGATTAAATCAGGTCTGGCAAAATCATCGGGAGTTAACTGGTGGCCATCAGATGCAAGGGGTGAGGTTTTACCCGAGGATGAAGGTTGAGTGGAAATGGGCTCAAGTGCTTTCAAGTATATGAGGTGATCAACTCATATACTTGAGGAAACGATAATCTCGAGATTATCGTTTCCTCTGGTATTAACGTGTAACTATCTATTAGAAAATTAAGTAACTATTGAGAAAAAAATTTTCTTTTCACTCTTTTTTGTTTAGTTTTTCTCACCAACTAAACATAAACACGAAGGTCGCAGTTCAACAGGTATTGATTTCATTTCAACACCAATCAACATGTACCGATCAAATTTTACAAATACTTTTTTCAATGTTCTTCTAATAATTTTATTATTTCATAATAACATTATATCTTTAATCATTTAACCTTTTATCAAGTGATGGGAGATATTTGAAAAAAATATCATCGACGAATCGAGATCACTACATTTATGGTGTTGGAGTTAACCCGGCAGCAACACACGCAGCCATACAAGTACCAAGAGCAGTATTGCAAGCTATGACAGCGGCTGGTGCACTAGCTCCAAAAGTAACACCCATAGTTGCCCCTGCAGCTCCATAACAAGCAACAGCCATTGCATTACAGCCTGTTTGACAAATGCCATAGCTCAAAGGTCCACCGTTGACCAAAAAAGGGATACCAAGGAAAATGAATAAAATTTCATCAAGGAGAACATTTTGTATCAAATTACCAAACAAAATGGACGACAGAAAGTGAATATATCAGGTAATCAAAGGTACAAGATGAAGGCGTAGAAAAAAATGATCCAAATTAAAATCTATTGAGAAAAAAATTAAAGGAAAAGAAAACAATTAAAAAGTTGCGATTTAAAAGGTAGACATGTTTTTGTTTTTGCTCTTTACAAACTTTTAAATTGTTGGCGATTAATTTACAATTTAAATTTCAAGGTTAAACAGGTTAGAGATCAACTACTCACATTTAATTATAATTGTCACTTCTTCTTCCACGTAAACAATCAAATTAAATCAATTTAGTTTAGTCACTTAACTTAAGTGTTGCCTGATTAAAGACTAATCAATCTCTCTATCGATCATCGCTCGTTTCTGGATATTTCTCGAGATTTTATTCCCTTTCCTTTCTTTTCTCTTTCTTTTCAGGCGCTTTTATTTGAAAATTTCGACTAAAACGAACACAAACGCCACCCTTTCTTCTCTTTCTTTTTGCTCGATTATTTTAATTAGGGTCTCGACATTTGTTCACTACAAAAAAAAATTCGACTCATATCGATTCTTTATTATTCTCACAGCAACATTGCGAAAGTTAATTGTTTAAGTACATCAGTTGGAAATTCATTTGCTAACATTCACATCAAAGTCACTGAGAGCTTTTTAACCGCATATTACTGATGATCTGTTCTTTGTAAATAACTGTTTAGATTTTAATTAAATTGGGAAAATAAAAAAGTTTAGAAAATGAAAAAGTTAAATTCGAAACCAAAAGGTGTCGCTACTCACCAAAATTCTTCGAAAGTATAACTATCGTCATCTATTGGAAAATTAAGTAACTATTGAGAAGAAGAAAATTTTTTCTTTTCTCTTTCTTTTCACTTTTTTTTTGTTTAGTTGAAGTTGAACTTTTAATGAGAAAACATTGATAATTTATCTTAACTGTAATTCCAATGTGCTGATTTGACCATTTGGTCAACAACAGAAAAGAAAAGGACAATGATTATTGTTAAAATTAATTCTCACAACTGTTAATCACTTATTACGATTGTGATCAACAATTAATTTCTATTAGTGGTTCAAATGATTTACTCTCGTTATTGAGAAGAAGACAAAAAACAACAATGGTTTTAATTGATTCTCATAAGCCAATTTGTGGATTTACCAATTCGAAAGTGTATTCATCATCATCATCATCATTATCTTCACCATCAACATCATTTCATGGTGATTATTATACCATGAGAAGTGTTAATTGTGCAAATAGATCAATATTTAAACCAGTTAATTGTTCAATATCTTATTATATGAATTGGATTGTAAATATTTTGTTAAAAGTGATCATATGTTTCATTTTGATACCGATTATCATCTTACCTTTATCATCATCATCATCATCTCTAGTCCAGTCAAAACGACAACCTCCAGGTAATTAAATTAAATTGAATACAAGTATCAACAGAAAACCACCTTAACCAACTCGAGGAATTAATTGTCACAACCAAATAATTGATTAAGAATGACAGTTATAAGAATGAGCAAAGATACAAACAAAATGAGATTCAAATTAAATCACTTTAAGAAAACGTTATTCTAAATAAATGGAAACAATTTAGTTAATCGTTTTCGAGGTTAAATGTATTAACAGTCGAGAGAGAGAGAGAGAGAGAAAATAAAAATTAAACTAATCCACCAAGATTAATGTGAATTTAAAGGTAAACCACATAATAAGATGGATCATTAGATTTACTGATTAACCAAATTTAATGTTTAACCTTAATTTTCATTGAATTTCCAACATGCACCATTACCAATACACTTAAATTGATAGGCCTCAACTTTGGCGATAAGTTTAATATGGTTTATCATGGGTAGCCAAAAGGGTGGAGCTGAATTAATGAAGATGATGATGATGATGATGATGATCTTCATCAGGATAAGATGAGCAAGAAAAATTGATCCATTAAATGTTACATTAATAGAGACGCTTCTTTTTATCATAATCATCATTATCATCAACGTCAATAGAAAGTCTCAATAGAGATGATGAAGATAAGGGAATAAAATAGAGAAGCAAAAATTCAGATGGACAGAGAGTTAATATTGTTCTGACCAATGGTCAGAATATCATGATGATGAAATTTCACTGTTCTTTTAGTACTGAAAAGAGAGAGAGAGAGATGAGGATGAACAAGGAAGATGATTCAATTTCCTCTTCCTTTAATCATATTAATTGAGCGCAAATGACGATGATAATGATGATGATGATATTGTTGATTATTTAATATTATACAATAGATGATGATCTCTCTCTCTCTCTCACTCTCTCATCTTCCTTTGAGACTTAGATTAACTATTTCTCCAAGGTAATGATGCAATTCACCTTACGACACCTTCCTCATGTCAAAAACCTCCTAACATGATAGTCAAAAATTATAATCAACTATTAGAATAAAAATTTCTCCTCCTCATGAACCATTGTAATCATGATGATCATCATGAAATTCAATGAGATAACATAAAAATAAGTGAAAATTTCTCCTCATACAAAGGAAACTAGGACAGTTTTCCAGAAAATTAAATACCAAACATGATGATAAAAGTGAAGATGAAAATAAAATATATTGAATGAAAAAAAAAAGTTCTGAAACCAATAGCAACTTCTTACTGTCCAAAAAAAATTTCATTTCGATTATTATTGTTTATTAGAATTTTTTTTTTCTTCTCTTTTTATCGAAACTTTTATTTCATGATGAGCAAAAAGAAAGACAGAGGAAGAGAGATGAATCGTTCTCTTCTTGGAAAGCCTTTGGCAAGAGAAATGATGATGAAAAGATGAGAAGAGAAACATCCGGTTGAAGAAGAAAAAGTTATCTTATTGTTGTAAAGTTCTAAAGAAGAGAAAAAATTACAAATTCGATTCTTTCCAATCTTTTATCATCTTAGAACTTCATCTTCATCTTCCATCATATTATTTATCTTCTTCTTCTCTGCTCTCTAGATGTCTCATCCTCTTTTCTTTCTTACCTTTGCATCTTCATCATTTTATCATTGCCTCAGGCGCTTTTACAGGGTAACCTGTTATCTAGTAAATAAAGATATTTATCTTCATACATAATAATTTTCAGTTAATTTAATTAGTTTGATGATTATTATGATTATCATCAAATGATGACGATGATAACCTCAAACTAACTGGACACTTTGATGACATGTTGGTGAAAAACTAACCAACATGATTATCATGGTGATCTTTATGCTGAACTAATCATAACAATATATAAAATTAATACAATTATGATTAAATATTTACTTTCTAATCATTATTATTGATTATTATTACTTCCTTCTGGCAATTAATTGTTTGAATGTTCACTAATCAATCACCAATAATAACACCAAATTTCATATATTGATAATTATCACCATAATCTCACCAATACGATTTACTATTATAATACACAATAATACATTAATAGAGTTAATTAAATTAACAGTTACAAAGTTAACCAATTAATAAAATCACCAATCAACAAGGTAATAATCATAATGATACAATTGTCATATCTTAATGTATCATCATCATGTTGATGATACATTATATTGATTAGACTTGAATCAAAGTAATTACTTTTGGAATAGTTTAAATTGTAAAACTCAATCTACCTTGATGATTATATTGATTGGAAGTAATTTATTAATAGTAATAAAAATTGATGTCAATAGTTAGATAATCAATGGATGTTGATAGTAAATTATGTTACCTTTACTATGATTAGAATTTATCTTTTTTCAATATTTGGAATAGAAAAAAAAATTATTTTTTCCATCCTCATCTTTATCATTGAATACTTAGATTATCATGAATAAATCATTTTCCAGGGTAAAAAGATATGAACAAAGTAATTCATCAAAATGATAAATTTAGTTTATTGAGAGAGAGAGAGAAAAAATTCAATCTCATTTGATTCAGTTCCTAAATTGTCTGATGATTATCATTGATTTGGTTAACTTTTCCTTTGTATCTGATCAATGTAACTTTCTGCTAATTCAATGTTGGCATTTTAATGATAACAATCAAACTAAATTTCCTCCCTTTTGCCTTTTGGTTTTAAAATTTTGATTGATAAAATTAATTAACTAATTAAAAACTATTTCTCTTTGCTTGTTAATTGTTTTACCAGGAATCAACTTAATGAAAGGCCCATGGTTTGAAGAGGAACCAAGTGATACTTTAATTGTTAATCAACCAGTTAGTCTTAAGTGTAAAGTCCATGATGTTTTATCTGCCCAATTTCACTGTAATCATGGTAAGTCAATTATCACAATTAAAGTTAATCATCAACAATCAACAGCAATATGATCACATCATCATGTTAACCAAACTAATCATCTTCAAGATGAAAACTTATCCTTGAACTTGGACCATGAAAATTATTATCATTCTCATTGATTGTCCAAGAATTTTTCAATTAATAACTTAATTTAAAACGTTAATCATTAATTTTAATTGTTAACCCTTCTAATAATAAACATAATACTCATAATTTATGATATTAATCATTTTAAATTGTGAATACCTGGTTTGCTTGGATTGTAACAATTACCGTTGAAGTTTTTTTTAAAACATTTTTAATAACCTGAGCTTTTGATTACTGTTGTTAGATTAATTATCTTTGACTAGTTAACTAAATTCAGTAATCAAAATATACAATCAATTTAATTTTGTTTTTCTCAGTTTGGGTTTAACTTGTCAGGATTGATTTAATTTGCCGTTGAAATAATCAACCTTAATTGCCCTGAAGGGTCAAGAGGGTTAATTGCAATTTAAAATTAATACTTTCATCACCCGATAAACATTTTTGGTAGCCTGATGATTGGAGATGATTAAAAATTAAAATAGATTCACCATTAAGGATTAAGATTAAGACATAATGATCAAGTAAATCACCGTAATGATTAACTTGTAAATTGGTTGATTAACCCTTTTTATTATAGTTTGTTGTTGTTGTTTATTTATCAATCTTTTGATTAATTTATTAATCCAGTTTCCATGTTAAATGTTGTTTCAAATGTTTTCATGATCAATAATGATAATCATCTTCCTACTTTTCGTAATCATGATTAAGTTAATCACTTGACTTTGTCATCTCAATTAAGTTAATCAAGAGAAGATTTTTTTTTTCCTTCTCTCTCCTTGATTTTGATTAACATTTGAAGCTTTTAAATTGCTGATTTAACTTGAATCAATTTCTATATATATTTTACTCTGAAACCGATGCATAAAAAAGTCAAGATTAAATTGTTATTATCTGATGAGACAATTAGTTGATTGACTTGTATTACTCGAGAAATGATTCAAATCAAATGATGAAATCAAATTAAACATGATCATTCAGTAATCTATTGATTGTATTAATACAACATACTACAGAAAAAAAAATTTATATTAATCACTCAATAGATGATTAGTAAATTACCTTGAGAATGTAACCTGATTTCAATTATTTGATTTAAACCAATTAATTTAATGATAAATCAACAGCAATTTAAGACCCAGTTAAACAGAACAAAAATCAACTAGTTAATCCGATCTTAATCCACTGAGAATAACGAACAAGATTTAAAATGATTAATGGAAAATTAACCAACACTTAAGAAAAGAAAAAAAAAGTTTTCGAAATTGTTTCAAATGTTCAAAGTCGAAGTTTGAATTGACAAGATAAAGTGTTCACATAAGTGATTCCCATTGATGATCATTTATTGTTACATGTCACGCTATTGGAATCACCATGTAACTATTAATACAACAATGATGGTGTCGGTGGGAATCATGTGTGGGTGGTGGGGTGGGATGATGATGATGATGGTGATGAAAAGAAACAAAAAAGTTTCAAACTTGATTCAATTTTCACCAGAAAATATTGAGATAACATTGAGAGTCTTATCCAACATTGTATCAGAATTGATTGTTGTTGATGATAAATTTTGACAGTTTCAATTGAATTATAATAAATATACAAAAATCTAATTTATTGATTATTATGTAAATTAATTATTATCAACATTATGATACACAAACTAATTACTGTTTAGTCTGTTTGATTATCACCAAGTGATTAACTATTATCATCGTTTACTAATCAACATCTTAATTAACATGCATCGTTTTTTTTTTGTTGTTATCAGAACTTTTTTTTTCTTAATCATTTCAATCAACTCTGTGATTAATGGGATTGATCATTAACAAGATGATTATCATGTTTAGTTAATTATCAAAAAAGGAAGACCAAGTTTTCATTGGAAAATTGAATTTACAATTCAATCTGATTGTTAATTCATGATAACAATAGAAAACATGATCAACGTTGAATGTTAATGATAATCAATAAATCACAGTTGGTTAACAAGAGAAAATTAAATTGTATGATATTGAATATGTTCATTGAATCACAATTTAAATGATAACAATAGAGAGATAAACATGAGATTTCATGAGAGACAGAATTTAATCAACATTGAGTATTATTAGTGAACCAAATTCAATCAAATAATCAAATGAAATCAAATTTTTCCTCCCAACGGTAAATATTAACAATCAAGATGAAGAGAAGAAAAAAATTACTAAATCAAACAAATTGCAAGTGAATTAAAATCTCCTGGAACTGAATCAACTCCAATAAAGAAACAACGATGAAAACAAAAATTGATTAAAATCTAAATTGTGATTATATTAATTGAAATCGATTACGATTAAAACGATTAGATTATCATATTTAAACAATTTGTTAATCGTAATGAAAATTGTATTTAAACTCACATAAAGTTGAACAAAATTACCACAACAACAATATCATGATAATGAGGGATGAGGATGCTACTGATGATGAGGTTCCAACAGGGAGATTGAAGATAAATTAACTAATAGTAATCAGGGGAAAAAATTGAAGCTCATTTAATGTGAATTAGATTTTAAATTAACTTTCACTTTTTTTTTGTTAACATGAGAATTTGTTTTCTGGTTCCTTTTCCTATTCTATTTTTATATATCCAAAAAGTTAATAGTTAATCTTCATCTTCATCTTGATCACTTATCATTATCTTGATCCCTCTGATGATGACGAGATTTTTACTGAATCAGAATTGAACTACAAGTTGATGATTACAAATTAATTATCCGTGATAATGTTAATTGTTTATATTTAAAATGTTTCATCTTGATTATCCAGGTCATGAAGAGGATATAAGGAAACGGACAACAAGCCAGAATTACGTTGACCCTGAAACTGGACAGTTAATTGTAAGTAATTAAACATTGACAATTTACACTTAATCATCATCAGATTAACTATCACAATTATTGACTTTCTATTCTGGTTAATTAAAGTAACATAATTAATTGAGATCGATTATAATTATCATCTAAAATTAGGAAAAGTTTCCAATGTTCAATTTGGACAATTTAAAATTGGAAAATGTTTCACTTTAATTAACTTTCTCTCTCTCTATTATTTTTTAATTTAATTATGAATAAACATTTTCATCTAGTAATATATTAATTACTGTTAATTTTGTTGATAATACTATTAATGACCATTGGTTAATCTCTGTTAATTAGTTGAATGAAGATAATTATAATTTATGTTGTTTAATCAAAAAGTAAAATCAAATTTTCTGGTTCCCAATTTTGTTTTTACATTCACTTTGATTTATCTTGATTGTGTTAATTTTATTTTCTTTATTCAATCCTAATGATGATAATCATCATCATCATCAACTGAACTAATCATTACCATGAAGATAATGATAATTATGATGATATTTAGGTTCTCTCTCAATTGTAATTTGCAATTCAAACAACCCAATTGATTGTCTAGGAGATTATCAAGTTTAGCATCCTCATCATTATTTCATAAACTTTAATTCATTTACTTTCAAGTCTAATTGTTTGTGATCAATTTTGATTTCACAATTAATTCAATTGTTTCCAATTAAACAAGACTAGTTATTTATTTATTGATCAAATTATGAGAGGTTACAATTTAAATTGAATTTTCAACAATTTTTTAAACAACAAACTTTTACCCTTGTGTGTATCCATCACAATCATTTAATTATTATGATATTTAATTGTTGCTAATTTAATCATGTCACGTTAAAATAATTATTTCCTTCCTCCATTTAATTTACTTACAATGATTAAAGATTGATTAGGATTTAAATTGTAACCATTGGTTAACCTTGAATATAACATTTTCAATTGAATTTAATTTTGTCTACATGGTTGTACAATTAAGCTAATCATTAGGTTAATCAATTGAAATCAATTATATCAACATCATCATTATCATGACGATGATCATTAACTAATCAAGATGATTAAAATTTATGTAAACTTTTTACTTTTTTTTTAGACTAAACAATCAGTCAACTAAATCTGTCAATCAATCAATTGAATACAATCAACAACAACAATCAAACAATTTAAATGTCTAAGTGAAGGGAAAACTTAAATCACTGTAGACTCACAATTAACTAATCATTATCATCAATCTCAAATTGAGTTGTTAAAAAAAATCAACAAGATCCATCGTAATATTAATACAAATATTATCAAGAGCCTAATCAGATTAGTTAATCAAAGTCTCATCGTAACTAAAATGATTAGTTTTGATTAGTAAGACAGGATAATCAAGATAATCAATGATAGATAATCAAGAGGTAAAAAAAACTGCGATTAACATGATTAAATTGTTCTGATTGATCTGATCACTTGGAATCAACAATCAAACAATAAGTTAAACATAAATTAACAATTGAACCTCCAACAATTATCATATGTATTGATCATGTGTACATACTGAGGATATGCAACAATCAACCAAACAATCAACAATCAGGTTAATGATAAACGAGTACATTGATTATGATCGTAAAGATGAATCAATGGAAAGTTTTTTGCTTGTTGACAATAACAAAATACTATTACCATTGTTGGATTACCTTTACCTTTGACAGGTAAAGTGAAATAATAACAAAAGGTTAACCCTGTTGCCATAGGGTAGGGGCTGTAGGTAGCTAATAACAATGATAATACTAATACTCTTACAGAGTGACCGAATTTGTTTTTGCCCTTCAATGGGAGGATTTGTTATCATTTGTACCGTGGGAAAAAAAAGTACCAATGGATTTATATTATATACAGAGTGTATTACATGGGGACTTATGGACATACACACCTTTGGTCAGTGAGATTTGAGACACTTGAAGGAAAGACTCAAATAAGATGAAGATGATGATAATAAGATGGTGGAGATGAGGAAAAAAGTTATGGTAACTTGTATATCAAGTATTAGAAAAAAAAGCCTGAGGCCAAAATTGAATATGATCAAAGGTAAACATTACCTGGAGGGGAAACTAGATTAAGATGATTGTTCCTATTATCAAGGTAACATCTGAAATATGTATTATGTATAAAATTTGAAGAGAGGGAGGTAAGTGTATTTACCTGGATAATTTTTTCATCATCATCATCTTGCTCTCTCTCTCTCTCTCTTTCTCTTTCTTTCTTTCTTTCTCTCTTTAATTTTACCTTTTTGTCAAAGAATTGGGGGTTTTTACCTGCCTCATCTCAGCATAGGGTCAAACCCGAATTCAACATCCTTTACTTTCCTCATCTTATCATTTATCTTATCATCCATCCTCATCCATTTCCTTTCTATCAACTTTATCCAATATGTTACGATATTATTATTAATTCCCTGTTGTTAAGGTTATCATCGTTTTATCAATATGATTATGATGAAACTCAATATTATCTGTCTTGCTCTGTGTATTTATACGTGTAACTGTCAATTGAATATAAATTTATTATTAGCCAATATTATCAATCGTTCATGTGTATATATTATTACCTTTATATCATATGGTTTTATCATTATATCTCTTACCTGGATAAATGTCTCTTTCTGTTTATATTATTTATCATTTTCATTATCATTTGTTATTTATACTCATAAGGAGAGAGAGAGAATTGGGTGAATAATTGAATGGTTATTCTGTTCGAGTTGTTTCAAATTGGTCCAAAATCTTTCCTCGAAAAGTAGATCACGCGTTTCTATTATATTATTATGTTCTGAGAGAAAAATTCGAGAAAGTCACGTGACTTTTTTTCTACCTGTTCTTTGTTTACCTGGTCAATTATTACTTTCTAAAGAGATGATAAATGATGATGGTCAGTGTTTATTATTATTTTGGACATTTGCTTTTCATTCTGACTTGTTTATTTATCTCCTTTGTTTTCATCACAAAAGGTACAGTTAAGTTGTTACTCTTTGCTTACCTTTTCTGTGTATTCATAATAAATTGATTACAAGATGAAGATGATAATCTTCTTGCTCTTCCGTGTAAATAAATATATTGAATTATTTTGTGTCTTCATCTTGTCTTATTTTCCACTATCTCTCAGAATTCTTGGTGAATTGTTGATGTTTTCTCGTATTTTCTTTGCTCAACCTGTAAAAAGTTAAACATAAATCAAACATTGTAATTCATTTGTCAAGGTTAGAAACTAACTGTAAATTTTATCATGATGGTGACGATGATTAACCTGAATCTTTGCTGAATAACAAGATGTATAGTAAATGATGAGGATGAAAAGAAGATAAATTTTTCAGATTGAAAAGCTTTTTCTCCTCTCTCATTTATCTCAACCTCTTCTTGTATTGATAATATAACTGTAAATCTTTACGAGACATTTTCATGGTAAATTGAGTTTACCTGAATCCTGTTGAATGGAAGCAGAAGGAAAAAAAAAGTTCAGTAGTAAACATTGAATGTAAAAGTTTTTGGTAAACTTTTCATGATTGTTGAAAAAAGGAAACAGTGATTGAATAAGTCATGTTATATTGAAACAGGAAAAGGAAACAGTTTTTAGCTTAAAAAGTTTTCAAGTTTTCAAATTTTGGCAAAATTCAATTGTCCATCCTCATCAATTCAACATCTCATTTTCATCATCATTTTGATTGATTACAATATAATTTATATGTTTATGAGTTGAAAACTTTTCCAATGCAATTGCAGCAACATTAACATGATAAAATCAACAACAACACCAACATCAAGCTCCTCCGATGAGCATACAAAATGAAAAGCAATCAGATTAAAGGCCTTGTATTAAGCATTAGGATTTAATGATGAGGATAAAGTTTCCTTGATGAAATCAAATGAAATGATGATCAAGGTAAAAAGTGAGTGTAAATTAGTGTAAGGAAAATCAACTAAACCAACCTAACATAATATTATCATTAGTGTTACCATAGGATGAGACCAGTTTCATCTTGCAAAGATTATGTATTAAGTTTACCTTGAAAATGAGATGATGTTGATTACTTTTATCTTTCATCTTCATCCCAGAACTTGTAAATAATATCATCATCAAGAAAATGCTACACCTCTGAGAAAAAAAAACATAATATTAATAATAATAATAATAATCATCCAAGGTAATAGTAGATAATATATTTTAGGTGAGGGAAGATGAAAACTTGTATAATATCAATGCAAACTCATGAAGAGTAACAGATATATTATATTACCTGACATGATATTGATAATTCTGGTTCCATGTTAAAAACTGTAACTTGAAAAATGATTCACTGAATGGGAAATACTGAATATCCATGTTCATGAATACCTTTATTTCATTTTTTTGCATACCCACCTTTCTTTTTACTTCCTCACCTGAATTCTCATATTCAAATAATAATAATAATCATCTTAAACTCTTTCCCGTCGTAACAATTTCCTACTTCTGGTAAAGTTTGATAAACAAAAAGAACTGAACTCTCTCTCTCTCTCTCTCTCTCACCTTTATCTTCATCCTCCTGCAGGATCAATATCATATTCCCAGAACTAGGTTACATTATTTTCATTTCATTTTAAAAATGTAAAAACAATATTATTAATATTGCATAATGATGATCTTATCGATACGAGATATATTGTTGACAGGTAGAGTATTTTTATTGTTATCATGATATTATCATGATGATCAGTTGAGTTTGCAAGTTGATAGTCAATAAGCCAAAAAATATCTCATTTTGCATATTCACTTATACCTTGATCATACTAAGTATATTATCAATAATAATAATAATAGTATGAAAAAGTTTCATCTTTACTCACGGAAACTTCATGTTTGGTTTAGCCATGATAACGATTTTCTTATGAGTTTATCGTATTAGAACGTATCATGAATAGTAGTTGAACATTAATTCAATTTCGAGTCTATTTTCATCTCATCTTCTTCTTAGCATTTAAAAAGCAATTTTAAATCTTCTTCTTCTTCATTCTTATATGTATTTTTTCATCTTCTTATCATCATAGAGATACATTCACTTTCTCTTTTCTCTATCTTGATGAGATTTCCATTTTTTCATCTTATCTTTTATCTTCTTGTTCTGAATGATTCTGATGCTATTCTGTTCCCATGGTAAATTGAATAGATGGAAAACATTTGAAACATTAAAATTATTTATACGAATTGAGCATCACCCCCAACATACTAATGAAAGAAAATGAAAAATTCTGTTATTTATTCAGATGTTAATCTCTGCTCTTACCCATAAGATAATGAGTAGGATGATTTTCATTCATCCAGAATTGTTATTGCTCATTCTGGCAGAATTGATGAATCATCATCATGATATCTTAATAATTTTCCCACCCTCATGATACCACCACCATCAGAATTGAATATAAAGATATTACTATTCATCTGAATAACATTCACCCTGTTCAAATATCAACCATTGTTGATATGTTCATGTTCATGTAAATTTCATGTGAATCTCCCCCCTGTTTATTTATATATTACTCTTTCATATTATTATCATTTGAATATTGAAATCAAATTCATATTCAATAATAATAACAATAATATCACAAAAGTGGAAACCATTTGGGTGGATAAAAAAAAATCTCATGAAAGTTCAGCTTCTTAGTGAATGTATATATTGATTTGTTTGCAGAATCCAAATCTTATTGATAGAATATCAAAATTATCAAAAAGAAGAATAAAAAATTGAATTGATATTCTTATTCCAACAGTTAAAGATTGAAGATATTTCATCATCGTCATCATCATTCCATCACCTAGTTTATCATCTTTCTCTCTGTCAAATACGATAAATTTTTTCTTCCAAAAGATACAAACAAATTCTCAGAATTGAAAACGTTATTTATAACCAAACTGAAAGCAAATTCTCACATAAATATCATGGAAAATTCTGTTATTCAGATTTTCCTCATAACCACCACCCACCATTTTCTTTTCCACCCTCACGCTATTAGAACTTTTGAAATTTAATCTAAGGGTTTGTCTTGAATTTATTACCATGAAACAAGGTTGATACTTTTTCCTCATTCATCCTAATGTATTACACTTTTTATATTCAATTCCATTGAACTTCTTACATGAGCGAATGACATTTCAACGTTTTCCATTAAATCCGCAAGGTACAACCCTGTAAATCCTTTTAATCAGAATCTTTTGTCATTTTTCAGAACTTTTTTTTTCTCGAACTTCTTTTCTCATTTTCCTTTGTAAAAGTTTTTTTTTCTCTCGCATGAACTTTTCTTTTTTATTCTTCCATGAGAATATGTAAATTAGTGTAATTATGATGAACACTAACAAGCATTTCTTTTCATTTTCCTGATGATTGTTGTTCACAGTGACGATTATCAAGATAATGACGATAATGAGCATAATGATACCAATTAAATATCGAATATAAAATTAGTCTATTTACCTTTCATGATGATAAACTTTTCTCGATGTAAAAATGTTTCTTTCTATTGGGAATTGGGAACAATTTTCGGCTTATAATTGCTAATGTTCAATCTTTACTCATCCCTTTATTTTATCATCCTCATCATCTTCATCTCTATCATCAATTTAAGCTCAAATTCTGTGATGATTGAAAGCGTGGTTATCCATTGACACCCCTAATTATATGGTCTGCTTGTTGAAAAGAGAAGAAAAATTCTCTCTTGTAAAATTATCTCTATTTTTTCACTTTCTCTCTCAAGCAAACATTTTCAATCTTCCTCATCACCATCATCATCATCATCATCATATACTTGCAAGGTCCACTTCAAATGGCAAGTTATTATTATTGCAATTTAGGTTTAACTACAAATGAAAGAGTGATAACTTATCATCATCATCTTCGAGATTTTTTTGCAAAAAAAAGTTCTGATGTAAAGATGATGATGAGATTGGAATACAAATACATTGAGTTTATGACACTTTTCAATTGTAAATGTAACAGATCATCATCATAATCGTTATCATCATGATTCACTATCGACTTTTTCAGCTCGAATCATTGTCATACCTTAAATCATATATCAGAACTTTGTATTAACAAGTCATCATCATCATCATCACCATCACTATTATCATCATCATGTCAACCAGATAGATTTTTTCCTCATCTTCATCTTCCTTCAAATCTTTTCAATTTTGACAATAACAGTTTCTCCCATTATTATCATCACCATTATTATACTTACAGTTATCATGATTATGATGATTGTTATTGAATTAATATTGTACATTGTATTACCATGAGCAAGTTGATTTCTTTGTTGATTCTGACTGATTTATTCAAATTCTCAATCTGATTGATATTGTTTGTCACTTCTCACAAATGATTATTGAAATATTATTCACTATTCAATTGTAATGTATTGATTATTTGTAACATATCTACAGGGTGTGTTTGTGAACAAAGATCATGAGTTAACTTTGACTGAGATAAATGAAAGGAACAGGAATCAATTTAAAATGATGATGATTCTTGAATATTCTGATGGTGATGAGATTCATGGAGATAATGATGATGAAGAAACATCGGAAAGGATGAGAATTGACAAAAAAAAGAAGATGAATTATCTTGATTGTTATTACTGGCACATCTTTATCTTACATGTTTATCCATCATCATTATCATCAGAATCCGAATCTTGAATTATCATCATGAACCATTTTTCATCTTCTAATATGCAATGAGAATCAACAAAAACCCCAGAAGGAGAGAAAAGAACAAATCACAATTTGATAAACAATTGTAAATTCAATAGATGGAAAAACAAAGATGAGGATGAGCGGATGATGATGATGATGATGAGAAAACAAAGAGGAAGCGGAAGAAAGAAAGAGGAAGGATAGAGATGATTTCGTAAATTTTTGGGTCGAAAAAAAGTTTTCTTCTCCAAAAGTGAATATCAACATTCCCCTGTAATCCAGATTGATGATGTTGATGATTTCCAAAGTGTGAAAAGCGTGTGGCTTCATCATCATCATCATGATAATATTATCATCTCATCATCTTCATGATGATCATCATCAGCCAGTATGACATTTGAACAACATCACCCCATAGAAAAACAAAAAGAAAACCAAAAAACCTCCAACTTGAACTTTTTAAATGATATTCAATGTTTTCTTCATCCTCTCATCTTCTTGATCCTCTTTTTTTTCATCTTCAACAACGTTGTTTACATTGTCAATGGTTAATGTTTGTGATGCAAATCAATGCACAAAAATGAATAAAGTAAATTGTTCAACTTTTAGTGTTAAAATTTTCACCCAAAAATAACGGATTTAACAGATTGAATGAAAAGATTTTCTTTCATTCAGTAAATTTCATGATATATTTCATGAAGAGAGAGAGAGGAAAATATGAACAAGGCAGGCAAAGAGATTGATGTTTAATTCGTGCCTTACTATGTACACATTATGTTTACTTGTTTACTTTTCATCCTCATCATCATTATCATCACTTCTTCATCAATTTAATGTTCATTGCTTAAAGCAAGAGCTTCCTCTTCAGTCCATCTCTTGTCTTGCTCTTCATCCTCATCAACAAGAGTAACTTTTGCCAAAAATGCTGCATCAAAAGATGAAGATGAAAAAACAACAAAATCGTTCTCTCTCTCTCTCTCTCTCAGTCTCTTTCTCTCTTTCTTTCTTTTACTTTAACTTAACCAAAACATTTTCTTTTTGATATATGATACATTCATACACATCTCGAGGCTTCATGATAATGTATTTCATTTTCTCCATGATAAATTATATATCATGAATTGCAAAAGAATAAAGAAAAAAATTCTTTGTGACTCTGACCAATTCTCACTTGGCCTTTTCCTCAAATATCGAACTAGTATTTTCTTTATCATCTTCATCCATCCTCTTCCTCCTCCTTTGATAATCATTCTTGATATTATATTATCTCCAACTGACCAGGCTACTCTCTCCAACTAACTCACTCACTAATCCTCCCACTGTCCTTCACCTCCTCCTCATCCTTTTTCACCCTCAATAGAGATGATAATTTATCTTATGTAATATTATCATGAACAAGAGTCAATGATAATCTTAACTTTCTGCTCAAAGATTTAATTCTTTGTCTATTAGTATCACTATTAACTAACTGATCAATCCGTTTAATAGTTTGTTAATTTTGATACCAACCCAATAAAAGATTAGTGTTTTGTAAACTGGATTAACAATTATCCATCTTCATGTTTACCTTTAATCATGATGACAAGGGGATAAACTGTTTGTTTAATATCAATTTCCAATGTTAATCTGATTTTCGTTGAAATTTCCTCAACTTTTTGACCTCATTTTCGTTAATCATTTCAACCAATATCACCAATAATTATGTTACTATTAATATCTAAATACAAGTGTACATATATACACATTAGATGGAAAATCAATTAACTAATCGCGAATGATTAACTCTTATTTACAATTAACCAAAAAAAAAAAAGAAAAAGATTTAATCAAATCCATTTAAGATAAATCATTATGCTAATAACCAGAAATCTTTAATTAACAGGAATTAACTTGATTGTTATGATAATCTAATGGAAATAAATTGTATTAATCAACAGAATATAAGTTAAAATTGAATTGTCATCAACTAATTGTGATTAAAACATAATGTCAAGTGTTAATTATTATGATTAATTTGATTTTCTTTTTATTTATAATTACAGTTTGAATTAACACTCAATGTGAATAAAAGTGATATTGATTATTTTACAAATTCTTTGGCTTCGATAACCGCTGATAATTCAGATCATCATGGATTATTAAGTGATGAAATGTTACCCTCATCATCATCATCATCATTTGATCATCTTCTTAATCTTCATCATTCTGATCATTCATCAGATAAATTAGTATATAAATGTTGGTGCACTGCTTTTGGTGGAGCATCAAGAGTAAACATTGACAGTCGCAAGGCCTCAGTACAATTTTCATGTAAGTTCAACTTTCTCATTCTCATCTTAACCTTTAACCCTTCCCATCAATCCCACTCTATCCTTGGTGGTTACACACTTTTCTCCATTCAATTATAATCCATCCCACCCTCTTAACCTAATTGCTTCATCATCATCCCTCTTCATCCTCATCTTCATCTTCGTCCTGTTTAACTTTTCCAATATAATCTATTCACTTTCTCTCCATTCACTAATTACCATAAAATTAATTTAAGGAACCATGTACGAGCCATATAACAATCAATAAATTGTTAGACTTTTTTCCTTCTTATTCCTGATTAAACAATTTAACGAGATAATCAATAATAGTGATTATAATTGCGATATAATTACAATCCAATTTAATTTTCCAATGATTAGTTTACTAATAATAATACAAGAATTGTAGTAATCTGAGTAATCAACGAAAATTAAAGTTAATTTTTTTTTCTCTCTATCTACTAATTAAAGTGGATCGGATATAATTTATATAAATATAATTGAGTAGAAATTGTAATTAAGAGTAAACAATTAACCATGAAAAAGCAAATTACCAATTATATTTATAAGGAAAAGTAAACATTTTAATCAAAGTATAAGAAAATTCAACAATTAATATCCATGTAATTACAACTTTAAATCAATAATGTAATTAATTTTTCAGCCTGATTATCAGCTGATGATGATGATGACAAAGTAATCATCATAATCTTAATCATTAACTACAAATCAATTTACTATTATATTATTAAGATTATATTACCTTGTAATTGTCATGTAATCAATCAATAAGTATAAAGACTTTGATTTGTTATCAAGTAGTAAACATAAATCACCTTTGAGATTAACCTAAAAATGATAATGGCCAATGGTCAGTTTTAAATGTTACCACTACTACTTGTATGTTGATTTTACCCCTTGCAGGGTAAACAGTTAACCTTTTACCTTTTCATACACCCCACTGACCATAACGATCATGAAGATGACCACAAACCCGATGATAATAGTAATTGTAATTAGAGGTTAATTTCATTTTCTTTGATAAATTTTACAAACTGGACATTCAGATGAGTCCAGTTTTTTTCCTTCTTCTAATTATAATACAATTTACAACTAAATTGACAGAATCCCTGCTGACCTTAAGTCTCGACCTACTTTAAGTCCATTTGATTTTTTTTTCTTCATTTCCATCTTCCTTGTCTTCCTCATCCTCATCCTCATCCTCGTCTTTATCTTCATCCTCATCACTTTTTTTATGTAAACAATTTGAATCCATTTTAAATTTAAGGGTAAACATTGTTGTTGAATTAGTTTGAACACAATTTAAATTGCAATCAAGCAAAATCTTCCTTAATTGTAAACACATTTCAACTAAAAATATATTGTGATTAGTAAATTGTAAACAAATCATTTATTATCTTTTAAATTAATCAGTTTTTTCATCACTTTTAATGTACATTATGAATTAATAAGGTATCGAAACAATCAATCAACTTGTTACAATGTAACAATTTTCATATTAACATAACAATCAATTTAAAGACAATTAAATTAATATAAATCATCTGAGTCTTTTATTATAAATTCATATGTAAACACAATTTAGTTACCTATTGGTTGTTACCTTAACCATCAACAATCAAACTAATTGTTGTTTTTTGGTTTCTCATTGAACACAAAAAAAATAATTTGATTAATTGTGATTAGCTTTTACCAATTTAATGTACACAATTTATTTTAACATTAATTTAAAATGAGCGATATCACCTGATACAATTAATTGTAATTAAATATCAATTATCTTTATAATAGTTACAGTTAATTGCTGTTGATTAAATATTATACCTGACAGTTAATTGGGAAATGATTGTCATTAAAAGTGAAGATGATGATAATTAATTAGAGATATGATGTTGTGGTAATTAAATTGTTTCCATAACAGATAATATGTACAAATCAATCAACAATCAGCAATTATATTAGTTGATTATCATCCTGATCATTTAACTTGTTGATGATTATGTTTGTTGTTGTTGTTGTTGTTGATTAAAGTGAGTGACATTACATTCATCAAGATTGATGATGATAAAGGCAAAGATGAGGATGGAGATGAAGATGAAAAAATGATTTGTTGATTATTTACTCAATGGATGATGAGAAACAACAATCAATGAGCAAAATTCATTGATTGTGTCAATATTGAGCCAAAGAAATGAACAAATATCCAGAGAGAATTGAAAAAAAAAGTTCATTCTAATTAATTGACTTCTATTGATATTATTCAATAAATATTTCATTTGTAAATACAAAACAATCAATTACCATTGATTAGAAATGATTAATGTAATAAAGTGAAAGACAATTAAATAAATTATATCAATAATTGTTTATTATCCTTAAAGTGAGTACGATGATAAATCTAACAGTAGGAAAATTTGTTCATGAAACTTATTCAGATTCAAATGATGATTGAATTAGCATCATAACCATGAACAATGAACTTGAAAAGACAATAATAGTTACACATTTTTTTTGTTCATTCTGAACTTTCATGATGTTGATGAATGAAAACCAGTCCATGGTTATGATGATAAACAGAAATGATGAAAGTTCCTGGTGATTGGCTGACTCTGTATCTTCCCATGATTCTGATGGTGATAACAATAGATTATGATAATAATAATAACTACAGGAAGAGTTTATCTCTCATTACAATAATTGCCACGAGCTTTTGTTTCATCATCATCATCATCATTATCTTCCAGATGTGATATATGGATGAAGATGAAGAAGAGAGAAAAAAAGAAACTAATATGGAGAGAATCATCAAGTTATCATCCTCATCATCTTTACCATTTGCTATTTATGTCTCTTCTCTACTTCTCTGAAACTTATCTCATCATCTTCATCATCTTCATCATCTGTCATCTCCCTAATATTCAAGTATCTCAAATGGTTTGAAAATAATGATGAAAATGAACAAAAGTGTAAAGGTAAAAAAAACCGTTACCATGTTAACCCAATCAACTTGAAACTGGTCACTCAAAAGTTGACCATAAAAAATGTGATAATAGTCAATTCATTTTGATGATGATGATAAAGATGATGATGGTAATAATAATAACAGAGATGATCAGCATATTAAAACGATTATTTGTATAAAGAAGAGAAAAAAAGTTATCTGTCAATTTGGAAAATGTCGTTATAATAAATATACAGAAAACGGAATGGACTTGGAAACAAAAAGTAACGTCTCATATATTTTTGAAGATGTCAGAGGGAAAGATGATGAAGATGATGATGAGGATGATGAAGAGAGATTGAGAAGATTGTTGTTGAAAAATATCGACGTCAAGTTTGTCTTATTCATCTTCCCTTAGCATAATATTTCCATAGGAAATATCATCTCATTAGCATTAATTAGAAGCAGAGGAAGAGTGTTTGAGAGAGAGAGAGAGAGAGAGAAATATAAACTGACAGAGTGGGTGATGTATAGTCGGTGGGGTGGATAATGTTTTCAAGTCTTCGAGCTGTGTGAGTTTGTCTGTGTGTTTCTGCTTTGACTTTTGGGTGCTTATCATTAGTATCAAGTTGAAAACCTCATAGGAAGACAAACTGTAACCTTTGCAAATGAGATTTCCAAGTTAATTTAGTTTATCTATTTAGTCTGATTAGTTGATTTAGTTGGATAGTTATTTATTTTTCTGGATACGAAAGTGGCCTGGAGTATTTTTAGTTTGATTAGTTGTCAATTTTTGAGTAACTACCAACTAATCATAATCAATGTTAATAATCATCAGTAGTTCATTAAAAAGACAGGCAATTGACCCTCTTGACCTTTTCTCTTATTTTTTTTCTTCTTCCTTCTTCCCCTGAAAAGAAAAACAAAATCCACAAACAAGAGATTGAAATTTGATTACCTAATCATTATCATCATGATAATGATCATCATGTTTAGTAGATTAATTATTTTCTTTAAAATTCTAATAACGTTTTCTTTTTCCTTCCTCGGTGGGTTATATTATTTGAAATTCTGATTCAATTCCATGGAAACTTTTTTAGTTTCTTTTTCCTCTTCAACTTTCTTGAACAACATTTAATTCAATTTAACATTTCCACTTAGATCTTAATCATCATCATGAAAATCCTCTGAATGGTGAATGGAAATGATTGAAAATTCATTTGGTAAACTTTTTCCATTTCAGATTCTCTGAGTTCTCTCAATTTTCCAACATGGATTAATATCTAATTCTTGAAGATAATTTATCAATAACTACCCTGAAGAAAATTTCAAGTGCCCAGTATTGATAAGTGTTAGATATTATATTATATTACATGAGGAATAAGAATTGACCCTAAAAATATTTTCTCTTCCGGTCAAAGGAAACTCTATACTCATTTCATATTTGACATCATCATCATCATAATTCACTCAATGAATTTTATCAAAAGTAAATTGATGATGATGGTCATCATTTTTATCCAGAGTCAGAACTTTTTTTTATCTATTATCTTAATCTAATGGGTAAGCATAAAATGTTCAACATCTATTAGATTCCTTGAATTGTTAACAATCCTCTTGGTCACTCTCTGGAGGTTTACCACAGGTCAATCTCATGTTATCCTCCATCTCCACCTTTACCACCACCTCTCCCTCTCCCTCCTCCTCCTCCTCCTCCTATTTCAATGACAAAATCTCATGTACCACCCTCTTTATACAGAGACAATCTTATATAAGTCTTAATGGAGTTCAAATGACATCCATCATGAGACTATTAACTTATGAACAAAACGGAAACAGTTTCATGAAGTTTTTTTCTCCTTCTCATTAATTTACTTTCGCTATCATTTATTATTATTTTTCACCCAAAGAAGAAAAAAAAAATATCATATAACTCATACATACGAATAACCTATGGTCAAGTCTTGAAAAATGTCCATTGAATATTGTATAGCCCAGTAATCAGAATCTCCAATTCAATTCAATTCGTATTCAACTTACAGAATCAACTTGATTAACTTATCATGAGTTACAAGAGAAAACAACAACAAAATCAACTATTTTACACACATACAAACTGACCATTCACTGACCCATCACCTTTCATCCCTTTGTTGATAAACTGTAAACAAGAAAACAAAGTATTTGAAACAATATTTATCTAATCTTGAGTTTCTCATGATTAACCTTGATTATCAATCTCATCTCTCTTGATTAGCAGAATCACAATTGAAACAAACAAATGAGAGTACACATGATGATGATGACGATGATGATTATCTTCCTTCAACCATAACAACAAAGTTAATTTGAATAAAAACAAAGGCTTAATCCTTAATCAGTGAGCAATTTGATTCTCAATAACCTTATGACTTCTGATGAAGATTAAGGATAAAAACTAAAAGAAAACCTCTAAGAATCAATTGTAATTTACCTTCGCGTGTACCATGTTAGTGTATCATGATAATCATACAATTATTGTGATTTACTTGATTGTTAACTTGTATTTTCCCTTCACCCATTATCCTCAATATCATCAATATTATCTTCCTCTTTTACTCTCTCATGATCACCTTCATATTAAGGTCACGAAATCACTTTCACCTTACAACCTCATTTTCTTACCTATTGTGTGTCCATAGACCAAAATTCATTGAAAATTCAATGAGCGAGAGAGAGAGAGAGAGAGAAATATCCTCATGGATTACATTCATTCATTCATTCATCACGTTATCATTACTCATTGATTATATTTTGATTATTCTCATACTGATTTTCATTCATTGATTTTTTTTCCTTCCAATGAATTTTCCATCACAATTACAATTACAATCAAGTTAATCAGGAATAATCAAAGGAAAAATTTACCATGATATGTCACTTTGATTCCTTTGATTGTTAGGTGTGGTGGTTAAGCTCTGAATCTGTAAATTACATGAATTAAATATTATTATTATTTCAACTTGTGTTCCACCATCAAAGAGGATTGATCATGATAATCATGATAATATTAAAAGAGAAAACTCAATTATCTGAATGTCCATTGAATTTTTCTATCATTGGAAATCAGATAATCGTTTCCAAAGTGATCACAATCAACAGAAAAATCATTTTTCATTCATTATTATTATTGTTACAATCATTTTCTCATCATCTCCTGTCATCCTAATCTTAGAATGGAATGAGAGAGAGAGAGAGATGATTAAAGATGATGATCTTTTTGTTTCATCATTGATTTTGTATTTTCTGCTTGGAATTGTTGATTGTGTTCAATCAAGAATCATCTCGTTTGTTATTATTGATTTAATGATAGAAAACTTTTTTTTTCTTACTTAATCATCATCTAACTTTGATCAAATTATCTCCCTACAAACACACAACAAAACCACCTTCAATTGATCATCAAACTGTGTACTAACCCACTCCTCTACTCCTCCCTCTCTTTAGCATCCTCATCACAAGAGATGAAGCAACAACAACAACAACAACAAAAACAAATTCATCAAATGTCAAGTTAAATGTTATCATTAAATTTGATTCCAATGTGCATTAATATGTATAAAACTTTTCATCAAATAAGATTTGTCATCTTCAATTGCAATTGATTTTCATCTTACCAAATATCCTTTGACATCTAATTCCTAAACCTTTCATCCTAATCCTCATCCTCCCTTTCAACCTCATCATGAAAGTTACCACCCGAAAATTGTTACCAATAAAAACAATAACAATCAATTGATCTGAAATGAGTTTATTTTTAAACGGATATAATTACATTTAAAAGGATGAGAAACAACAATACCAAATATAATCTGTGTGTTAACAATTTGATGATAATCATTACTTAGCAAATTGTAACAATTGAATTGATGGTAAATGATTAGATTTAATTGCAACACTGATTCACTATCACTTTGCAATCAGATTTGTGGATAATAACATATAACAAACAATATACACTTTCAGCTCTCTCTCTCTCTCTCTCTCTCTCTCTCTGTTCAAATCCATTTAAATCCTCTCCTCGTCTTCATCGCCCTCATCCCTCTCATTCTCTCTCTCATCTTTGTCATCTTCATCTTCATCACCAGAAAATAGTATAAAAATAATATTGTTTTGTGGTTTCAGTTAAAAACCAAGAGAAAATTTTTTTCATCCTCATCTTTATTGTCCATCTTCATCTTTATCATCATCTCACCCACCCTACATTTAGATATCCATTGACTTTAACAATTTCATCCTAATAACAATATTATTAATCAAATGACGATGATAATAATAACAATCAAGAAGATGAAGATAAAAGATGATTATGATTATGATGAACAATAAAAACGTTTTCAAGATTCTCGATATTATTTCATTACATTGAGAGTCTCTCCTGTCAACAGTAATCACAATCAAACGTAATCTAAATGATATTCATTGAATGTTAATCACCGACACTCATGTTATTATACCAAGAATAAATTACTCAGTATTTACTGTTATTATTTACTCCAAGGATAAAGATTTGTTCATTTGGATTTCAGCTCTGACAGTAATAGTTTATTGTTATTTATTTCTAGATGAAGATGATATTTTATCATTATCATTATCTCTCTCTCTCTCTCTCTCTCTCTCACTTGCTATTTATTTACAATTATAACTAAATATACAATCATTGTAATCAATGTTTACCAACAAAACCATTGAAATTGTATGATGATGATAATTTTACCATGAAAATATTATCATTATACTGAATCTAATTTGAATTAAGTTTTTAGTTCGTATCATCATAATCAAAATCAAGTTTATGTTGATTTTGGTGGAAAACATTTTATCATCATCATTATCATCCAATGTATCCTCATCTCTTTTAATTTTTACATCCTCATCATGATGATAACTTTTTATTACGAAAAAAAAGTTATCACTTTTTATGATATTTAGGTTGAGTTTTTATGACTGAGAGAGAGAGAGAGGAAGATAGACTTTCTCATCATCTTTCATCATCATAATTATCATCTTAATCAACCAATTGCAATCTGGACCTAAAATCTGATTTATATTTATTACATTTGAAAACATTATCAAACCAATAAATATCATAGATGATGAAAGTTATGTTTATGTTTATTTGTTTACATTTCATTTGGAATTTGTTTTCATCATCTTTTATCATCATCTTTTTCCATGATGATACTGATGATAATTTGATGATGAAGATGAGAATAATGATAAGGATGATTGAGATGATTACAAAACATTGACTGAAAATCAATTGATCGATGTCATTGGATTAGTTTCATGTTGTTGTTGTATTAATATATGGATGCTGATGTAACTCTTGTTTCACTGTTCATTGATGATAATGATGATGATGATACAATTGAATCTTTCAACATGATCCTCATCTTCATCATCATTTGTCTTCATGTTCAGTTAAACATTTTGTTAAACTAATAATATAAAAAGAGGTTAAATTTAAACGTTTACATTGAACAACAACATAACAAGACCATTGATGTATCAATGATCCGTAATTCACTTTGAGTAATAATAGTAAAAAACATCAATGATTCTCATCCATTCATCTAACATAAACTCCTCTTCCTCATCATCGGATGAGGAAAAAGGAGCAACATGAAAATCAGTGGAAAATTTCATTTCGATTTTATCTAATACTCTTTCCGGTTTTATCTTCTTTTAATTCTTCCAATACAATTTATCTTCCTCATCCATCTAAGGGATGCTTATGTTTCCACTTTATCCTCATCTTCTTCCTCATCATCTATCTTGTCCTCTCTCTCTCTCTCTCTCTCATCATCCCATATGAACTGCATCTTTTTGTCTCATCATCTTCTATTGTCTTCTTCCTCTTTCTTTACATCTTCAATTTTTTTTTCTCTTTCTCTCCTTAAACAGTATTTATATTCATCATCCTCATCTTTTCATCATCATCTCTCCCATCGTCATAATTATCTTGCTCTTTATTTTTTGCTTCTTTTTATATTTCTAATCTTCATCTTCTTAATTTTCACTTACTTCTTGGTCTCTGTTATATTTTAACTTGTTCATTTGCTTTTTATTCATATTTCTACATTGAATATGTAATGATGCAGAAGATGAAGATGAAGATGATGGAGATGATAATATATGTTTGTGTTAGTTCATCTTCTTCCCTTCAGAATAATTTTCATGTTGAAAAATTTTATCTCTCTCTCTCTCTCTCTCTCTTATTACATATAATAAGTTTAAGTGCAAGTCATTTTCTTGTCAAGTAAAATTTTAAACAACACTTAAAGTATCATCATCATTTCCGTTTCCGTTTCTTAACAATTATTACCGATTGATGAAAGAAAGATGAATCAAGATGAATTCGATGATGTTTATCAATGATAAGTAACAATTCATTCTCGGTTCAATTGAGCACTTAGAGTTCTTTGTATGTTTCTTGTTATCAAAAAGTTTCATCTTTTTGTTAATCATCATCATCATGTTAATCTTTTCTTTTTCAAATTGTATTCCAATGAATCTCATCATCTTATTTAGATTTTCATCCTCTTCTCAATCCATCATAAGTTTCCCACTGATATTGAAAAATTTGTTTTCCCTTTGCAGTCTCATCTTTTTTTCATTATCATCTTCATCCCTCTGATACCTTGTATTGCTTCATCATCTCTTGTATACCTGAGAGATGATATTAAGTAGTACTTTCTCATCATCTTATCATCATTATCTTCAATACAAATCTACATATGCATATGACAGAGTGATAAACATCTTGACAAACCATATTAGCCTAATGTCTTTGGGTGAGAATCAATATTATACCCAAAAATATTCAAGAATTGAATCAAGTAGATTCATGGGTTGAGGGGGTGAAGAAAACAGGAAACGGAAAAGAGTCGATTTTGTGTTGATGTATCAAAAGAAACTCTCTCTCTCTCTCTCTCTCTCTCTCTCTCTCTCTCTCTCTCTCTGCATGGAGGATGATGGATGAGAAAATAGATGTAAGGCTGGAAAGAAATTGATGATTGAATGAATGGGAAGAAGATGATGAAAGAAAGAGTAAGAAAATGGAAGGAGAGAAGACAATATATACGATTCTCTTTTTCTTTTGGGTTAATATGAAGACTGAAGATGAAGATGAAGATGAAGATGAAGATGAAGATAAAAGATGAGATGATATGAAGAAAAAGAAAGAAGAAGAGAAAGAAAAAGATGCTAAACTAAAAGTGGTGAAGGATAACATAGATTTTTATTTATCTTCTCTTACTCATTTACTTTTATCTAACTTTCGCCATCTTTCTTCATCTGTATACATATATTTCCATTCAATATCCTCTAGCATCTTCATCTTTCGCCATCAACATTATCTTCATCTTCCTTCTTATCTTCTACCCTCATCTTTCAACTCCTTTTTTCTCTTTTCAAGCGTAACCTTCATTTCGCTTATTACATTAGCATTTCATTTGCGATTTTCAAGCTTCATCTGCAAAACAAAACTCTAATATAATTAATGGAAAATGACTGACCAATAGATTGACCATCAAAACAATGCAAAGAATCAACAAACAATAATTCCTATTGTGCAACTCAAGACAATATAAGATGTCTCGTGGCATCGAATGGCCATTAAGACGCTTGACCACAACACGAAAAGTTAAAATTCTAAATTACTATTGTCTGTTGTGTCCATCTTAAGGTCAAATTTCCGGTTGACACTCTCTCTCTCTTTATCTTTCACTTTGTCTTCTTCATCTTTGGAAAGACAAGAACATTTTTTTACTTTATAATTTGAGATGGAAGAAAACAAAAGAGACTCTGAAGATGACCGGATATTTGGAGATGGACATCAGGGTGAAAGAAGATGTTACAAGGAAAGTAGAAGATGATGTCAAGGGAAGATAAGGTGAACAAGATGAAAGAAGAAAATTGAAAGAAAAAGAAAAGAATAGAAAAGGAAAGGAAAAGTATCAGGGAATTTAGGTGATTGACCCATGTCCAGTTCCAAGATGAAGATAAAGTTACTAGTAAATAGAAAAGTAGAGAGAAGAGTAAATGAAAACACTTACAATTGTTGTCATTTGTTAAAATTGTTAACTAAATGTAAAAATCATTTGAGAAGCAAAACTTATCTCCATCCTCATCCTAATCATCATTAAGCAATCTAGTAATTTCTGGGAGGGTTAAATCTGGTTCCGTTATAAGATAATAATGATAATGGGACTTTGAGAAATAAACTCATTGACAAAAATGATCATCATTCTGAATCACATTTACTGTAAATAAGTAACACAACATGATTTAGATTATTGTTGCTCATTGATGCTGATTAGAGGTCAACTTATCATGAATGAAATACATTCTGTATATTCCTATAGTCTCTGGACCAGAGAGAGAGAGAGAGAGAGAGAGAGAGAGAGAGAGAGAGAGAAGATGATGATGATGGCGAGAGAACCAAGATGATGAAGGCAATCTAGATTAAGCAAACAATAAGATGAAAACATTACTGAGAAAGAGAGATGAAGATTATCTTTCTCTTCCTTAGCTTTTTTCACTTTCAGACTCTTTTTCCTTTACTCTCTTTGTATTAATACAACTTTCATTATTGATGCAAGAAGATGAAGAGAGAGAGAGAGAGAGAGAGACCTACGCATATCATCACAACAGGGAAGCCCAAAGTCAATGGTATACAGAGTTAACTTCTTACATATCATCCAAGTATCAAGAAGATGAAGATTAGATGAAGAAAAGTGGAAAAAGATAGAGATGAAAAGAAAGACAAAAAGAGAGCAAAGTTATTTGGCCCCTACCCTGAGGAGGGCATTTTATAATCAATTATATTGTCAAACTCAGTCCACTCACTCTAATTGATTTCTCTCTCTTTCTTTTATCTTCATTCTCAAACATCTCTGGGTGTTTTCATCATTCTCATCTTCTGCATCTTCATCTTTTTATTTTGATTTTTTTTTCGAAATCAAAACGACAGCATAATAGTTACTCTTTTCTATGTATTTTATCTTCAAGATATTTTCCTTCATCTTGATTATCATCATCATCTCTCCAACTCTCTCCTTCATCTTTCCTCTCCATCAGTCCCATCTCTCAACTCATCTTATACTTTTCATCTTCATCTCCTCCTCCTCCTTCATCTCATCATCATTATCATCATTTCTTAATATATTAGATCTTTTTCTTTGTTCATTGTAACGTTAAATAGAAATACTTTTCTCAAAGTTAACCAATATTACGAATCTTGATCTCGTTTGATCTTAACAGAGATTCATCCAATTTTCACCTCATCTTCCCGCTCCCTCTCTCACTTTCTTCCTTCAAGGCATTTTCCAGGCTCCTTAATCGTAATCATTTAATATAATCGAAGATGATTTTCTCTCTTCTCTCTTGCAAACAATTTGCAAAAACTTTGATTCTTTTCCAGTTTTCAGCTTTTCTATTGTCAGAATATTTTTCTTATTCCTTTTTGATTCTCTCTCCTTCATCTTCGATCTCATTTTGATGATGATTGTGTTTTCATCTTCGTCATCAACTTTCTATCACTATTTTTCTTTCTTTCTCTCTGTGGTTTCGCTCGATTTCAAACTTTTCCACCTTCTATTCAATTCTATTCACCATTTTCTTCCTCTTCATCGTATTTTCCTTTTTCTCTTCTATTCTTTGACTTTTTTTTCTTCTTTTTTTTCTGGGTGAAAAAGAAAAAAACTCTGAAAGTCATTACATGGATCTTTACAATTCTCTTCGATCCTCTCTCCCTCTCTTTATCCTCATTCTATCTTTTTCATCGTCCTTTTTAGCATCTTCTCCATCATCTTCTCTGTATCTTTTCTTGATTTCATCAGAACCAATCGTTTCTGCATCAGTGATGGAGTTTTTTTTCCTTCTCTTGTCTCTTTGGTGAAAAATTCTTGCTCTTCCTCATTCCTTTTATCTCCTCTGGATGATGATGATGATGATGTTTCCCATTTCCTTGATCTCCTTAAAAAACTTGAAACTTTTTTTGAAACAACTGATGATGTGCTGATATCGTCATTTATGCTTCTCCATCTTTTTGTCATCCTCATCATCTCACTGACTTTTTCGCCTCGTTGGTAACCGTTTTTTAAGGCTTCTAATAGTATATTTTTTATTCTTTCCATATCCTTACCATCATCATCATCACCATAATCATCATCTTTTGTAACATGAAAATGATGATGATAAAAAAGCAAAAGAGACACCAAAAAATAACCCGAGGAAGATACGATTCCTTATAAATCACTGATTCTACTCCCATATAATCATCACCTTCCCACATCTTCCCAAACTAATATTAATCATCTTATTGGAAAATCGTCTCTAATATATAAATTATTTTGTCTTCTATTACGAAACAGGTTTCAATTGTGATGATGATTCAGCCGAAATACCAAATTGCTACAAAATTTGTGGTCCCGTTGACGGTCAATGGTCTCCTTGGACATCTTGGTCAACTTGTTCCCATGATTGTCAGCAGGTAATTTCCACGGAGTGAAACCTAAATTTGCTAAAATACAAAGAAGAAAAAATAAGAACAAGATGATAAGGGAGTATAAAAGTTAATTCGAAGCCAGAACAAGTATATGAGAGAGAGAATAAGAAAAAAAGAGCAAAAAAGTCACCATAACACCTCATAAATCATTTCTTTTCATCGATCCAACCTTTTTACTAGTTACATCAATTTCTATATAATATTATACTCTCATCATTTTCTCATCTTCTTCTTATTTTTTTACCTTTCTATCTTCGCCCATTCAACCGTCACGCTGTTTAAATTAATTAAATCTCTTCAATTCACTAATCCATATCTTATAATGACTACAAATCCAAATCTTTTCATTATTAGTTTCGTCATCGTACCTGTACAAATCCTCCAGCCAAATATGGTGGACGAGACTGTCCTGGTCCTGAATCACATGTGAAAAACTGTACTGGTGGATTGTGTCGTAAATTAGGTGAGTAACAATCAACAATGGTAACTTAGCTTATACGCTCACAATTTAAATCGTTATGGTTTGATGGTATTATATGTCATTAAATAGTAGCTGTTGTGTGTGTGTGAGGTTGAGTTAATTTTAAATACCCTGTAATCCCATACAGTGAGGGTAATATTAATACCAGGTAGAGAGAAACAGTTGCTCTGGGATAATGATGATAAATATAGTAAATATGAAGAAACAAAATGATGGAGATGATGAAGAAAAATAAAAATGATCCGTAAACGTCAAGTCTTTTTACTCTCTCTCAAGGTAGCATGAAAAATGATATCCTGGTCGCGTAGTTATTATTAGTTTTGCACAGTGGCTTTTTCCATCTTCTTTGCCATCATCATCATCATCCTTTATTATTTTCTTCTTCTTCTTTTTTTCTCTTTGATAGTCTTCTTTTAGAGAAAATTTTTCGTCTTTTTTTTTCACTTTCCTCATCTGCATTTTCCATTGCTCCATCTCCATGCTGCTGTTGAATCAAGTTCCAAAAACCATTCAGTTAATTTATGTGATGACTGAAAATCGATTTCTTGCTTTATCATCATTATCATCTTCCATAATTGATCGTTTTCATTATCGTTATAATGTTGTTGTTACAATGTTACACTTATATGTTGATGTTTTCTCTCTCTTCATCATTATCATTCCGAAAGATTATTATTTATCATCATCCTAATTGCCATTGTTATACAGTCTCATATAAATATCCATCCATTTTTACAACATAATTGCCCAATTTTAAACGTTAAATCACATCATCATCAAAATTGTTATTTATTTCCATGGGTTGATCAGTTGTATTAGAATTGTAATAACTATTTAGTAGTTGTAATGGCTGTTTAGGGTTTGGTCCTTTCTCCTCTTTCTTGAGTTGTCTCTTTCTCTTGATTCTTTTTCTTTCTTCATTGGCAAAGTTAATTCTCATCTGAATTGGTAACAAGTCCTGAGAAAAGAGAATAAATCAATTTTTAAATTAAGGTTAATTTTCTTTAAAAATAATGAGTATCCAAGTAATCAAGTTTTCTAGTAAAATTTTGTTTCTTCATATCGATATCGTGTTACAATCGTGTCATAAAAAGTTAATTTATATATCATGATGATGATGCGATTCAAATATGAATCATTTAGTAAGAAGATGAAGCGAAAGATTTTAAAAGATTAAATTAGTTACCTTTTCACGTTGGTGATTAATATAATTTTTCTTGGTTCACTTGATATTATTAATTTAGGTGAATTTCAATTAACTCGGTCAGAAGAGGATTCACAACTTCAATATCCTAAATCAAGTTCAGCATCTCCATCTGATGACCGGAAACCGGAAATATACATCTTATGCTTCGTGATTGCCATTTCAACAGCTCTTATATGTTTAGCTGTTTTCATTTACGTCCTAATGAGCCAACGTCGATACAAACAACCTGGAAGTATGATTGGTGATGATGGAGGATGCGAGGAAGATGGACAGACAATGTTACTATTGATGCAACAACAGAAACAACAAAATCAACAACAACAACTACAACAACAATTTAATCTCACACCACAACATACTCAACAAGCTCAGCAATCATCACAATCTGAATATATTTACTCAAATGAAAGTATAATTCCTAATTCAGTCAGTCCGGAGGAGAAGATGCATTTAATTAGTAGATTGAATGCTTATAATGGTAACATAATTGATCACCTAGTTGTCCGTCGAGATGCCTTACGGGCAAATTGTCCAACCATTGAGACAACCAGCCTTAATCAAACACCGAGCCATCATTCAATTTCAAGCCAATTGGGACATCAGTCAATTGGACAACAACAACAACAACAACAACAACACCAGCAAACAATGTACGTTACAAGATCTTCACCATCTCCAGCAAGTTGTTGTAATACCAACTCATCAACTCCCCGCCTTGGTAAAATGTCTTCCCGTTCTGGTGCAACACCGCCTTCATCCTCTTCAGGCAATACAACGGTCACTGCGACAAGTGAAGACGAAAATTATTATGAAAGTGAAGCAGATTATGCCGAACCTTTTGTCTCAAATTTTTCACTTTTCACTCCAGAAAGGAAACCACCTCTTCCTTCAACACGTCCTCCGTCCGCTCGAACCGATGACCATGCGTCTGAAAATAATTTAATTCGTGCCAATAACGATAATCGTCCACAACAACAACAACAACAGCAACAATCAACGGAACCCTCTTTTCTTGGAGAAACGTTATTCCTTAGATCAGCAACAAAATGGCGATGATAATGTTACCCTGAAAGAAAACAACAAGAGTTGATTAGAACAAAGGAAACAACAGTTACTAAACCATTTAATAAATCATTGTAATTAATCCAGTAAAAGAGATAATTTAACACAGGACAAAATGGACACCTGAAAATGTTGAAATCAAATGTTAAATATTAATGATAAATAGAAAAGATAGAAAACAATTAAGATTCTCATTCATTATAATCTTCCCTTTTTTATATGTACGTTAAATTATCTTTAACTTCACCATTTTCACCTTCACTTTCAATTCTTAATGATCAACAATTTATTTGTTAATTTTTAAACTTACATTTGTTTGTCCCATGTAAAGAAATAAAAAAAAACAATCACCTACAAATCCATTGTCTTCATAATCTTCAGCCATGATCATTGGTTTTCCCTCCAATTTTTTATCACTCAATTTGGCACAATTCGTTTCTTTTTCACAATTAAACAGACAACCATCATCGCCACCATCATGGTAAATTATCATCTGTACACATCACCAAGTTGAACAATTAAAAAAAAAACAAACAAAATATTAAACCAAATTTGACTCACATGAAATTGTTGAAACACAAAAAGAGTAATAAAAATGTAAAAATAATCACCAATTTGGAGGAAAACAAACAAACGGGTTAAACTAAAGATAAACTAAAAGCCTTAAAAGGACCAAGTTAACTCAGAATCTACAATCAAATGGACAGTAATGTAATAAGAATAAAAAAAAGAAATAAAATTAATCTAAATTAATCTAATTGGATTAAAAATTCTAATCTCATTTAGTTTGATGAACGAAAAAAATTTGTAAACAATTAACTGATTTTCTTTTAAGCCAAAAGTGTCGCCATCTGTTGGTGGAGAACAAAAACAAAATAGAAAAATCGAAAAGAAAATGAAACATTTGAAACTCCCACCGAACCTTCAATGGTGTCACCAGGTGACCGATTGGTAACCATTGGTTACGCCGCTGGCTTGAATTTTCAACAATTCATCTGATCAGTAAATAGATTTAAGTTTAATTAGTTGATTATTTTGTGTATTAATTTAATTGTTACAATGTCAACTTTAATTGATTTGGATGCGATCTCTGCTGGTCTACAGGCTGTTGCCAATTTAAGGTGCGAAGTTAATCAATTGTTCTATACACTAACCAATGGATTTGGTGGTCCAATGATTGACCCAACAACTTACCAACCAAGAGCCAAAGATGCTGATGAAGAAGCTGAAATCAAATTTATCACTGATATTAAACAAAATTTTGATATTATTAACAACCAGATTAAAAAATTGGAAAAGTCGTGTGAGCATTTAAATCAAAATACAAGTAACACAATTAATCTAAACATTGGTATGTTGGGGATTCTGGCTCAAGATCCTGCTCATGAAAGGGATGGTCTTTACGCAAATTTAATTTCGTGTTATCGTTGGTTTGATCGCATGCATGACTATGTCTCTCATGCTCACCATTTTTACAATATGAATAACATTTATAATAGGAATGTGCAAGGTAAGTGAAGTGATTTTCTTTCAATACAATATATGTACAATATTTTGATCTAATAATCTCTTTCTCTTTTTTACTTTTCACTTTCAGGCTCTGATACACTTCTTCGAATGAAACAAATGTCTAATAATTACAAACCACTCAAAATTGCAGGGCGTTCAACTGCATTGAGTGGTATCAACATGCCAAGTAATCAAATAGATATTTTTTTCAATTCTTTGACTCGAAATATACCCAATTTAAGTTTAAAAATTGTGAGACCTTTTGGATCCCCCACCATTGCTATATTCACACTGGACAAAGTTCTAAAATCTTTACTTTTACTCCATGGATTAATTATTGAATGGGTTGTTGTTAAAGGCATTGATGAAGATTTTTATGATGAAAATGGGAAACTTGACATTTGGTCTGAATCGAGATATGAAATATTTAAGAAAGTTTCAATCAACTGCATTTCGGCAACTCATCATTTCTCATCTCCAATTCATTACGATATTGCAGTTAAATCATGGATGGTAAGTAATCATATATTATCTTTAAATTTATGTTCTTTGATTTTTATTTCATTTTCCATTTTCTTTTTTTTACTTTAGAATTGGTTTGCATCATATCAAACCCTTTTCAACAAACCATGTCTCAAGTGCCATCAAAGAATAAACATCAATTATAAATTACCAACTTGGCGTGATTATCGCACTAGTGATGCATACCATGAAGACTGTCACTTTTAATGTTTATCAAGTTTTCTAGTAAAATTTTGTTTCTTCATATCGATATCGTGTTACAATCGTGTCATAAAAAGTTAATTTATATATCATGATGATGATGATGATGCGATTCAAATATGAATCATTTAGTAAGAAGATGAAGCGAAAAATTTTAAAAGATTAAATTAGTTACCTTTTCACGTTGGTGATTAATATAATTTTTCTTGGTTCACTTGATATTATTAATTTAGGTGAATTTCAATTAACTCGGTCAGAAGAGGATTCACAACTTCAATATCCTAAATCAAGTTCAGCATTTCCATCTGATGACCGGAAATCGGAAATATACATCTTATGCTTCGTGATTGCCATTTCAACAGCTCTTATATGTTTAGCTGTTTTCATTTACGTCCTAATGAGCCAACGTCGATACAAACAACCTGGAAGTATGATTGGTGATGATGGAGGATGCGAGGAAGATGGACAGACAATGTTACTATTGATGCAACAACAGAAACAACAAAATCAACAACAACAACTACAACAACAATTTAATCTCACACCACAACATACTCAACAAGCTCAGCAATCATCACAATCTGAATATATTTACTCAAATGAAAGTGTAATTGGTAATTCAGTCAGTCCGGAGGAGAAGATGCATTTAATTAGTCGACTGAATGCTTATAATGGTAACATAATTGATCACCTAGTTGTCCGTCGAGATGCCTTACGGGCAAATTGTCCAACAGTTGAGACAACCAGCCTTAATCAAACACCGAGCCATCATTCAATTTCAAGCCAATTGGGACATCAGTCAATCAAGTTGTTGTAATACCAACTCATCAACTCCCCGCCTTGGTAAAATGTCTTCCCGTTTTGGTGCAACACCGCCTTCATCCTCTTCAGGCAATACAACGGTCACTGCGACAAGTGAAGACGAAAATTATTATGAAAGTGAAGCAGATTATGCTGAACCCTTTGTCTCAAATTTTTCACTTTTCACTCCAGAAAGGAAACCACCTCTTCCTTCAACACGTCCTCCGTCCGCTCGAACTGATGACCATGCGTCTGAAAATAATTTAATTCGTGCCAATAACGATAATCGTCCACAACAACAACAACAACAACAATCAACTGAACCCTCTTTTCTTGGAGAAACGATATTCCTTAGATCAGCAACAAAATGGCGATGAAAATGTTACCCTGAAAGAAAATAAAAAGAGTTAATTAGATCACAGGAAACAACAGTTACTAAATCATTTAATAAATCATTGTAATTAATCCAGTAAAAGAGATAATTTAACACAGGACAAAATGGACACGTGAAAATGTTGAAATCAAATATTAATGATAAATTGAAGGATGGCCACCAGGATTAGAGTATTTAACCAAAGTCTGTCAATTGATTGTTTATCAACGTACAAAAAGTTTACGTCTTTTCCTTGTTAATAAATCAATTTAATATGAAAATGATAATCTTATCACCAGTTATCAGGTAAACTGTTGTTTTATTATACAAAAATATGATAATTTACCTTTAGACAAAAATATCAATATAATAATTATCATTTTTCCGACACTTGAAAGTTTTGTAAAATTTTGTTTTGATTTAAGATGAATTGTCATAGAAACGGTTATGTAATATCCAACTTAGGTGATTAACTGTCCATACTGACTACTTGTCACCGAAATGAATCTGTCAACTAATATACTTGAAGATATTCAATTTATTAATAATAATATCAAATCGATCACTATTTCCATGGAGAAGATTAAAAGAGAAAAGAACTTCTTTTAGAATATTTTCTCACTCAATTTCGATTCTTTCTTTTTACCGGGTGAGGAAAGTCAACATAATTGTTAACCTTTCTATCCACTTATGGCCATTTATTACTCGTCACAATCAGGAACCAATTTTGCTGGATACTCACCTTATCCACAATCGTATGGGCAACAAAATCCACCTCGATTCGGACAAAGTGGTCATCCTCCTCCTCCACCGCCGCCGATGGCACAACAACCTGTTGAAGGTGATTTTCTGGCTCCATTTCGTTGATGTTAACAATTAATCATCTATCTAAGTTTCTTTGATTATTTTTCCATATTCTTTCCAAATGTGATTAGGTGATTGGATGACCACTCCAATGACCAGTGGCTGTCCACCAGGATTAGAGTATTTGTCTCAAATTGACCAGTTACTTGTTCATCAAAAGATTGAGCTTTTTGAAGCTTTTTCCAGTTTCGAGACTAAAAATAAATATAATGTCAAAAACAGTCTGGGACAAAAAGTTTACATCGCTAAAGAGGGTAAAACCTAATTGATCTGATTGCAGACAATCAACTAATTGCTTATTTCTTGTAGAAAATGATTGTTGTACTCGAAATTGTTGTGGAACAATTAGACCTTTCGAAATGAAAATATATGATTATCAGGAGAAAGAAGTTCTCAATCTTCACCGGTTCGATCTCGAAATCTAGTTATCAATTTAGTCTCTAATTAATCCAAAATCTGATTAATTGTTTTCTCTCCAATTGACCTTAGGCCATTACGATGTCAATCATGTTGGTACCCATGTTGTTTACAGAGATTAGAGGTGACAGCTTCGGGATCGATTTGTGGTCACATTGAGCAAATTTGGTCACTTTGCGTTCCAAAGTTTATTGTCTGCGATGCAACGGGTGACATTGTCCTACGAATCGAAGGGCCTTTTTGTACCTTTGCCTTATGTCGAGATGTCCAATTTAAAGTACTTCTTAGAGACGGAATGACTCAAGTTGGTCGAATCACAAAACAATGGATTGGCCTTACTCGTGAAGCATTTACGGACGCAGATCACTTTGGTATCTCATTCCCGATAGATTTAGATGTTAATATAAAAGCAGTTCTACTCGGAGCTTGTTTCTTAATTGTATGTTTCAATTAACTGATTGTAAACAATTTACTAAAAATCTTTTCTTTCTCCCATAGGACTTCATGTATTTTGAAAAATCTGGTAAAAAATATTAATTGTTATCATCTCTTTATTTGCCTTCGGTAATTAGTGTAATTACACTGATTTACACTGATAATTTAAATAAATGGAGATTCATTTGCATAATTAATACGCAATTTAGATATTTCAACAAACCAAACAATTTATTAATTTAATTACCGTTTTTTTTTTCAAAACGATTTACAAATTCAAGGTTCAATTGTTTTCCCTTTAGCAACTTCCTCCTATTAATAACAGTTCCTTAATCAACTGATAATATTAGTTTTCACCTACAAAATCCGTTTATTGCAATTATGATTGAATCATCTCTATGGTTAAGGATATTTTAACTAAAGGATAACTTTAATTACTACTGGATGAGATTAATATGGTTAGAATTAGTTAATTGTTGAAGATAATGAAACTTTGATAGCTAGTGCGCGGTAAACAATATCGATTTGCTGGTCATGATTTTCTGATGCAAATTATCCGAAAATTTTCCAATCAATTCACAGGAAATTCAGTCGATTTAGATATGATGCAATTTGATGATTACTTAAAAGATTCAGGATTAAAGTGGGATAGAGAGAGAGAGAGAGAGAGACGGTTATGTATTTAGAATCCTTTGCATCAAAGCTCCATTCGGGACTATTTGGATTTTCGCGCAGGGAAAAAAGTTTTTCCCACTTACGTATTTTCTTAGTACTCTGTGGTTTGGAGACTACTTTTCAACAAATTAGTCCTCACATGAGTTTTGTCTAACTTTTTCTTTGGTTTGAGATTTTAATTATTAACCATCTTAAATTCAATCTGTGAGCTGTTATTTGTTTTAAAACCTTCCAGCTATTCAATGGGCGATTTTGTTGTACAATTAAAAGATTTGAATAAACCATCAAATTTTGATTGTTTAAAGGATATTGATCAATTGCTCGTCCATCAAAAGGTTGAACTTCTTGAGGCTCTTTGTGGATTTGAAACAAATAATAAATACCAAATTCTAAATAATTCTGGTGAAAAGCTTTGGAACGTTAAAGAAGGTAAGTTAATCAGTTGATTGTTGTTAAAAAACTAATTCTAATGGTCCAATTAGATCTTTTGACTTAAATTTATTCGATGATCAAAAAAATAAAATTCTAAACATAACCAGGTAAGAATAAGTTATTATTGCTCGTGAAAAAAAATCTGAATTTCAATCTCTCTCTCTGTCTTTAGGCCCCTGCGATGTCAATCTTGTTGTTATCCTTGCTGTTTACAGCGATGTGAGGTCACATCGGCTGACGGGTCCGTGTTGGGTTACATTGAGCAGGTTTGGTCTTTCTGGACTCCAAAGTTTAACGTTTGCGATGCTACCGGGGAAACGGTTCTTCGTATTGTTGGACCTTGTTGGACCTTTGGTCTGTGCTGGGATGTTGATTTTAAAGTTTATTCTTGTGACGGTGAAACTCAAATTGGTCGGATCGCTAAAAAATGGTCTGGTTGCGTGAAAGAATGTTGCACTGACGCTGATAACTTTGGTGTCTCATTCCCGATGGATTTAGATGTCAATTTAAAAGCAGTTCTACTTGGAGCTTGTTTCTTGATCGTAAGTTAATGATGAATAACTATTTTATTCCAGTTCGAGTTAACTTACAGGGGTGGAGAGAATCATTTGAGCCAAATTAAAACATTAATTTTATAAAGCACAATCAAGTTTAAGAAAATTTTTTCAGCAATTCGAATAGAATATTTAGTTGTCTTTGAATTGACGTTAAATTTGAGTGGCTTTGGACATGAATTCGAAAAAAAATTTCGAATTTTCGAAAACACTAAAAATTGAAAAATTGCAAAAATGTTATTTTTTGACTGAAATGAAAAATCGAAAATTTTTATCTTTCGATTTTCGATTTCGAAAGCATGTCCATCTTATTCTCCGTGTATGAAAACAGATATTCATCAAGTTTTTTTTCGAAAAAACTTGACCAATTTCGAAATATTCGAAAAAAACTAAAAATTTGCGACTAAAAACCCGAAAATCTTGTAATTTCACGTTTTTCAGTGTTTTCGAAAATTTGAATTTTTCGATCGATTTTTTTTCAGAAAATTTTCAAAATTGATAGTTTTCTACTCAGAATTAAATTCTCTATCTTAACCATGGAAAATAATTGATTTGCTGAGATTAATATTCAAGAAATTAATGATTGAATTTGGCTCAAATCTTTCTCTCCACACTTGTATTAATATTTAATTCATTTTCTCTTTCTCAAGGATTTCATGTATTTTGAAGAAACGCAAGTGCCATACCCACTTGCCTTTATATACGGATTTCTTTGTGGACCTAGATACACATATTAGCGATAAATACTAATTCCACCAATTTAACATTAAATTTTCTCAATTCCAACCACAATTTTATTCATTTTCATGTTTTTAAATTCTGATATTAAAGGTGCTTAATCTGAAATCTAATCCGTTCATTTGATTTCATCAATATTTTAAGAAAAGCTCTTTGTGATTTCAAGAATCCGTAGTCATGGTAACAACCAGATGAGTTCTAATTATAGTCAATGTTCCTTGATTCTTTGCTCATCGTCTAGATTTTAACTGATCGATAAATATATTATCTCTTTGGATAAAAACCCAGAATTACATCATCTTTGTCTATGAATGAATCTAGTTCGAGTTAATATTTGACCAGAATTTTGAAAAAAATTTTCACTCAATAGAATTGATAAACCAAATAATCAGTTAACTGTCATCTATTTGATGCTCTTTATTAAAGAGGATAAAAGATTAATCAATTTGTTTTAATTGTTTACAATTTATTTATGTGTTGATAGCAAAATGTCAGCTCGTTATTCACCTCGCCCATCAGTTGATTTCAATGAGTATTCACCTTATCCTCAACCTTATGGGACAACCAAACCAATACAAACTCCTTATGGTCAAGCTGATTATCCACCGTTACCACCAACACAACAACAAATTGTTTCTGGTAATTAAATTATCACAATGTCTCTGATATTATCATTAATTAACTGTCTCAATTGTCTTTAGGTGATTGGATGATTGCTCCAATTATATCTGGTTGTCCACCAGGATTAGAGTATTTAACCCAAATTGACCAGTTAATTATTCATCAAAAGGTTGAGCTTCTTGAAGTTTTGTGTGGATGTGAAACTAAAAACAAATATAAAATCAAAAATAGTTTAGGACAAAAAGTTTACACTGCAAAAGAAGGTAAACCAACAATTAGTTAATTGTCTTCAATTCGATGCTAATTCTTTGATTCACTTTTTCAAAGACTCTGATTGTTTGACTCGTAATTGCTGTGGACCAAATAGATCTTTCGAGATGAAAATGATCGATTGTCAGGAAAGAGAAGTCCTTCATTTCTATCGGTAAGATTACGATTGATTAGAGACTGAGATGATTAAGTTGAATGTTATTCTCCTTAGGCCATTAAGATGTTCATTGTGTTGCTTCCCTTGGTGCTTACAACGATTAGAGGTGACGACGTACGAGTCGATTTGTGGATTCGTTGAGCAAGTTTGGTCACTTTGGAGTCCCAAGTTCAATGTCTGTAATGCCGATGGTGAAACGGTCCTCTACATCGAGGGTCCTGGTTGTACCTTTTCCATTTGTGGTGAAGTAGAGTTTAAAGTGTTCACTTTGAATGATAAAACTCAGGTCGGTCGAATTACTAAAAAGTGGACTGGCCTTACTCGTGAGGCATTTACGGACGCTGATCACTTTGGTATCTCATTTCCAATGGAATTAGATGTTAACATAAAAGCAGTTCTGCTAGGAGCTTGTTTCTTAATTGTAAGATCTGTTGATCATAATCATCAACAATTTACTAACAATCTCTCTTTCCTTTTTAACTTTAGGATTTCATGTACTTTGAAAAACCGGCCAATGATTAACTTAATCAGATTTTTAATTGTTACTCTCCATTTGTACTTATTAAGGAAACACTGTATTATCTTCGGGATGATCACATCAATCCGCTGATTGTTAATTTAAATTGTTTGCTCAATTCTACCCATGAATAAATCTCGAGATTGCGCTGAGTTCCCTCGAATTGTTGGCCATTAATTTGATCCACTAATCGACTGAATTAAGTGAAATCATCAAGTGTTCAAACAAAACTAATAACAAAGTAAAACAGTTTCTATCAATCTCTCTCTCTCTCTCTCTCCGCGCTTTTATCTACTGATTGACAATTTTAATCGCAATTAATACTTCAATCAACGTGAAGATGGAGTAACATACGATTATTGATAATCAACCATATGAGAAGATAAAAGCGATCGTTGATAAGTTACCAATGAGAACTTTATTATTATTAAAAATATTTATTCCAATATCAAATATCCCAAGTTTCTTGATTTGTGAGTGTCAAACTGTTTTCAGCTATTGAAACTATTGAATTTATTAATATCTTCTTGTTCATACTGATCAGGAAAAGTTATTTCCAAACTCATCAATAGTTTTATTATTATTAATTTGAAATCAATTTTAATAGTTAATCACTCATTTGATTGAAAACATAACCTAAACCATAATCATGTCTACAACCCAATCACCAGAACAACAGAATCAAGAATCACTAGAAGGTAATAATTAACAGATTATGAAAATTATTTTCACCTTTTCTGGTTCCTTTGAATAACCGAATTTTTTTCATAGAAAACTGGATGGCTACTCCATCGATACCTAATTGTCCACCGGGATTAGAGTATTTAACCAAAGTCTGTCAATTGATTGTCCATCAACGTGCTAAAAAGTTTTCGTCTTTTTCTCGTTGTCATATCGAAAATCAATTCGATATTGAAAGTATCTCAGGGCAAAAGATCTACACTGCTGATGAACGTAAGTTAATTGGAAGATTGTTGAATGATTGAGTTGATTGTTATCATTAATTTTCGTATATTTTAACTTAAGAGATAACCTGTACGGGAATGTGGTGTGGATCAAGTCGATCATTCGAGATGCAAATCACCGACCAGCATGAGCGTGAAATCCTTCATTTATCTCGGTAAGATGTTCACTTAATCATTAGATTGTTACAAGCTTAGAATGAAACTCAGGTAACAAGTTTCCGATTCTTGGAAATTATTATCGTATCATCAAATTGAGATCAATTATGATCAAAGGTTAATTAGTTGGCTGAATAATGAACTTTTTTCTTGGAAAATTGAACAATATCAAAACTCAATGTTTTACTAATCAAATCAACTCAATCATTTGTCGCTCTTTTCAGGCCATTTCGATGTCAATGTTTTCCTTGTTGCCTTCAACAATTAGAAGTTTCCGCTTCTGGGTCAGTTTGTGGGTTTGTTAAAGAATCTTGGTCACCTTTTGTACCCAAATTTAGAATCTGTAATGCTGCCGGCGAAACTGTCCTCCATATCGAAGGCGCTTTTGGTGTGTTTGGATGCCGTCATGATATTGATTTCAAAATTCTTAACTCTAATAACACTCAAATTGGTAAAATTTCCAAAATGTGGATGGGCTTTTCCGGCGAGATTATTTCGGAAATTGATCACTTTAGTATCTCATTTCCAATGGATTTAGATGTTAACATAAAAGCAGTTCTGCTTGGAGCTTGTTTCTTAATTGTAAGATCAGTTAATCATCAACAACAATTTACTAATCATTTCTTTCTTTCTCCTACAGAGTTTCATGTACTTCGAAAATAATATCGCAGGATGTGGAGCGACTATAGCTTTATGTTTTCTATGAATCCACTCGAACCAAACTTGGTCCATTTGATTGCTGTTTCATTTTTGTTTCAACTTTTTTCTCGATAACCAACGACAAGAATCATTTGTTGACAATTAACTCTATTAACTAATTAACAAATTATTAATTCGTAAATTATACTGTTCAAGTCTTTTAATTTTCTTATCAATAACAATTTAAACAATTACTAAATTAAGCAATAGTTTAAATATTGAGTTGATTAATTTAAATTCGCTTTCTTGACTTTTGAGCTAATGGCCTTTGTTTTGACCTCGATTTGTCTTTCGCTCATTCAACTTTGCTTATTTGAAAATTTACCGCAACAATTAATACTACAATCAACTTGAAGATGGAGTAACATATGATCATTGATAACAATCAAATGAGAAAATAAAAACTATCGTTGATAACATAATTAATTTCAATCATTATTCCGATAAACACCCAAGGCGCTTATAAGTAAAAAGTGTCAAACTATTTTCATCCATTAAAAGAATTGAATTTTTTTCTTGTTCAGTAAAAGTTATTTCCAAACTCATCAATAGTTTTATTATTATTAATTTGAAATCAATTTTAATAGTTAATCACTCATTTGATTGAAAACACAACCTAAACCATAATCATGTCCACAACTCAATCACCAGAACAACAGAATCAACAACAACCATTGGAAGGTAATTAGCATCAGATTATGACACTTATTTTCCTCCGTTGTAAGACTCAAGATACATGTATGTCCACCAGCTCATCATTCTCACTTGCAGCTGATTTTTTTCGGCTTACTAACTTATTATTAGTCAGAAATAGATAAGTTTATTCTGAATACAATTGAATCCACTGAGCTTATGTTGATTTTTTCCACAGAAAACTGGATGGCCACCCCATCGGTACCTAATTGTCCACCGGGATTAGAGTATTTGACTCAAGTTGACCAGTTGCTTGTCCATCAGCATTTTAAAAAATTTACTTCTTTTTCTCGTTGTCATATTGAAAACCGATTCGATATCAAAAATGCTTCAGGGCAAAAGATCTACATTGCTGATGAACGTAAGTTAATTGGAAGATTGTTGAATGATTGAGTTGATTGTTATCATTAATTTTCGTATATTTTAACTTAAGAGATAACCTGTAAGGGAATGTGGTGCGGACCAAGTCGATCATTCGAGATGCAGATCACAGATCAGCATGAGCGTGAAATCCTTCATTTATCTCGGTAAGATGTTCACTTAATCATTAGATTAACTAATCACCAGTGATTAAGTAAACTGAAGTTTCTATTAATCGACTGTTACAAGCTTAGAATGAAACTCAGGTAACAAGTTTCCGATTCTTGGAAATTATTATCTTATCATCAAATTGAGATCAATTCTGATCAAAGGTTAATTTGTTGGCTGAATAATTATCATATCGTAACTCTGATAAAGTTTTTCTTGGAAAACTGAGTAACATGTTTGAACAATCAATCGATTTCAATCTCTTTTCAATTTGTTATATCTTTTTTCAGGCCATTTCGATGTCAATGTTTTCCTTGTTGCCTTCAACAATTAGAAGTTTCCGCTTCTGGGTCAGTTTGTGGGTTTGTTAAAGAATCTTGGTCACTTTTTGTACCCAAATTCAGAATCTGTAATGCTGCCGGCGAAACTGTCCTCCGTATCGAAGGGCCTTTTTGTACATTTGGATGTGGTCGAGATATTGAGTTCAAAATTTTCACTTCCAATGGTAACACTCAAATTGGTCGAATCGCCAAAAAATGGATTGGCCTTACTCGCGAGGTCCTTTCGGACATCGATCACTTTGGTATCTCATTTCCAATGGATTTAGATGTTAACATAAAAGCAGTTCTGCTTGGAGCTTGTTTCTTAATTGTAAGATCAGTTAATCATCATCAACAACAATTTACTAATTATCTCTCTTCCTCTCAGGATTTCATGTACTTTGAAGGTAATGGTTCAAGAATTGGAGCAAGTCTCGCTTTATGTTGTCTATGAATCGAAATTCGAAACCCTGACCAACGAAAGTCAATTACAATGTTCCAATGGACACACTGACCATCACAAACTTAACCTTGTCTAATTTAAGCTCTTCAATTGTCCTTTTCAACTAATTGACAATCAATTGGATTTTAAACCATTAATAATAGATGATTATATTCAAAAAAGAAAAGTTAATTTCCTTTAATTGTTCAAATTTTTATTGAAAGTAAGGGAGTGGAGTTTGTTCACAATAATATTTAACACAATTACGACAATCAACTGAAAGATGGAGCAACGTACCAGCCAAACGAAAGAGAGAAAATCAACTGACTCTCTTTTTCTTTTTTGTTCAGATTTGTTTATTTCTCTATAAACTGTAACTCTCTTTGTCTTCATTTACTTTTTTTTTTATTTTCGTTTTTCTAACACCTCAATAAATCTAATTGTAACTCTTGATTAATTAACTCTGTTGAATTTTCTTCGTGTTCCTTTGATATTACATTTGTCACAATTTCTTAGAAACAAATTTAATTGGTAAATATAAATTTTTCTTTCATCATTTCTATCAACAAATAGAAAATAGAAAATAATTTCATTTTCTAAATTCTCTTTTTCTTATTTTCTCTCATCTTTACTCTTTTGATTATTAATTTTCTTACTGATTGTGTCTTGTGTATTTCTAGAAAATCTCAGTTACTTAAATCATGTCCGGACCTTATTCAAATCAACCACCACCGATTGGCCTTGTTGGTCCACCGCCGAACGCACCACCACCAAGTTACCCTGGTTATCCACCTGCAGGTCAACCGGGCGGTTACCCACCTTACCCTCAGCCTTATGGGGCACCTCAACCAATGCAACCGCCGCCGATGCAGCCTCCTTATGGACAACCAGGTTATCCACAACCAGTGCACCAACAACAACCATTAGAAGGTAATTAACTAATCACATTTGATAATTACGATCCAATTTTCATGTGTGTTTACATTGTTTTCCTTTCATCTTGGATAACCTGTTGAATGTTGTGAAAAATGAGTTAATCCCATTGAGTAGATTCAAATTAATTCTCATGTATAATTATGATTTCACTTGATTATAATCTAAATGATTTCTATGATTTTCCCATTCATGGATCTTGATTGTGATTATAACAATAATAATAATCAAATTGTTTTTCCAGTCTATTGAAATCCATAATAATTAATATCTACTACAATTGGCAGCCATTCAGTTGACAATTATTTTGTGTCAATTTGAATAATAATTTCATCAAATGACCTGAATATCAAATACTATAAATAATTAACTCATTCTAATTTATCATCAGCACAATAATTACCTCAAACTAATCAGAAAATGTTTGACTTGAAAGCAATACGATTAATCAGCTGATATATTGAGACAAATCTTAGGCCTGAAATTATCTAATTTAGAGAGAGAAAATCATTGAGAGAAAACTATTGAATATAATTTAATTGTCTCCCCGCTCGAGAATCAATTAATTGTAACTATTATTAGGTCACTTTCCCTTGACGATTTCCTTGAGTTAATTCATGTTACCTTTATATACATGAATTGTTTTTAATGTTCATTTTGAATGAATTTTTTTTCCGGTTTTTCATTGAGAACCCACATTAAGAATGATTCATCATGTTGATTATCATGGTGATTGAACAAATTCTGACGTCAATTCTTGTTAGCAATTAAATTAAATGTATGTTGACCGGTTTAACGTGTTAAGTGTATGTGACTGTTTATTTATAAACATTGAAAGTTAAATGAGTTCCCATTCATTTAACATTAACCTCAAAAAAACAACAATACTGTTAATCAATTGTTCACTAATCACAGAATCAACTTAGTTAATTTCCTTAAATTTATATTAATATTTAGATAAATTTCCAACATATCACTTATTGATCAACCATCGGTAAATTGATTGATTGTTTATGACGAGGATAAACAATTAAGATTGTTGATATCTAAAAGTATAATTGTCACTTGGAAATAATTACAATTACAATCATCAATAATACTATCAATAAAAACTCATTAAAATGATGAACAATTGAATGTGTTGACATGTTGATTGTCAAAATCAATTTATCACTGAGACAATTACAATCATATTATTAATTGAATTGAATTTACAATTTATTAATTGTATTGATTGATTAAACAAAAAGTTATTACACCAAGATCGGCAATAGTGAAAGTCCAAATTGAATTGATCAATAGCGTGTCTAGTAAAAGTGATTAAGGTTGATTTAAAGATGACAATTAGTATTCATCAAGTAACAATCAAAACAATAACAATTAGTCACCTAATCAATTTTACTCAATCTATATCCTTTAAAGATTAAGCTTTAATGTCACAATTTAACCTTAAACTGAGTTCTTACGTTTAGGATAAAATTTTGATTGTTTGGTTTATTGTTTAATTAACTTTTCTTTTTATATTTTTCTAAAATGTTTCCAGGTAATTGGATGCCAGCACCTATGATACCTAATTGTCCACCAGGATTGGAGTATTTAACTCAAATTAATCAATTACTTGTCCATCAGAAGGTTGAACTTCTTGAGGCCTTCATTGGTTTCGAGACCAAAAATAAATATCACGTTAAAAACAGTATGGGACAAAAGGTTTACACTGCTAGTGAACGTAAGTTTAATTGTATTAATTGGAGTGTTTAATTTAAGAGTATTAATTATTGATTGTTAATTATTTCCATTCACAGAAACTGATTGTTGTACTCGAAATTGCTGTGGATCATCTCGACCTTTTGACATGAAAATCCTCGATTATCAAAAGCGGGAAGTGCTTCATTTCTACAGGTAAAATATTGATTCTAAGTTTCAACATGGAAACAAAAATATTAATGATACAAAATCATCCATGGATTATTGTGATTACCTTGAATCCTGTTTGATCAAATATAGAGATCATCATAATATCAATATCAATATATCACAATCAAATGTAAACATCCTTGCAGTTAATGCAAAGTGAACTTTCATTTAATCATTTAATCATTTATTACAACATGGAAATGATAATCAACCCTTTACAACACAATAATTAGTCTTTTAGTTACTAATATTCAATTTTGATACAACATTAATTCAGAAAGAGAGACAGGGAGAGAATACAATTTTCTTATTGATTTAAAAATGTAATTATCAATATCGATCAAAGGTTAACTCATAATCTGAATCAATATTGACTCGAAAAGGGAGACCAAACTGAGATTATTTCAGTTATTCAGATGATCCGGATGAATTTCAAGAATCATGGAGATTTACTCTTGCCAAGAAACAGATTAAATCTCTTCTTAATCTTGATTAGTCATTTCTTTGTTCTATTTCTCTTGACAATTATTAACGAATTTTTATTTTCTCGTCTTCCTTATTTTCAGACCATTACGATGTCAATCATGTTGGTTTCCATGTTGCCTTCAACGATTAGAAGTTTCCGCTTCCGGATCAGTTTGTGGATACGTTGAACAGTCTTGGTCAATTTGTTTCCCCAAATTTAGAGTCTGTAATGCCGCCGGTGAAACTGTCCTTCGTATCGAAGGACCTTTTTGTACCTTTTCCATTTGTGGGGATGTTGAATTTCATGTACTCTCTCGAGATGGTAACACTCAAGTTGGTCGAATCACCAAAAAGTGGTCTGGCCTGGCTCGTGAATTGTTCACTGACGCTGATCACTTTGGTATCTCATTCCCGATGGATTTAGATGTTAACATTAAAGCAGTTCTAATGGGAGCTTGTTTCTTGATTGTAAGTTAACAACAATCAAAAGATTACATGGATTAACAATGGCCAGTGTAATGATTAGTCACATTCATCAAATTATCACTCAGATTTAATATTTCATTTGAATCTTATCATGTAAATGATAAGATTACCTTTTGATGAGTTAGGAAAAAATATAATTCTATTCTTAATCATGAATTACACCCATTAGAAAATGGAAAGGCGTTTATTAACCTTGAAATGTTACTCAATTATCTCAATTGATAATTACGTCAATGGATGTTGATTATTTATGTTTTCACGTTTTCTTGTAAATTATTTTCATCATTTGATTCAGAAGTTAGATTGTTGATCTATTGATCAATATTATCACAATGACAAGTAATCAATTCTAACTTTTGATGAAAAAAATTCAATTTGATGATTAGTAGTTGCAATTTTTCATTCTAATCTTTGACTTACACAATATAATTAACTAATTGTTATAATTTTTCATCTATTCTCTCATAGGATTTCATGTTCTTTGAAAATTCAATTTGATTATTAGTGGTTACTATTTTTCATTCTAATCTTTGACTTACACAATATAATTAACTAATTGTTATCATTTTTCATCTATTCTCCCATAGGATTTCATGTTCTTTGAAAAAAGTGGAAACAAGGAACAAGATCGACCAGGAATGTTTGATTAATCATTTAAACTCAAATTGGAAAAGATTGGTCACAATTAAACTGAATAATTAGGCCTTTAATCTTTGCAACAATTAATCACAATCATCGTCATCAAAATCCACAAAAAAATGAGCACATTTTTACTTTAATCGTAATCATTTTTTCTTTGTAAACTCGACAATTAAGCCTAAATTGTTTACGGTTTAAACCAAATTGAAATGAGACAACTTTGAATATCAATTAATACGATAATCAATTTATCAATAAGTTTTTTTTATAAACAAACCTTATATATTATATCATTAATATCCTTAAGAAAAATGTGCAATTATCAAGGAAATTAATTAATTTACTGAGAGAAAATTTAATTTGATTGCAATTTGGTGGTTCAAATGTTGATACAGTTTGATCTTAATTGTTTACCTCTTTTTCACAAATTGTTGTGGCCAAAAACCTAAGCTAATTTATCCTCAAGCCAAAATAAGTTGTCCTTAATCACTTTGCCTCTTTGTAAATAAATTAATTGTTCACACTTTTGCTTTGATATTTTAATCAATTTCTATCTGGTAATTAATTCAATTTGTGGCCATTGTCACAATTTCGTTGTTTAAATTAATTGTGATTCTCTAATAACATAATCTGATTCTCATTCAAACGAAAACAAAAATTAGTTTATTGTTAATAATTCATTTTAATTTCTTTCTGATTTTAATTAGAACAAATTTTTCCAAATTTACTGATTAAGATTATAAATCTGATTACAATTGAATCAGGATTTATTTATTGAGATAAAGTTAAATTAAAACAATCTATTGAAAGAATAGTTTTGATCTAGAGAAATTTGATATTCAACAGTATCTTTTATGATATTATTTTGAACTGAAATTCATAAACTGTAACAATTATATTAATAAGTAGCAATTAACAAAAACAAAACAATTTATAAATTTATTATTCCCAAACTGTTAACGATCATCATGCAGTATAAGTGGTTGATGCAACTGATCCTCCACGTCCAGTCCAATTTGTATGAATATATTGACCGGGTTTGTTCAATAGTTCATAGGTGTGAGCGCCGAAAAAGTCTCGTTGAGCCTAAAAGATGAAAGTTGAGAAACAATTAGAAAAGTGATCATTTTTCAAATGGGATAATTTAATTGATTTTCACTACCTCTAATGGGAAAGTTAATTACCTGAATCAAGTTAGCGGGCAGTTTTTCTGCTCGATAACCATCATAGAAAGCAAGAGCAGTGCTAAAAGCGGGAGTTGGAATACCAAGAAGAACGGCCTGAGAAACAACATATCTCCATGATTGTTGACATGTGTGAATTGCATCTCGGAAAAATGGATCCATAAGAAGATTAGTAAGAGATGGATCCTTTTCGAAGGCTGATTTGATATTACCAAGGAAAACACTTCGAATGATACAACCACCTCTCCACATGAGAGCGATAGCTCCATAGTTGAGTTTCCATTTCAACTCACGAGCAGCTTCACGAAGTAACATAAATCCTTGAGTGTATGAGATTATCTTGGATGCATAGAGAGCCTACAATTATGAGAGAGGCAGAGAGAGAAAGAGAGATTAAAAGGAAGAAAAAAAATTATGTTAATTATGAGATGAGGGAAAAAGGAAGAGAGAGAGAGAGAAAGATAAATCGAATGATTTATAATACCAGTTACAAGTAATAAAATCACCGATCACTAATCACTAAATTAGAGATAATTAACTTTTACAAAACTGAAGAGATTCAATCAAATTATCCTCATCATTATTGTTTCATTAAATGTCTCTCTTTCTCTATTATCAATTCATTACCTTTCGTATATGCTCAATAAATTGTTTTTTATCTCCTTTATAATGAGTTTCTGAAGGTCCTTTGAGTACAGAACTTGCTTTGACTCTTTCGTCTTTTAATGAAGATAAACACCGAGCGAAAACCGATTCACCGATTAGAGTAACAGGTACACCATATTCTAGCGCTGAGATGGCTGTCCATTTACCGGTTCCCTTTTGTCCAGCTGAATCACGAATTTTATCTACCAAGGGTTTACCATCGGTATCTTTGTATTTCATTATTTCCGCTGTAATTTCAATAAGGAAAGAGTCAAGTTCACCCTTATTCCATTCATCTAAAACTTTTCCCATCTCATCACAACTTAAACCAAGACCATCTTTCATTAGGTGATAAGCTTCACAAATAAGTTGCATGTCTCCATACTCGATACCATTGTGAACCATTTTAACGAAATGTCCAGCACCATTGTCACCAACCCAATCACAACAAGGTTCTGAACCAACTTTGGCAGAGATGCTTTGGAAAATGTCTTTAACGTGAGGCCTTTTGTGTGTATGTGAGTATAAGGAGGAAAAATGGAGGAAAAAAATAACAAGCAAATTATTGATTAAAAAATTGACGTAGTTAAAAATGGATGAGGAAGCAGAAAGAACGACGAATATAACAGGAAGAGAATTTAAAAAAAGAACCAACCAAGCTTCAATATGTCCTCCAGGCATAAGAGATGGACCAAACCGAGCACCTTCCTCTCCCCCTGAGACACCGGTTCCAATGAAAAGTAAACCCTTGGCTTTAAGTTCATCGCATCTTCTTTGGGTATCTTGATACTCGGAATTACCACCGTCAATAATAATATCACCTTTCTCTAGGAAAGGAAGTAATTGTTTGATAAAATCGTCAACGGCAGATCCAGCTAAGGAAAAGAAAAGAAAAATCATTTAGAGTTAAACTTAAAGGTCAGATATAATATTAATCAATCGAAATCAAGGTCAAGGCAAGAGATGGTGATAAAAATGAGTAATTCTATTCACTACCCCATCAATTTATAGCTTAATTATATTTTTAGATTGAATAAATTTCTCTCTCATTCTCATTCTCACCAAATCTTTTTTTTTCTAAAGCAAATTGAACAAACTACTTTTTTTCACTCCTCTCCTCTCTCACTCACTTAATTTAGGTTCTTCATTGAAAAATTGACCTGATATCTACAAGTAATGATAAATATTAAATGATAATAAGATTATAGTCAGTTATCTTTCTCTCACTTGATTTACCTCTTTTCTACCAATAACTTCGTAATTATCATAACTGATCATCAAAACAAACCTTTAACTAGAAGCATAATTCGCCTGGGTTTCTTTAATTTGGCAACCATGTCTTCAAGTGATTTAGCTCCAACTATTTTGGTTCCTTTAGCTTCGTTCTCCAAAAACCGGGTTACCTTTTCAACAGTACGATTGTAAACACATACCTAAGAACCCAAATCACATAAGAAAGTAAATACATCAGATTAAATATCACAATAAGAACAAGATGAACACAATAAGGAAATCATTTTGACACTTTCACAATCACAACCCAAATAAAACAATAGAAACACCAACACAAAACAAAGGATAAAATGGCGATTCCAATGAAACCTGTAGATCACTAGATGAACATTCAGCTTACCGTAAACCCATGATCGTTCATATTAAGAACAAGATTTTGACCCATAACAGCCAAACCAATAAGAGCAATATCAGCTCTTCATGAGTGAACAAAAATCCCAATTGTAACCACAAGTACAACAAATGAATAGATGTAAATCACGTAAAGGAAAAAAAAAAAAAGAATTAATCATAACGAAGAAAAAAAAAGAATCAACTAGAGAATCAACATAAAAAAGAATCACTTACTTTTCAGGCATTTTCTATTCTCTGAGTGTATTTAAAAGCGTCAAACAAAAATCAACAGATGATGGAAAGTATAAGATGACAATTAGAGAGTAACAAGAATATAGAATTTATTAATTATCCTTCGAAAAAAAGAGAAATTAAAAAAGTCTACCCAATAAAATGAAAGAAAAAACCAACAACAACAATTTAAAATGTAAAGGGTAAAATGAGAGAAAATGTTGTGTAGTTGTTGACAATTAGTTAAATGAATAAAATCAAGTTGATCAGTTGTTTAATTGTAGAAAAAAAAGGAGAGAGTGAGTGAGAGAAGGAGAGAGAGAGAGAGAGAGTTGAAAGAATTAATTGATTAATAGAAATTAAAAAGAAAGAGAGATTTCGATTAATCCAGTTGTATGTTCACAATAAGAGAGAAAAAAAAATGAGAATTTGTTTGTTATAAAATAGAGAAATTGAATCTCCCTCTTTTTCTTTTCCTTCTCTCGTATTGTTTTCCCCCTTTTTCTCCAAAAAGAGAAACCAAACAACCAATAAGAGAGAAGAGAATAAAACAAAATTCTCTTTTTCCTTTTACCGTTACCAAGAGTCCACCTAATCTGGTGATTTCAGGTTTCCTCCTATTACCCACCCTTTGTCTCTCTCTCTCTCTCCTTTCATGCGACCTTGAAATGATTGGAACATATGACAAGAGAGTGACAAGTTAATGATCTCTCTCATTACCTGATTACCTACTCGGTCTCTTTTTCTTTCTTTCTTTCTTTTTCTCTCTCTCTCTCTTTTTAGTCCTCCTTCTTTCTCTGTCTTTCTTGTCATCATCCAGTAAAATGTCATCACCGTTTTCCATGTAATAATGTTGAGTGTCTGTAGTAGTGATAATTGGTTATTCTTGCGGTAAGTTTTTTTTCTCATTCTATTGATAATTTCATTTCAATTGTTATCGTTTAATTTTGTCTACTTTTACTGATCTTAATGTTAATTTGCTTTTGTCACCCTTTCTCTTTTTTTGTCCGATATTCAGGTTGTAGGTAAACAACAGGTAGAGTGTTATTGGTAATTGCAAGGTATCTCATTGTTTTCGCTGTTGTTTCTTTCAGTATTGTCAACTTCTTTACGGCTTTTTAGGCTAATTTTGTGATCTTATTTTTTTTGTCACGTTTATTTGGTTTGATTAATGATAAATTGTAATACACCAATTTGGATACAATTTCTGCTTGGAAAGTTCAAGATAATTTTGTCTCAATTTTTTTGTCTTTTTTTCTGCTTATCTCTTTTAGATATTACGATTAATTCTGAGAAAAATATATGTACATATTGATATTCTAATTGCAATTGAAAACTAATCATGGTCACTTTGAGAACTGTATTTCAACCTTTTGTAACCCGTTAGCCTTAATGTCAATAACCAGAAGAAAAAAAATGAATTTCGACAATAACCAAGAAGAAAGCATGATAACCTGATTCCCGTTCATCAACGAGTTTCTTTCAATTGCTGAAACATGTCATCAAACGTACGATTGGTAACTAATCCAGGAAATTAATGAATGATCATCTCATTATCTTTTCGACTGTTTTGACGTGTATTCATCATCATCATCTTCAAACAACAAAAACATCGATATTATCACTATGATTGTCGTCATTTTGTTTTTCTTTCTACTTAAATGAAGAGACTCCGTCCCTCATTTAACCAGGAAAAAGAAACAGGAAAGAAACAGCTATAAACCAGAATTTTATATAGAATCAGATTCAATTTATTGTTCTTTTTTTTGAATTACTATCATTTTATTGATCTGAACAAAAATGCAAGTGAAAATTTATCACGCTCAAGTTAATTGGTTTCACTCTGCATACAATATTTACCTTCATTGTTGGTGACAAGTCTACCAGATCAATTAACCAATCAATTTAATTCATGGAAACCAACCACATTACTTCATCATCGAAAATCATGACTTTGAACCATTCCAACTACAATTAAACCAAGATACCTTTTGTTTGACCTTAGAGGTTAATTTTCAAGTATATAAATATATTGATAAATGACTTTGGGTCCTTAAAGTCTTTTGGACCGTTTAATTATTCAAAAAGTGATGATTATGATAAAACTCAATCGATGACGATTCCAACAACAATGATGGTGAATTTACAAATTCTGGTGGATCCTCTGGTATTTGGCACGAAGTTTTCACCTCCCAAGAAAGAAAAGACTGATGAAAATCTAAGGATCCAATAGGAATGGTGGAAAAACAGAAATGTCCAGTTAATCAAATCCTAATTGTCCAGCAAAAGGAAAGGTTTGACACCTCTTACTCCACCCACATTTGTGAATCTTCAATAGTCAATGGAAAAGCCTTATGGACGAAATTAACATTCAATGATTGATAAAGTAGAGAAAATAGAGAAGATGAACCAAAATTCACTTGGGAAAAGAAATGTATCGATTTTACAATCAAATTAATGGTGGATAATCAGCATTCTCGTCATATTAATATTTGATTGATTAAACGTGAATTATTGACAAAGATTTTTATGGTTATGGTGATGATGAAGATTATCCATGAATAGATCAGATCTTTTGATCATTCTCTTTAATCAACTCTTTCCTTTCACGATTTATCATCATCTTTGGTGGAAAAGGAAAGATACCCGATGACCATGTGAATGAAAAAGGATGTAAATGAATCCCTTCATCTTCATCCGTTAATCCAATTAAATTAACTGGTAAAAGTCAAACGGTTAATCAACAACAACAATAATAATAATTTTTCAATCGGAAATGGAAAACATTTCCTTTCCATAAATACAAATACATTTAACTTCCAATGGAAACAGCAACAAACCATAAAAGATGATACATTTTCCAGGTAAATCAGTTGATTAATTAACCAATTTGACGAAAAAAAATTAACAATTGGAAAGCGATCAAACTATCAGAAATTTATCCTTGACAAAAGAAAAACTTTGTTAATGTTAAATTGTTGACAATTAAATCGATTTCAATCCAACATTGACCTTATTATCACAATTAACTGTCTGATAATCAGTTAATTGTGATAGTTTGTAATTACTAAAATTAAATATTCTAATAACTTATTTATCGTAACAAATGATATTAACTTAATTGTTACCATTATCGTTACTTTTCTGGCAGCAATTAACTTGACATTTGATAAACAATTAAGGAAAATTATCTATTGAACAATTTAAACAACCCATTGATTTAATTGTTAATTTAACTACAAATTAACCAACACAAAGTGTTACCATAATGTTTTCAATTGTATTAAACATTTCAAGGAATCACAATTAACCATAACCTTAACTGCCTTTGAATACACAAAATGATTGCAATACTTAATCGTTAACAAGATAATTAAGTGACTTTTAATTCAATCAAATCAAAAGCAAAACAAAAACAAAACAATTAACAAACACATTAAGATTTCCAATACCATTGGATGTCCAGTTTTTCTTGACCATTTGCTCACTATTGATGAGATACGATAACCGAATTTAAATTGCAAGCAAATAACATAATCATACTACAATTTTCCAAGACAAACTAAACAATCGAGACAACGAAAAAAATTAATCAGTTGATTAAATTGATCAATGAATTAATTACTTACAGAAACAATGATGTCTCTTTTCACTACGAAAAAATCACCGACTGGAATACCGATTTCTGGATTATTAAGTCGATCAAGTATCTCGAAAGTCTAAAGAGATAATGAGAATTAAAATTAGTTAATTGTCTTCATTTGGTTGTTGATTGTTAATTTCACCTTTAAATTTGGTGTCGAGAAACGATAATTACAAGTTCGAGAACGATACAAAAGTTTTGTCAGCTTAAAGTGTAACAATTTACTCTGTGAGAAGACAATTGATTTAAATTGAATTCGATGGATTTTTTTCTCTTACCGCAGAGTTAAAATTTCCAACATTGTACCAAGTGAAACTCGCAAAGATAATGATGGGAATTCCGGCAGAACTCATGAGGAATGAGAAATTATCGGAGATAATATTGACCATGGAACCTAAAAATATCGTCATGTCACAAAAAATCGAAGTGATAATTAGAAAGAAAAACATTAATGTTCTAATGTCCGAAAACCACTGGTCACTCTCATTATAGAATCGAATTATTTTCCTATTGATTTTAATCAATTTTCTATCGAAATTGTTACAATTAATTGACAAATCATCAACTTTATCGTTTAAGCTTTTCAGTTGAAAATGGTAAATAGTAAATGAGATCATTATTTGATAGATTGTGATTGTAAGACCACAACCAAGACCAGTGAAGACAATTAACTCAACAATTGCCCAGAAAATTGATGAGATGACCGACCCGATGCTCGACGATGAAGATAATGTACTGAACCTAATCGAGAATACGAGTAACAATATAACGGAAACTTCTATGATAACATTTCGAGTACAAAGTGTCAACAAAGAGAAAGTGACCTTTTTGAATCGACGCAATTGATTCGAGTTCATGGAAAATCTGTCCAAGGTGAAGGTGTCAACAGTCACACCGAAATAGTTACTGAACAGTTTCTCGAAAACTCCTTTATTTTTGAGAGTCAGTATATATTCATGACCAACGATCTCTGCGAATAAAAAAGTCGCACTTATCAAGGCCAAAACTCCGTTATTATTTCCAGGGACTTTAATGTCCGATATGATGACCGGATATTCATCAAGGTTCAACGATAAGAGAGAACATCGAATCATCAACAAAATTGATAAAAAGAAAAACAAATAGTTGAGTATCAACATTTTCCTTGGAATTGGTTCATCAATACTCTGTGAATACCCTCGGCGTGAGCCCAAGAATATGATTGACATTTTCTCCATATTCTTGAACAATTTAGACAATTCAACATCGATAGGATCAAATTGATTCGGTAAACATAATAGATTACGAGAAATATTAATCAACTTCCGTTTATAATTAGTGTAACCAAAGTTAATTGTTGGTTCGTTGGTGTTAATCATGATTTATACGGTTGATCATTTTAAACACAAATGTGTCAACTGTTGAGCGTTTGCTAAGTGTTCAATCAACTAATATTCACAATTATGAATAAACTTTTCAAGTCTGATTCTCTGATTTTTGATTGATTTATTGATTGATACTTAAATTTCATAATTTAATAGCACATAAATTATCACGATAATTAAGACACTCTGCACGAATATGATACTTATCAATTGTTAATGGTAATTACTTTTTATGCAGCTCTCTATTTGATTAATCAATTTAATTCAAATCGATAGAAATCAACTTAATGTCGAAAATACAATAAATAAATCAACAAGTTCAATATCTCATTAATCAGTTTGATTGATCACCAAATATTCAATTAGAACAATTTTAATAGAACGATAAACCATAATTAAGCCCATGAAACTCCCTTGACCGTTGAGAATGAGATATGGTCAGTTCGTCGTCATATGATGAGTAACCAGTACTTAAGATTATAAATCTCTCAATTAAACGGAATAAATTAGTGGCCATTGTTGGGACAATTGGTAGTGGAAAATCATCTCTCCTTTCAGCTCTTCTAGGTGATCTTCATAAACAACAAGGATCAGCAAATGTTTGCGGTCACGTTGCTTTTGTACCTCAATCAGCTTGGATTCAAAATGCCACAGTTCGTGACAATATCTTATTCGGTGAACCATATTCAAAGACCAAGTATAACAGCGTCGTTGAGGCTTTTGCTTTAGCTTCAGATTTTAAGATTCTAACAGGAGATGATCTGACTGAGATCTTCAGATGTTTACTTTTTGGACGATCAGCCGTCGATTCTCACCTTGCTTCCCATTTATTTGATAAAGCAATTGGACCTAAAGGTGTCCTAAGGCACAAAACTCGTCTATTGGTCACTCATAGAATCACATTTTTGATGCAAATCAATGAAATTGGAAGCTCACAAACTCACGAATCGGGCACATATCATGAACTTATGGACAAGAAAGGTGAATTCTCTGATTTCATTATCCAATTTTAGACGAAGCAAATGATGAAGATCTTGGAAGACGTTGGACAAACGGGTACCGAATTTGATCCATTTCATAGCAATTCTGATGTTTATGGATGTCAATTAGAGGCTATTCTCCTTGCAATTGTCAAGGTTCATGTTTGATTGAACCCATGTTAGGTTAGAAAGAATTTCAAAACATTTAATTAATTTATTGATTATTAAATTCTGTTGATGCAACTCATTAAGACTGAAAATTCATAATTTTTTTAAGTTACAAGTTACGAGCATAAACATAAAAAATCATCCCATAAGAGTATAGTATTAATAATAGATAATCCGATGCTGTGCTAAGATATTAGGTTGTCCAGATCTCCTTGACCATTAGTTTAATTGCGTATTACTGATGAGATTCAATAACTGAATTTAAATTGCAAGCAAACAACATAATCATACTACAATTTTCCAAGACAAACTAAACAATTGAGACAACGAAAAAAATTAATCAGTTGATTAAATTGATCAATGAATTAATTACTTACAGAAACAATGATGTCTCTTTTCACCACGAAAAAATCACCGACCGTGATACCGATTTCTGGATTATTAAGTCGATCAAGTATCTCGAAAGTCTAAAGAGATAATGAGAATTAAAATTAGTTAATTGTCTTCATTTGGTTGTTAATTGTTAATTTCACCTTTAAATTTGGTGTCGAGAAACGATAATTACAAGTTCGAGAACGATACAAAAGTTTTGTCAGCTTAAAGTGTAACAATTTACTCTAAATAAGAAACAGAATAAAAAAATGGACTTTGATTAGAATCACAATTCGATGAATAAATTTTCTTACCATTGAATGGAGAGTAGCTAAATTATAGCAAACGAAACCGGTGAAGATTATAATTGGATATCCGGTCGAACTCATTAGAATCGAAAAGTCCTTCGAAACTATTTGAACCATTGAACCCAAAAATATCATCATGTCACAGAAAAGTGATGTCTGAATAAAGATGAATAGTATGAACATTTTGACTGAAGAGAACCATCGTTCAGCTTCATTGTAGAATCGAATTATTTCCCCATTGATTTTTATCAATTTTCTATCGAAATTGTTACAATTAGTTGACAAATCATCAACTTTATCGTTTAAACTTTTCAATTGAAAGTGATAAATGGTAACCGAGATCAACATTTGATAGATTGTAACTGTAAGACCACAACCAAGACCAGTGAAGACAATTAACTCAACAATTAACCAGAAAAACGACGAGATGATTAACCCGATGCTCGAAGATGAAAATAAAGAACCGAATCTGATTAAGAGCACTAGTGAACCAGTAATAGAAATTTCGACGATTATGTTTCGCATGCAAAGAGTTAATATTATGTAAAGCATTCGTTTGAATCGATGGAATTGTTTCGAATTCATGTGAAACTGTTTCGAATTGAAATTTTCGATGCTTATATCGAAATATTTACTAAACAGAATCACGAATACTCCTTTTTCCTCAATGTATAATATGCATACATGACACACGATCTCCAAGAGAGCGAAAGTCGCACTTATCAAGGCCAAAAACCCGTGATTATTTCCAGAGACTTTAATGTCCGATATGATGACCGGATATTCATCGAGATTCAATGATAATAGAAAACATCGAATCATCAATGAAATTGAAAGAAAACAAAACAAATAGTTGAGTATCAACATTTTCCTTGGAATTGGTTCATCAATACTCTGTGAATACCCTCGGCGTGTTCCCACGAACATGATTGACGTTTTCTCCAATTTCTTGAACAATTCAATTATTTTAAAATCGACCGAGTCAAATTGATTTGGTAAACACAATAAATTACGAATCAAATTAATCAACTTCCGTTTATAATTAGTGTAACCAGAGTTAATTGCTGATTGATAATTGTTAGTGTTCATCATGATCACAATTTTAATACTTACAATCAATTTGATCTTATTATGAGCTCGCTCTTGATTTTTACTATTTTACTTTTTTGTTGCTCTAACTGATTGATTGATCTTGATTAAAAATTAATCTCTTTTCTTCAAATTGTTCAATTATATCATGACAATTAAGCTTCTCAATATTGAGCACACGAAAATGATTCAAATCATCAACGATATGACAATGATTAACTATCGCCTAGTTTTATACAATTGTTAATGGATTGTCATCCAAATTATTGACAATCATTTTAGTTCAATAGTCTAACAATCAACTGATTATCGATTGATGAAAATACAATTGATCTGTGACATCGGAAAAATATAATTAATAAATCAACGAGTTCATTATCTTATTTACTGATTTAATTGCCAATCGAATGTGAAATTTTAATCAATTATATTATTATATCTCTTTATATTGATGAAAAGAAAACCTCATTTACTTAATTTGCATAAATTGTTACAATTTCTAATGAACAATTAACGATCAATCCCCAATTGTTCAATAAATATATCAAACTGATTGTTGATAAGTAAACAAATGAGTTTGATTGTTAATCAGTTAAGGTAAAGACAATTTAGCTGAAGCAAATTAGTCTCTTGAGCTTTATAAACCAATTGTTATTATCAATGTTGATTACCAAAGTGATTAAATTGATTGTTGAGAAATAATTGTCAATTGTTAAATCTGATTGTGAAAATGAAACTATTACATTTGTATCATTAATTTCATCACAATTAAACATCAATATCTCCCAATCTGATTGATTCGTATGAGGATGAGGGTTGTGATTGTGATTAAAAATTAAGACCCATATTAAGTTAACAATCAAATTGATGATTAATCTAATTGTTTAAATCATTTTCTATTTGATTATGAAAAATTTTGCTCTCTTTTTTTTTCAATTGTCGTTAATTTGGGTCACTGGGTCAATATCAATTCTAATCCTAGATTCCTGGATCTCTCAACACTTCCAGGTTAATTAACAATATTTTGTAAATAAATTAACACTCATTGAATATACAATTAAGTTAATCAAGAAAAAAATCTGCAACAATTAATCATATTTGCAGGAAGAAGCAACGAGAAAAAAATTTAATAATAAATCACTTAGATTTAGGAGACAATTAAAAAAAAACGCAATTTCGATCACAACAATCAAAAGGTTAATTAAGTTATAAATCTAATCAAAATGTTAATTGTTATCATTGTAAATTGATTAAGCTATTGAAACAATTAACATTTAGATTACATATTCATTTACAGTAATATTAATAAATTGTTGATGATGATAATTTTTGCCTTTCTAAATTGCAGAATGGTTAACAATTAAGCTTCAACCGAAAGGGAATTAATTACCTATCATCCCCTAATTGTTAATAATTAAATTAATCATTTGAAGACAGCAGCAAATGTCGATCAAGGTTAATATTATTCAATAGAAGTTAATTTTTCAAGGTTATGCTGGTTAATCAACATGCTAAACAAATATTACAATATTGAGAGATAATCAATAATCATCTGTAAATGATGTGTAAACAATTAGTTTGATGATCAGCAAACTGATTTAGACAGAATCATAAATTGCGGAAGCAATTGGATTAAATAATAATAATATTAATCTTTTCTTGGATCTAATTACATTAGATAATCAGCAAACAAACAATCAAATTAAAAGGGACAAAGTTTAAGAGTCAGACACACACACACACACAGGGAGATCTCATGTCATGATGATCATCATATTGATCATGATGATGATTAGCCTGTGGTTAAATTGTTTATAATTCATATTATTAACAGAGACAATGAGAGAGTGAGAATTGATTGTTGATCTTGATAACGGTATTCCTTCATCTTCTTTCCTCTTTTTGTCCTCAATACAATTGTTTTCGGTTCCTTTTCTTTACCTTTCTTTTCATCCTTTTTTTCAAGTTCTTTTTGTCATCATTATCATCATGCTCTATCCTCTTCCCAAATCACCATTTAACCAGGTATTAATAATGAATATAATATTTATCACACAGAAGGCACAAGGTGGAAGGTGGGTGATGATGATGAAGATGAGTTGATGTTGGGGTAACCATGTGAGAGAGTGTGAGTTTGGCTGGTGAGAGTAGATGCCTCAATCTTCATCTTCATCTTCATCTCTCTCTCTCTCTCTCTCTCTCTCTCTCTCTCTCTCTCTCTCTCAGAAGAGATGGAACCTGGAGAAGAGTTGTAGAGAGAGAGGAAATAAAACATCGAAAGAGGAACAAAAGTGAATGTGTATTCTTCGTATTGAGAGATATTGAAGAGAAGAATATGAAAAGAACCTAAGGAAATCCTGCATGATAGAAAATGAGAGAGAATTTTGAAACTGCGCTCATCATTCTCATCGATCGTTTCATTTTTTCTCTCTCACTCTGTCTATTTGTTCTGTCTACCTGTTTACATCATCATTCTTTTCTTCTCTGTCTAAAAGAGTTGCTATAACAACGAAAATCCTCTCACTTTGATAATACACAGAGAGAAGATAAAAAAATCGAGAGAGAGAGAGAGAGAGAGAGAAAACCTTGTGTGTTGTTTCAATGAACAATCACAATTCAGTCAACACTGAACATCATCATCATCATTTTGATCCTCATTTCCCATGAAGAGAGTGAAAGGAAAGCGACAGTTATAAAGGTATCGGTGAGTGAGAGAGAAAACTCTTGTTCAGAATAGAAAATAGAATGAAAGAGAATAGAAGACAAGAAGAGAATTTCCTAACCTTTTTTTCTGTTCTATTCTAAATATCTTATTATTTATATTTTCCTATTCGACGAAAAACAAAACAATATCGAAGAAAAATATCAAAAATGTTCTAACCATCAAGTGAATCGTTCAAATTTGTGAGAAATTACTATCAACTTTTCCTCTTACATATTGACCATTGGAAGAATGACCATCAGTGAATTACCAGGAACATCGTTAAATTTATCTACAATTAAATCATCACAATTAGAATCATCGATCGTTCAATTTGTTAATAGTGAAAAATTATTCTGTCAAAATCAATGTTACCCAAAATTGGAATCAACAAAAACGATAACATCCAAATGGAGATCAGTTGAAAAATCATCACCAATTGTTAACCCTACAAATAAATCAATTAATTTTCATCAATTAAGTTGATCTGATGATCAAAATTTACCCATCAAATTAAATGAATCAATTGATTAAATATTTTCAATCATCTTAAATCTCATTTTGATTAAGGTAAAAACCTCGTGTCAATTGAAATCATCAATACCCAATTTTCCTGTGTCTTTATATTTTGTTAATTGTTATTATCTAATCACCACAATTGGATTCATATCTTATCTGAGTGTTACCTCAACAATCAAATTGTAATCAAAGGTAAATTGTCTTAATTGTTTCTCTATCCAGATGAAAGTATTTACATCCTTTCAACCCAATTGAAAGTTAATTGTGATTACATTTTCTGGTCTTTTCTATCATTTGTGTTTATATATTTTCCTCTCATTGTTTCTGGTTAAATTTTCCACCGAGAATCAGAACTTTAATAATGATGATGACGATGATTAACAATCCACCGGTGTAATTTACTTAATCAATGATCTTTACGATAACTATTATTAAGTATCTCTCTCATGTTCCGTTACCATTTAGCTTTTTTGTTTTCCCAGTGACACTTTTATTTACTATCTAAAGTTCATTGATAATATTGTCGATTCTGGTTGTTGATGTCATCATCATCATCATCATCAGAATTCTGATTCTCATCTTTACCATTATCATCATTTATCATCCTCATGATTAACAGCAGCCCGAATAGGAAGAGAAGTATAAAAAACAAAGAGAAAGGAATCAAACCATTTGTTTTATTTTATTCCTAAATAAATAACAATTTTACATCAATCAATTGGAAACAAACAAAAGGATCAACCTCATCATCTTCATCATCTTCATCTTCATTATCATCTTTACCATAGTGTTGGCAAGGTTAATAGAGTGTCGTTAATTGACCTGCCATTATCATTGGAATTATCATCTTCTCATCAACTGAATCATTCATTTACTTTATTATAAGAGTAGATTCAAAGATCATCAACATTTATCATCTTCTATTATTTTTTTTTTCTCGCAATTTTCCAAGCAATTAAATCATCTCTACAAGAGGGAGAAAGAGAGAGAGAGATAGATAGACATACTAATATACTCACACAATTTACCTGTAATTGTGTAATAAGTGAAGGTGTTTGTTTATCTGTGGTTTTATCATGTTAGAACCTTCATCTTCTGAGGATGAAAATGATGAATTGGGACATGAAGATTCGGATAACATATCGACCTCAACCAGAGATGGTTCTTATCCAGGGGAAGCTCAAGTCTTGGTGGTTCCATTGGATCATCAACCCTTTATCCTGGTGGAGGAGGAAGTGGACCTCGTTCAGTTTCACCAGCGATTTCGGGATGATAATATCTGATTCGGGTAATTCAACCCTTCGTTCAGTTTCAAATGATCGTCTAAATGTTACCGGATCTCGAGGTTCAGGATCGTTATTAACTCGATCTGTTTCACCTTCACCTTCACCTTCATCAACTCTTTCCACTGGAACCACTTTATCAGCTTCATGTGGCCAAGGAACAACCGGATCATCTGGTTTAGGACCTTCGATGACTGGTGCAGGTTCATGTTCTGGTTCAATGTCAGGTCACAATACTCGTGATAGTGGAAATATCACCAGTAGTATGGGTGCAAGTGGAAGTGGTGGAAATAGTGGTACCGGTGATTCAAGTTCTTTAGCCGGTGGAGGTGGTGGACGTTTAGATGAATCGGAAAGAGCGGAAAAGGAAGAACAAGAAAGAAAAGTTCGACTTCAATTGTATGTTTTTGTAATTCGCTGTATATCTTATCCGTTTAACGCTAAACAACCAACCGATATGTCAAGACGCCATTTAAAGGTGAACAAATCTCAACTTGAACAGATAATTAATCGTTTTGCAAGTTTCCTAAAGGGAGACACAACACTTCCCTGTGATGATGCCTTCGTCCAAGCGGTACAAGGCTACTATGAACGGTTTCTCCGTTCTGATCGAGCTTTACTCATGGTCACCTCTGGAGCTTCAAGTCTTCACGATTTTCGTTCCATATTTAAATCTTCAATAGAGAAACGTGTTAAAAGCCTACCCGAGATCGATGGACTGTCAAAAGAGACAGTTCTAAACTCGTGGATGTCCAAATTTGAGGTACTTATCAGAGGTGATGAGGAGACCAAAAAACCGACTCCAAGTCGTTCCCAAGTCGCTGCTCAACAACAAGGCCTCGCATCTGAACTTATCCTAACCAAGGAGCAATTATATGATATGTTTCAACATGTTCTGAATATTAAAAAATTTGAACATCAATTACTTTACAATGCACTTCAGGTGAGTCTCTAATTAATTAACTAACCATTTGATTAATTACCATTACATTTGTATTCTATTGTCCTTTTTTGTTATTCTTGTTGTTGTTTCTGTAGTGTATGTGAGAGTGTTTCACTTTCAAGAGATGTGCAAAAATAATCAAAAAGTGAAACAATTAGTTGATTAACTTTAACAATTTAACATTTTAGATACAAAACTTTTCAGTTTCATGTTCAATTTTTGGTTCCATGTCAACTCAATCATCTTGTCAGAATATATTGTTGTTGTTATTATAATGATTAGAATCATTGACTTGACAAAAAAAAACAGAAACGGTTACACAACAGGTAACACTTTGAGCTTTCCAGGTATTAAGTTAACTTTCAAACAATCAACTAGATTAACACACAATTGTTAAGGTGATTAACCTAATTTACTCTCAGTTAATTGATTTTTTCCTCTGTCTCTATTTTTACTTGCCCATTTTACTATTAATCACTCAATTATCTCTTCTATTGTGTGTTAGTGTTTAAACTAATCACCAACTGAAAAAACTATGATTTTTTTTCAGTTCGAGATGATTATTGATCTTGAAAAAATTTCATCACAATAAAATCAAGTGATCAATTAAATCACCCATGGTACCGTTAACTTATCTGATTGTTACAATTACGATACCTGAAAGTTACCTGGAATTTGTGATTGAATCTTTTTCATTCTCTCTCTCTCTCTCTCTCTTGAATTCTCAACATGAAGATGATAAATAAGATGAGTCAGAAAAAGTAATCAATATCAATCAATAAATTCCAAGGATGATAAGTCTTATAAGATTTTCTTATCATCTCCATCATCTTCATCCTCATCTTGTCAAGACTTGATTTCTTGTTACCTTTGATATATATAAACTTTTTTCCCCTTACCTTGACAATAATTAATCTAATCACTTAATCGGAGTCTTTCATCAAAACAAAGCTCAATCTTTAATCATGTTTGATTGTTGATTAAGTAGTAATACAAATGATAGTAAATTGATCACATTCAATGTCCAATTAGACTTAGAATCCAATTTTTAATCACATTTTGTTGGATATTGAAGTTTATTGATTTCTTTTCTTAACTATCAATTATCATATGAATCAATTTAAATTGTTGTTGTTGTCATCTATTGTTATTATTACTATTACTTGGTTAACCTTTGAAAATAATGTCCAAATATAACGGTAAATACATTGACTGAATATATTTTCCCTCATCTTATTTAACCATAGTGATGATGATTCTGTTGGTTAAGTGATCAAATATAATACTGACAATTGTACCTTTTTCCAACCATCCACCAGTCCACCCCATACATTATACTGTTGATCAGATAACTGAATTTAATTTAATCGATGAACCAAAAGACTCACAATCAGAATCACAATCACAATCAGCTACTATCATTATGTGTTTATAACCAAAGAATTGACTATAATCATGATATGCTTGAATCGTTTATCGATTATCAATGCAACCTCCATGATTATTTATCTAACCATATTTATCTCTCTCACTCATATACTGGGTATCGAGTATAAGTATGAATATATACCCTGTATATATCTCCATACCAAATATCTAATTCAATAGTTATATTGTTCAATATTCATAATGTTCAATCATTGAACGATTCATTAAACATTCAGATACAAATAAAGTTAAAGAAAAGTTAACAATTAATTTTCATTATCATTAATGCAAAAAAAAATTGATCATAATTACCTCTTGATATGGTTAAGTTGATTGTTAACCAAACAATTAACATTTAATAAATACCTTTTCTTGGTAATTGATATTGATAACTAATAATATAATCAAACTAACGGTAAAAATAATGATAATTTGAATAGCAAATTGTATTAGACAAGTTTAGACCTTACAAAAAATTGAGATTATCTTTGATAATCTTGTTATATGATAAGTACAATAAGTTAATCACAATTAAATTAAATCCAGGCGAAAATATTTCCTTTCAATTTTTGATTGTTATTAGTTGACAAAAGTTACTTCGTAGACACTTTTAATCAGTTGATTATGATTATGATAATCATCATCATGAATGAATGAATATTATCATAATATTAAGACTGGAAGGATGTATTTTTTTGCTCATCATCATCATCTTATCATCATTATCATCATCATCTATTATGGATTAAAAGATGAACAGGAAAAATCAACCTTAACATTGAAGATCAACAAGACAATTAATCTTAATCTTTTCTCATGATAATTTTGCAACAAAATGAAACATTAATCAATGGGAAAGTAATTCAGTTAAATGTAATCATGTTTAAGATAAACAAACAACAGTTAACATCGTAAATTTTTAATTATAATTAGTACAATCAGATCAAAATTCAATTCTAATCACAATCAAATTTCACTATTTTTATACATCTTATCAACCATGAAGTATTATATACAATCGTGTTGTTGATGATGATGATTATGATACTTGTAATAATATATCATGAAATAAAAGGTAAGGAAAAAACCTTGAAACAGTTGAATGATATTCAGAGAGAGAGAGAGAGAGAGAGATGATGATGATGATGATGATGATATTATCTATACACTGAACTGAAACACTGAACTTTGTTTCCATTTTGATTCAGTTAGCATGGAGAGAGATCAAGAAAAATAATGATAAAATATTATCACACTCCCAAGTATCAAATCCCTTTACTATGGGTTTCCATTGGATCGTTAATATAATGATTTCAATGTCTAAACATATATTTAGTAGTTAGTTACCTAGAACTACAATTAACTAACTGTTAACTTTGATTTTATTGTTTTTTTTTGTTTTCTGTTGACCCAATTTATTAAATTTCTGTTCAGTTGATAGCTTTCATTGACAAAATCATTGATTTATATTCATTGTTAACGAATCGTATTAATGGACAGTTAGATGAACAGAATTAATCTTGTCAATTTGGTGGCAAATTTGACATTCAAAATTAATTGTCCATTAATTTGATCTTTCACTGGTCTTGATTGTTGTTGATTCCGTAACTTTAACAGCATTTGCTTTCCAACGGTGGTCAAGCCAATGGTCATCCCAAACTTGGGTCATCTCAATGAACCTTTGTTATGATCTTGATGATGAAAATAATTTTGATCACTAAATACAATTAGTAAATCAATTGGTAGCCTATGAAATGTGATTATCCAGAATCAAAACTTTAAAACTATTAAATGATTAACTTGAAAACTTGATTAATCCTCCAAATTTAAAAATTTACTTGGTAAGGATTATAAAATATTACATCATTTGATTTTGCTGTTACATAATCATAATTAGCAAGCAATTTATAAGGATACGATTATGATTAACTCTAATTACGTATTTATAGTTTAAATGAGTGATTACAATTTAAACCAGAATTGGGTTAACAAACCCAAAGATAATTGTATCAACGGTTGACAAGATAATTTGATTTCCATCAAAAACAATTTACTAATTATTTTTCATAACGATTAACATCATTATTGATTATCCAATGGACTATATATCCTCATCATCATCAACAACAACAACTGATGATGACACTTTTTTTTGTCATCATCACCATTAACTCCCAATGTTGTGTCCATATAAACACTTTGATTTACTTTCTGTTGTTGTGATAAATATTATTGATCATCATTTATGGTTTTATTTTAATCATTACTGATTAAGTGTAACATTTTCACATGATCTGAGATGATTAAAGTAGTCATTATGAAGATGATGATGATGATAGGATTTCATTTCTCCTTCAATAGAATCATTAATTTCCCTGGTTATCTCCATGGAAAGTTATTTCTCCTTCTCTTCAGATTTATATACAATTCTTATATACTGTTCAATAGAGATTAAATAATATGATTCTGAAAGTTCTGACGATATTTTCTCATGAAAAGAGGATGAAGATGATTCAGAAGATAAGTTATCCCTTGGAACATTTCAACCTGATCATTTCGATGAGCCATAAGATACATAACCTGAAACCCTTTTAACCTTGATAATCAATAGTATTACAATAATACTATTACAATGTTACGATATTTTCACTTATCAATATCAATTTAACTCTAAACAATTACAATTTAATCAACTGATTGTGTTGTATTTTTGATCATTTAAAATTCTGGTTGCATATTAATAGCATTTCAATTGTGTGAATGTTTCTGATTTTCCGATAAATTGTTAACTTTCCCTATCGATCGTCTAATTGTTTCAATGGTAAATTAATTTCTCTTCCTTTATCTGATAATTAATTTTAATTATTTTCTTAATTGTTCATTTTTTTCTCTCTTCATGTTTCTATTATTTTCTTAATTGTGATTAGCTTGATTCTGGCGATGAACAAGCTGCTGCCATTCGTAGGGAACTTGATGGAAGAATCCAACGAATTAATGAAATGGAAAAGGTAATTAACAATTAACTCTAATCATGTTAATTAATTTGAATTAAGTGTCTTGTCAAAAAAGTTTTCATCTATTTTCTTATTGAATTTTCGGTTAATTGTCAATCGGTAATTAGATGAAACTTTTTCTAGCAACTTAATCACTGGACACTCTCATTTGTTTCCTTGGCTGATTAACAATCAGCTGATTGTTGATATGATTAATTGATTGTGTGGTTGATTCGCATTTTTTTTTCGGAAACTTTTCCATCCATTTTAATGTTGATTAATGTCTTTGATTGTTGTGACAATTAGAGGACAACAATCAACAGCTAAACTTGATCATTAATCTCAATCAATTGATCAATATCTTAATAAGTTAACCAGTTTGACAATTATCATTTTAATTGTTTCGCTATTGGTCAAAATCACTCAATGTCGATAAATCAACTGTCAATTTAATCACAATTAACGTCTAATATGTATAATAGTTAATGATGAAAGTGCAACTCGGACAAGTCATTTTTTTTAGTTCTTTGTGATTTTGGTAATTAAAACTGATTCTTACTAATTGTTTTGCTTTAATTTATCAATAGAATCGCAAATTGATGCCAAAATTTGTGCTCAAGGAAATGGATCATCTTTACATTGATGAATTAAGATCATCGATTAACCAATTAATGGTTAATCTTGAAAGCCTTCCGGTATCAAAGGGTGGGGCTGATAGTAAATATGGATTACAAAAGCTCAAGAAATATAATCACAGGTATTTACTAATTGTTACGATAATTAAGAGTTTAAAATCTAATCCAATTGATAATCAGTGATATTTTCTAACAATAACAACTTTAATTGTTGTGATTGAAATGAGAAGAAAAATTCAATCAACTGAATTGAGAAAAGAAACAAAAATCTAATCAAAATTCATATTCTCTTTATCCTTTTACATTTCATTTTCTCTCAACTTTAATTGTAACAATTAAATCTAATTATCAAGCAGTCGTCGACGTACCTCTGTTCTAAGGCAGGTAGCTTCAATTACTTAATCACAATTAACTTTAATCAACTTTAATTTGTTTTTCTCTTTGTCTTGTCTATGTTATTCATCCAATTGATTGGTTTGATTTAAATTCCCTAATTACAATTACTCTAATTGTCCAGTTCCAATGAAAATCAACATGGATTACAATTTACTGTTATTTTCTAATCATTTTTCTCAACAATTAAGTCTTAATCATGATCGAGAGAAAGTGTTGAATTTCTGTTTGAAAGCATCAACTGTTAGTCGAAGGTAACAATTAACTAATTACAATTAATTCTTTCTTTTTCCTTCTTCGGGGTCTCAACAATTAATTTAATCAGTCAAAGTTTTCTTTCAATAACAAATTTAAGGATTTGTCGATTGGGATCAATAATGTAAGCAATTTAAATCAGATCAAACAATCAAAGCTTTAATTTAATCATTTCGCTTTGTAACAATTAAGTTGATTGAGTAGTAATAGCTTTCATTTGTTTTGAGCTAAATTATTATGATTTAAAGCTTAATCAAGTCTTTTAATTGTTCACAATTCCATCAACATTTAAGTTTCGTTTAACTTTAATTACCATAAATATATTATGGTTGATCAGGGAATCAACAAATTATTAACTGGTTGTAAATTGTTTCAAGTTTTTTTATTGATTAACTTATTGATTGTTGTTGTATTGATCAATGAAAACATGTTCAATTGGCTTTTACAATGTTTATCCAATTGATTGTGATTTTTTTTACTTCTCATGTTAAAAAGTTGATCTTACAAATAGTTTCCAATCATACATACAAGTATCAATTGATTGAGCAATTTAATTTGATTGAATCGGTTGATTGTCACAATTTCAAGCTCTCTTTCTGTATATCCAATTGATAGCAAGTAAAGCATAAACTGTCAATCTGTCATCTTAATCTTCATCATCTGAATCATTTCAATCATAAAAATATGAACCTTTTCTCAAGTTCTGATTGTATGAAAAAATTTTTTGTTCTCATACAATTTTAATGCAGCACGATTTTCCCCTTAACATACTTGATGATATTGCTCATTCAATCATCATCAACTAATTAATTATCTCTTAATTGTTAACATTTGTTTGTAATTGATTAAGGTAAACACAGATCGATGGGAAAACAAAGTCAATCACATGAGCCATTTGTTTACATTGAAAAGTGTAAACAATTCTGATGATGTTTACAATCAGCACAGAAGCAGATGAACAATCATGGAAATAGTGATCAATATTATCATGATTTTAAGGAATTAACTTGAAGAAAAACTCTGATTCTCAGAAAACTTTACCAAATGAGTAAAAGTTTCGTTTTTCAAAATTTCCCCTCTTCCTGAATAGCGAATATGAAAACTTCGTGATTCTATTATATTTTATTGTCCTTTTCGATTGAATGGTTTATTATAATTAATTCTCTATTATTATCATGAAAACTTAGAAAGGAAAAAAGTTCAGAACTTTTATCTAAGTTCAAGGAAAAAGTTGAGAATTAGAATCTTTTTTTTTATTCTTTCACTCACTGAATCCAACTATTACTTTTTTCTCAATTTTTACCTGGAAAAAAATTCTAATTCAATGTGTAACCATGATTCTAATCATGATGATTGTTATAGTTACATAAAATTAACCAAATTAAGTTATGAATTTTTTCGTTCATTCACTAAATGAAAAGGTTACATGAAAAGTTTCATAATGATTGAGGGGAAAAAAATCGACGAGAAAAAAGTTCTAATAATGTTGATAGATTTATTTTCACATCACCAATTTATCGGGCGATGAACATCATTGATTAGTTTACTCATAATTGTTATCTATCATCTTGATCTATCCTCTCGAAATTCAATATTTTTCACCTTCATCATGAAATAAAACTCAGAATCTGATCTCGAGAATGCTAATGCATTGAAGCTCTTTATCTACTATGAACATGATGATGAACTTTTCATAAGTACATATGTATTATATGAATAGTAGAAGATACAAATTGAGTCAATCATGTTTTCCACCGATTTTTCAATCATGAAATCTTCCAAACAACTCAACTTTTCATGTTCATCTTGAGTTGTAATCTATTTCAATTGAGTACAAGTTTTATTCACAAGTTATCAAATTTTTTCTCACAACTTTATCTCTTTACTTTTTCTATTACATGATAATAATGTTGAATTTCAATCTCAACTTATTATCATTATTATTTTCTTTCACTTTAACTAATCTTCTTCTACATCATGATAATGACTGAACATGGAAATTATCTTCCCCCTGACAACTTTACTCTCAATTGAATATTAAACTAAATTTACTTTTTGCTAATCATTCATCTTAATGGTTTACTATTATTACCAGAGAGCAATTAAACGCTGTTTAATATTAATAATTATCTCTCCAGTCTCATGATAATTAACGGGAGGAAAATCAGCATTTTCTTAATTCTTTAGTCAAGAAAATTTTACCTTATGAGTTTTTCACTTAATGAATTTTGATATTATTATTCACCAAGAGTTCATATTGTTCAGGAAGATGACAATGTTACTATTATTATTATTATTACATTTTACTCATCATCATGTTGATTATTTTTACTTGAGGAATCATGAAAAGCAATACATTTATATATGAACATCACCAGATAATTAATTCAATGAAATGTTCATAATCATGATTATGTTTCTGTTAATTGTTATCACCGGGAGTTGATAAGAAAGGTGAAAAAAATAATAATAGTAAATTGTGATACATGAGATTCAGTTTGATGATAATAATAATAATTGAGTAACATTATGAATTAAGTTGTAACAATGTTATCAAATTAAAATGAATCGTAATGATTGTTTCATTTGCAAAAACATTTCCAATTCAAATTCATGAGATATTTTGTTTTTTCATGATGAAACTTTTTTCTTTCCAATCACATTGACAATCAATTATTTTCTCATTTACAATTTTCACCGATTCTAATTTGCTTATTCAGATCTGTTGAGATGTATTTTCAATTCTCTATCATCATCCCACTCATCATGTTTATCGTTATTCTCCCACTCACCTTAGCATTTCATTAGAAAGTGATAAAAAAAACTCCCAGGTAAATTTGTCAATTCCCTTTGTTGCAAGGTAACCAAACATAAAGGAAGATGAAACTTTTCAATGGGATTTTCATCCAAACAAAATAAATAATCTTCACCTTGGAGATTTTTTTTTTCTTTGCTGAATTTTGTTAGATGATGATGATGGTGATGAAGATGAAGATGAAGATGCTGTAGGTGAAAGTGGAAGATGAGGAAAGATGAGAAGGTGAAATTTTTTTAATGTACTTTTTACTTTTTACTTTTAGCTTATTCTTTTTTCATTTCATCTTCTTCTCTTTTTTTCTGAATGCCCTTTTCTATTATTATTTAAGGAAAGTGGTGATGAAGATGAAGATGATAAGAGCCTTTGGGTGTGTGTTGACATTATCATGATGCTTTTAAGTATTATTATCATCACTTCACTTGGCATCCATTTGGTAACGTCTTTTATCTTGATCGTTACAACTTTTCTTGTTTCGTTTTTCCTTATCGATCTATTCATTACCTGATAACTTTTAACGACAAATAAATTGCAATTGATTTAATAATTTTATGTCTCAGTATTAATTATCTTATGATAATAATGGTTATTTAGTTTAATATCTTTGATTGTCAGGGAGAAATGTTAATAATTAAGGTAAATCTACTCAACCTACCATTGGAAGTTGTTGGGCATTTTTAGAAAACTTTGATGAAACTTTTTCTTTTCTTTCATTTCGAACAAAAAATGATAGAAAATTTTTTTTTCTTCCTTCGACAAAATGATAGATTAGAACTTTTAACTCTCTCTCTCTCTCTCTCTCTCTCTCTCTCTCTCTCTCTCTCTCTCTCTCTCTCTCCCTCTCTTTGGCTTCGAACTTGTCTTCTCAACTTGAGAAGATTATTATTGTCGATCACTCTAGTTTGAAGGACGAAAATTATTTCTTTCATTTTTTTTCTGCTTCGATCTTTATCAGAACTTTTTTTTCTATTCGATATATCTTTCTGTACTTTTCTTCATCGTCATTATTGTGAAATTTTTCTCTCATGTTTCTAAATGGATCCACAATATCAGTGAGAGAGAAACTCTACCCCAGCCGATTACCTACATCAACTCCCACTCTTATTTCATTCAATTTATCATTTAATTCCAATTGATTTATTTATATCAACGTCACGATAAGAATCACAATTAAATTTCATCAAATTCCAATGATTGAATTTCATTGAAAACTTTCTCATTTAAAGTCATCCAGTTAATTTTATCTCTCAATTAGTTTCTCAACAATTTAAATTCACAAAATTATCAATCAAATCAGATTAATATATAATAATAATAGAAGATGAAAATTTTGTTCAATCCAATTTGATTGATTTAGAATTGAAATTAAATGTGTCCTCCCAATCATCTGGGTCAGATTAATCAGTCATTTCAATCATGCTGGGAGTTAATACCAATGCATGGTTATGAGTTTATTGTGGTAAATTTTATGGATAAAAAAACAAACAAACAGAGTGGTTAATACCAGTGGGTGGGTAATAGTTATTGCGATGAAATTTCAAAATTCACGATTTTCCTGAATTCCCATGGAATCTACTTACTTCATGGTGATGATGATACTTTTCATGGGAAGATTTTATGATTTATATTTATACTTTTTTCCCTATCTCCCGATAACAGAAATTTATTACCATCAATATAAGATGAGAGAAACACCCGAATTCAAGTGTAAATTCATGATAAAATTCAGAGATATTCTTGATTAGAATAACATTAACTCGATAATGGAATTTTTTTCTCAATCATTATCTTCAGATTTAAACAACAATTAAGAGCAATCAGAGTAGTTGGTGAAATTTTTTATTCTTTCATCATGATTATTATAACCATGACGAAGAAGATGAATCAAGACATCGATCAGAATATTCAACATACGCAAAAATTTATAAATCATTACTCGAAAATTATGATAATCATATTATAAATAAATTCTGAATTCTATCATGATAATTTCCTCATGAAAAAAAAAGCTGAATAACTTCAACTTGGTGACAAGTTTCTCTCTCTAAAATTGTTCATTAAATTCATTTCAACCAAATCCCACAATCTAATTCAATCTGATTAGTTGATCATTTCAAAGATTAATAAAAGTTAATCTCATCCTGATCATTTCCATTGATTGTCATGGATCTGATTATATTATCATAATCATCTTGAATCTTCAAGATGATTAACAATTAATTCAATGTTTACCTAATCAAATTAATACCGATAATCAATATTTTCATTAATCTTTATGTAAATCAATCAAAATTTACTATTTATTTATGTTGTTGATTAAGATTAATTGTAAATATAAATGAAAATGATTATCTATTAATAACTTGAGTCACTTTTACCATTAACTTAATTGCTATAATTAGTATAATAAGAAAACATTATCATAATAATAATAAATTGTTCACTTTTAATTTCATGACCAATCAACCAGATAATCATGATGATAATTAATAGATCTTACTAATTGTTGTAACAATCAAACAAATCATTTGCTATATCAATTCATTAACATCACTTTCAATGATTAAATAATAGTTTAAATTGTTTTCTAATGTTGATTATGTTTAATTTGTTCATTTTAATTGTTCCCTTAATGTTATTGAATTAAACTTTTTATTATTTAATTTAATTTAATTTTCTCATTTTTTCCCAAACAATTTAATTCCAACAGCATGAAAACAACACCAACAACAACGCCAACAATTACCAAACAATCAAGTACAATTTGTTGTCGATTTAATTATCAATCGTTAATTATGAGTCTCCGTTCACCTCTTTGGACACTTTTTTATGAAACTTTATTATTTACAATTAAACGCATGTAAATTAACAATTAACTAATTCTTAATTATCATTTGATTGTGTCTGTCAACTTTGTGTTGCTTTTTGTTGTTTTGTCAAATTTGCAATCAAATAATTAATTATCTAAATTGTTATCAACGATTGCTTGTCCATGTTTTATAGTTTAATTGCATGAAATTCATTTCAAACAATCAGTTAATTGTATTATCCATAATCCTATGTGTTTACAGTACAATTAACTTTTGCTTTTGCATTTTGTTCATGTCTTAGTTGTTTTTATTATTATTGATTAACTCATCTAATTAGGTTATAATTAATAACTTTGTTTCTTAATTGTAATCATACAGAAGTCAAGCTTCATTAGCTCGTGATGGATTAGTCGAGGATACGGAAACAACTTTATCTAAAACTGATGTTGTCCTACAATTTACAATCGAAGTGGTTGTCATGGAGATTCGAGGTTTGAAATCATTGACACCCACTCGAATTGTTTACTGTACAATGGAGGTCGAAGGAAGTGAAAAACTGCAAACTGACCATGCGGAAGCTCAAAAGCCTTTGTAAGTTTGACCTTTGCAAAAAAAAGGCGATTTTGTCTGAACATTAGTTGAACTTGTGGATAACTTTGACCTTTGTTTGATACTTTAGGTGGGACACTCAGGGTGATTTTACAACTTCTCATCCCTTACCTGTGGTCAAGGTCAAATTGTACGCTGAACGTCCTGGGATATTGAGTTTAGATGATCAAGAGCTGGGAAAGGTCACCATTAAGCCGACTCCGTTAAGTACTAAAGCTCCCGAATGGTACAAAATGACGGTTCCCAAAAATGCCGCTGATCAAGACTTAAAGATTAAAATTATCGTTCGTATGGATAAACCTCAAAATTTGAAACATTGCGGTTTCCTTTTAGGTCAAGGTAAAGGAGTTTGGAAAAAGTGGAAAAAGCGCTATTATGTTCTGGTCCAAGTGTCCCAATACACCTTTGCCATGTGCTCTTATCGTGAGAAAAAGTCTGACCCCTCTGAGTTACTTCAACTGGACGGATTTACCGTTGATTATATTGAACCGATGCCTGAACTTGAAGGGGGTAAATTTTTTTTCAATGCAGTAAAAGAAGGTGATTCCGTTATATTTGCTTGTGACGATGAAAATGAGTGTCACCTTTGGGTTATGGCTCTTTATCGGGCCACTGGTCAAGCCCATAAACCCACACCACTTGTCCAGACAACCAAAAACTCAACCATCTCAAGAATCCAAGGTGACGCTGATCGTGCCCGTAAACACGGAATGGATGAATTTATCTCAGCTGATCCATGTAAATTTTCACACTCAGAGTTTTTCCGTCTACTACAAAGTGACACTTTAAGGTTTCGTCTTACTGATCCATACTGTTCCCTTGGTTGGTTCAGTCCGGGTCAAATTTTTGTCCTCGATGAATATTGTGCCCGTTATGGGGTTAGAAGTTGTTTCCGTCATCTATGTTACCTTAGTGACCTTCTTGATGCAGCGGAACGTGGACTTGCCATTGACCCGACCCTTGTACATTATTCATTTTCTTTCTGTTCCTCTCATGTTCATGGTAATTCAACCTCTGCACCGCCCATTGGTCAAGTGGCATTTGACATTCGACCCGATGGAATAGGTACCGTAACCAATGAGGAGAAAGACATGTATGCAGTAATCAAAGAGCGATTAGGAGCACTAATGGAATATCAGATCACAAATTTTCGTTACTGTTATCCCTTCGGACGACCTGAAGGTGCCCTGAAGGCGACACTTTCCCTTCTTGAAAGAGTTCTAATGAAAGATACTCGAACTCCTGCTCCACCCGATGAGGTTCGATCGGTAATTAAAAAGTGCCTTGAAACAGCGGCTCTTGTTAACTACACAAAAATATCTGAACAAGCTCGAATCGAAGGTGAGAATTGACAAAATTTCCAACAAGAAACAAAGAAAAAAAGTTCCAATTCAAACTTAACCGAATAAACTTTTTTCATGATTAAACAGAGAGAAGAAGAAAAAAATTATTTCTTCAACATGATATTTTCCAATTGAATCAGTTGATTCCAAATGATTGATAACTAATATAAATTGATTGTTAGTATTATGTTATTAGTTTATCAAGATGATAATAATGATAATCCATCTGAGAATTGAATTAAATTCAATACAAAGAAAATATTTAGTTGCAGTTCAGTTTTCAAGATAATCCAATTGATTCAAATATTGAATAAATATCTAAGAACTTTTCTTCACAGGAAATTGAATCGATTTCAATTGTGATCAAGGTTAATTGTATTTACTTTTTTCATGATAACTTTCAATGTTTCCTCATGGTAGTCTTGATATTAGTCAGTATAAAGGATTGAATCTAAATCATGAGAGAGAAAAAAAGTTCTGAACTTAAATTAGATCCCTGATGATGAATAATCAATGAAAATTGTGACTATTTTTAGATGGATTTTTCTTCATCTCTTACAATTAGTTAATTGTTGATCTTTTCCTTTGATCTATTAGATGTCGTTAATGATCCCAGTTTAAGTCCAACGGGCAAATTAAAGGAATTGGTTCAACTCGCTGAACTTTGCGTCGATTTAATTAAAGAAAACAACGAATATTATGCCGAGGTAAGTGAATTAAAGTTAATTGTTAACAATCAACAACTGAATTTAAGCTAATCAATCCAAACGCTTCCAAAATTTTGATTGCGTTTCATTTGATTGCTTAATTAATTGTTACCTTAGCACTGATTGTCATTCCTCAATTATTGTCATTCTTTTCATTTGAACTGTAAATTTTTGCTCGCTAATTGTTGTAATTTATTGATTATCTCGTTATATGTGGCACGTCCGACCGTCGATGTTAATTGTGATCATTGTCTCGTATTAACTATCCTCCTAAATTGAAACAATTACCAAACCATTGTTAATTGTTGATCGACTTTCTCTCTAACTCTCTATCTGTTTATATTATTACTTTAATATATTAATCACCTCATCAAAATAATCATCAAAACCAACAACAATTCAATATCATCAATACAACAACAAAAAAATGACGATGAACAACAACAAAAAAAACCATCATTTCCGTTTCCTTTTCCTACCTCCATCTCCTGATCCTCTCTCACGATTGCTAAATTTTCATATTTAAATTTTTCCTCATCAAAATGTTAATATTAAAATCACTGAAGTCATTCCGTGGGGTAAGTAACTTATACACAACAACCAACTTATCAATCAAAACAATCAGTTAATGATGATAACAGAATCAAGTCAATATCAGATATATTTACTAATAGTAAAAGCAAAAATATCTACTCGCTATTGTGAAAGAGGAAAAATAAACAATCATTATTATTATTTTCCAATAAGAAAATAGTTCTAATCTTCCGGTTGATAATCATGATGACGATTCCATGGTAACGATTGAATATACAAGATTTCATCACAATTTCTTTAAATAATCATTTTAAATGCTAATAAATAAATAAATAGAAAGAGAGAGAGAGAGAGAGAGAGAGAGATTTCCTTTAGTTTTATCATCAATTTAATGAAAAAAAGAGAGAAAAATAATAAAATATCAACTACTCATGGGAATAGAAAATGTTTCAAGTTCAAAGAGTATAAAAAAGTTCTTGTTTCCAATAAACATCTTGAAGAATCATAGAAATATAAGTCATGGTATATTTTCAGAACTTGAGGTTATGTATCTTGTAACATCTTAAATATTTTGTTCCATGTAAACATGATCTTATCTTGGAACAGAAAAGATAATAAGATTTTCCATTCGTGACAAAAAAAAGACGAAAATTTATTCAATCGATTGACAGAAGAAAAAAATTTCTATCATCATTCCAATAATTTTTCTTATTACCTTTCGTATTGTTTCATTTTCTTTTACCTGGAAAAGTTTATCGTCGTTCTTATGTCAACTTTCAACTTTGGAATAAAAATTTAATATCAACATTTGATATTCACTTATAATACTTATCATGAAGTAGGAATGAAAAATGAATTTGATATTGACTTGAACACTTTAATTAGATAGAGAAAATTTTCTCACTGTTGACAGAAATTTTCTAATCAAATCAAAATTATCATCATTCTTAATAACTAATCAACTGATTCCAAGTATCAGAAAATTAATTAATCTGCTGAAAATATTAATTAAACAAAAATTTTCTTTTTCTCCTCCATCAATAAAATCATTTTCTCGGACAATATTTAACTATTATCACGATGATGATAATTAACTAAATCCTATTGTTTGTTTCTCCTTGTATCCTTTTCATTTAAATTGTGTAATGAAACTTGTGTATAACAATTTAACACTCAAACTAATTGTCACTGTTAATTGTTTCCTTCCAAATCAACTAATTGTCCTTTAATCATCTCTCTCTCAATCATGATCATTGTTGTAATATTTATATTGTATCAATTGTTATTATTATTATCTTGGTGTTTGTTGCTTGTATTTTTTGTGCTCTGCATTACAAATGAAATTAGGAGGTCGTAAGTGTCAATTAATTGTGATTACGTTTAATTGTTTTTCCAGAATAATTTCAAACTGATAAATTGTTTCAAAAACATTTTCTATTCTCTCTCTTTATCGTTTCATGGAAACTGAATCATTAGGCTTTCGCATGGTTTTCAGATCTTCTCGTTGAACATTGTGAAATTTTCTGGTCTCTTTTTGCGGTTGATATGAACACTATTCTGGATGAACAATTACCTGATACATGGGAAAGTTTTCCTCTATTCCAAGTGCTCAACAATTATCTTCGAGTTGATGGTGAGTATTTTTCTCTCTCTTCTTCCAATTATTATTTCCATTCTCGAGTTTCATATAATACTTTTGATACTTTTCCTCATTAGAACTTTTCTCTTTCATTTCCTTTACTTTCTTATCCAATTTTCTTCCCCATGAATGGTAGAAATCCCTTCAACTGTATCAATCGTATCAGCCATTGTTTATGTTTACTAGAACATGTTAATTGTTGAAAGTTGATTGTCATTCACAATGATTAACATGATGGAACCATAATCAATATTTGACAATCGATTAATAATGATATTATATGTTACTTTTTTTTCTTGAAACTTTTTATTTCCCAGATGATGATGTTGATGATGATAATGATAATCATCATCAACATGAACATCTTAGACATTTCAACTCGATTCTCAGGTTCCATAGTTAATACATGAGAGAGATAACTTTTTATCCCCTGAATTCATGATAATACTGATTCTCTCAGGCTTCTTACATTATATCATATCCATTTATTATTACTTTGTTATGAATGTGTATTATTCAGACAGATATTATCATCATTATTATATGTTTTCTCCATCATCTTTCATGAGAATGATGATTATCTCATCATGACATTTTTATCTTCAGAACTTTTCTCTCTCTCTCTCTCATCATCTCGGTGTATTTACTTTTGTACCTCGGTGAAAAACTCATTTCTCTTTGTCTTATTTTTCTGCTTCTCTTTGATTCTCAATGACAATTAATCTTATCGCTATCAAGTTTCTCGCTGATTAATAACAATCAATCAAACATTGACAATTGATTAATCTATTAGCTAATTGAGTTAGAGAATGAGTGGAATTTACTTTTAATTAGATTATGTTAATCTATTAATCATCGAGTTAAGATTGTTCTGTTTCTAATTTCCTTAATTTTCTATTACAGAAAATCTTTGTGGAGGTCGATTCCATTCACATCTTCGTGATACCTTCGCACCTCAGGTCGTTCGTTACGTTGACCTTATGGAGTCTTCCATAGCTCAGAGTCTTCATAAAGGATTCGAGAAGGAAAAATGGGACTTTAAAGGGTAATTATCCTAATAATCAATCAGAATCCTCGTTAATCATTATCATTATTTCGTGAATAAGTTTATTATTCATTTTCTGTTATTTGATTACCAATCTTATTGATAATAATTTGAAATTGAATTATAATCTGTCTGAATTACAATTAGCTTTACTTATCATTAGTTTATTATCATAACTTATTTGCTATTTGATCTGATTCTGATTCTCATGTTTATATTTAATGATTCATTGATTATCTTATCAAGACTCTCATCTAATCATTGAAATGTATTAGTTTATGATAATCAACTTGATCTATCTTATTATTATTAATATTATTCAAGGATAATTTAATTATTCATAAAATACTTTCAGCATGAGGGCCTGAGCAATTTACCCTCTTAATCTTAACCATTCATTAGCGTTAATTAAATTTCATATGATCGCGATGCAGCAATTGAAATGATGATTATGCTCGTTGAAATATCTCTCATGATATCTAATGATCCATCATGTATTGGAACAATTTATCTTATTATATTTATCGTATTTGTATTGATATAAATGAATAATTAGGACGGTGGGTTGTTCAACCTCAGAGGAATTATTTTGGAAACTATCTGCTCTTCAAGATTTCATCCATGACCTTTTCTGGCCTGATGAAGTTTTCGCAAACCATTTGGAACAACGGCTCAAATTAATGGCCTGTGATATGTTAGAATCGTGTTTAAATCGTACCTTGGCTGCCTTTCAAAATTGGGAAAAAAAGGGAACCCGATTTGGTAATCCAACGGATTATATTATTCCATCCGAAATGTGTACAATGATTAACGTGGTTTTAGAGACAAAAAATCAATCACTTAAATTGTGTACCTTTGAAAATGGTGATGTGGTTAGTAAATAATTTAATTCTCTCTCAAACTAATCAACTTTAATCTTTAATACAAAGATCCATATATTACTAGTATTAGTAATATAACTGTTAATCTAATGGATTAGTAATAAACTGTTTGGATAACATTACCAATGGAAATTCAATGTCCTTTGGTTGCCTTTTATATTGTACAAAATTTTACTCTAGTTAATTACTTAGTTGATTAATTTGTATTTACTTTATTTATCAATTAGCATCAATATCACAGTAAAATTGACCAATTAGTGGACAAAGCATTAATTGAAATGCAAACAGGAATAATTGCCAAGGTAAGTGACAAAAATTCAATACAATTTTAATTCATGTGCTAATTGGGTCATTTTCTTTGTTCTAATATAATTATAATTGATTAATTAACTCTTTTCTTGTTCTTTATCATGATGTTCCCATGAATTAACAGTTAACTGGAATTCTGGAAGCAACTCTGAGTAAATTATCTCGATACGATGAAGGAACTTTTTTTGCTCCAATTTTAACCATAACAGTAAGTATATCAATGGTCATTAGAATTAGAATTATTCTGAATTAATTAACATTCAATTAAGTGTCACAACCATCAACATGGTGATGATTGTGATGATTGGTCAAATGTTGGTCACTCATGATCATCAACAAATCATCAACTAGAAAATGTTATTCATAATCAATCAATTCAAATGACAAAACCTTTACCCTAACCCTGGTTATTTGTAAGGTTATCAAGTTAACCAGAAAAAGTCAACCAAAATGTTAATCATGATGATAAACATTTACTATCATTTAGTAATCAATAAATAATATTTAAGACTCAACAATGAACAGTTGATAACCTTTAATGGTTATCATGATTTAGCATTCAGTAAGTTTTATCAAGATTATTATTATTATGTTAATCTTTGATAATGATAACAAGTTTCATTTAGTGATGACGATGAAAGATTGATAATCAATCATAATCTCATCAAAATCCTTTCAACAAAAGGATTAAATTTACAATCAATTGAATTATCATATTAACAATAATACAATTTCCACTTCCTATTTATGGATAATACCACAAACTAAAGGGTGTTTCACTTAATTTCAGACAAAAAGGAAAAGTACTAAAGTTAAGTTATTAGAGTATCTTACCTGAGGTTGAATGTAAATCAAATTGAATTGTTGTTGATGAAATGGTCAAGAAATGATAAAACTGTTGTGATTGTCACTTTCTTTACGATTGGATCTTAATTTTTACTTAATCTCTGGTGAGATACTCTAATTGTAACTTTCCTTTTTGTCTGAAATTAAGTGGAACACCCTTTATATGATAATTATGAGAAAAAAATTCTCTCAGTGATAAAAATATTATCATCACTTTGATATTTTCTCCCATCGAAACAATTAACAATCGTGGTTAGATTTATATTATTAGAGGAAGATAATCATTTTACTAGAAATATAATTCGCTTGGAAAAATATTTAATACAATAAACACATAGAGAGAGAGAGAGAGAGAGAAAAGATAACATAATAATAATAATACTACGAACATGTTAACATCCGTAGGATAATATTGAGAGTCAAGGGAATCACCGAGAAGATGTACCAGAATTTTATCATCTTCCTCCCAGCGAGAAGATGATTTTGATGTTGATAGAATTTTTTGTTTTCATCTTCATCTTCCTTGTTTTCCTGGTTCTTTTATCTCTTCAATACCCTTACCCAATTAGTCTCATAGTCACGTAGGAGTTTTTTATCATGTTAACCCAAAAATCTTATTTTTATCAACTTGCAGATTCACTTTCACAAGTACCAACATCCTCATCCTCATCCTCATCCTCACCTTCAGCTTCGTGACCAATGCTAATTTATTCAAGAAAAAGATTCCAAATGAAAATAATATACATTTTCTCATCCTCATCTTCATCATCTTTAGCCCTTAATCTGTAATAAGTACAGTGCAAATACCCCTTTGAATATATTTATATTTTTTTCTTCTTCTTCTCAGATTTTGTAACGCAAATGAGTTGATGTGAATTCATGTATTCTGAATCTGAATGACTATAATTTCACCTTAAGGTGTAGTAAATTCTGTTACCTTCAATTTAATAATAATACATTTTAAATCTTAATTCAATCTAGGAACTGAATATTATTGTTATGGTTAGTTTATCTTGATTATCATGAAATTTAGTTTATTTCAACTTTAAATTATAAATTTTCTCTCTCTCTCTCTCTCTCTAAGTAAACATCCAAGTGAAAATATCATGGAAATAATCATGATATGTAATGTTAAATATTTATGAATGTTTATTTATATCAATTCTGATTTTCAGCTTCCAAATTCATTTCCATCATGTAAATACATGGAAATATCAATCAATTTTAATAATAATTACAATCATCTCCATAATGTTGAATGTTTATTAGTTTTCCAGGATAAACTTGAGATTCCCTGAACAATAATATCAGATTGAAGATAATTATGATTCTGAGTTTCTGAGATAATAATAAATTATCAAGGATTATCATCATCACCATTCTTGATTAAAGTGTAACATTGATTATTCTTGAGATTAACTGTTAATTTAATTATATACAATAATCTCAATACATATTGTTACTTTTTGATTACGTTAATTTCAACCATTACTTTACTGTTGATATTAACATTGATCTTAATTGTTGATTAATTGAATTAATTTTATAACAGAAAATGTAAATATTAATAAGTTTTTCATTAATATAATTCAACATGATTCAAATTATAATTTATCCTTTTAACAATCAACAAAGAGAAAGTAATTAACAAAAATTACCATTCTAATCAGTTATTAATCTAATTGTAAACCTTAAATTAGCTCAAAATGATTAATTAAATGTCATGTTCATTGTTTACAAATTTTTCTTTACAATTATCGGTCTTTTTTTTTATTCATTCATCTTTTTCTCCTTCAACCAACTGATTACAAATCTTGATTTGATTAATTAGTCCTAATTAATATCATCTTTTTCCTTGTTAATGTTTACAGTATAAACAAGGAGTCTCGAGTAGTGGTAAAGAGATTGGTAAATCCTATGTTAATTTTGTTCGTGTTAATCTTGAGCAATTACGTCAAAAAGTTGCTGATGAATTATGGGTTCTTCATGTTCTCGAGGTAATTAAATTGTTCACCTAATTATCAATTAATTATCAATTTAATTCTCTTGTTAATTCTTCATTCATTTGCAGCAATGGTACACCAATCAAATGAATATGATTTGCTCTTGGCTTTCTGAGCGGATTGATCATGGATTACATTCAGTTCAACTATCAGCATTGTCCAATATCGTCAAGGTATTTCAATCTAATAATTAATTAATAACAATTTATCCTTCTGTCTATGTTAATGAAAAGTTAATTTGAATCCATTTTAAACTCCTAAATGTTGCATCATTTGGATAATGTTGTAGTTGTTATTAGTTTCCTGTTAATCTGATTGCGGATTTGATAAACTTTATAATTAATTTGTTTTCTCTTTTGGATTATTTTTATCATCAGAGGATTTATTCCGATTTTGAACTTCAAGGATTCGAGGAGGATAAGGTTAACTCGAAAAATTATCAAACTGTTATCGCTCGTATCCAAATGGAGGAAGCAGCGGCTTCGGTTAATAATGAAAGTCTTCGAGAAGATGATGAAAAGTGAGCAATTAGTATATTGATTGTGATTTGATTCTGTTTGTGTCATCCGGTTTTACTTGGAATACGGATATTGAGATGATTAAGTTAATTGTTGTACTAATTTGATTTTTTCTCTTCCTTTCCAGTGATATGGCAAATGGTAGTCAACCAACAGCAACTCGTAGGGTATCAACAATGTCCCGTGGTGACTCCGATCCTGATGGTTCATATGTTAGTCGTATTCAGAATGCTACACAAAATGTCATGGGTAAAATTGGAGGTATCTCAAGATTAACTGGTAATCTTGGTGGTAACATTGCAACTAAATTTGGTGGTGGATTCATGAAATTTTGAGATTAAATTCAATTCCATATATATTGAAAATATCATAATTCCACAGATTATAATCTTTATAAATATATTTTCCCTTCTATTAAGGTTATTTCAAATTCAATTGTTACTGTTACGATTTTCGTTGAATCCAGAAACAAAAAGTACAACCGATTTACCTGTGTTTTTGTCTAAGTGTTTACCTGTCAACAGAAGCGAAAGAGATAAAGAAAGAGTTAAATGATACTTAAACTGCCTTGGAACATATTTTATCATCATTACAATATCATCATCATCATCATCATCAATTACAACAACAACAACAACAACATAATCCCAGAGTAACAAATATCCAACCAGATAAACATCATCATCGATTATCATGTAATTACATTTACATGTCTATTTATTTAGTCTATTAAATGTTTCTATTTGAATGTAAGGAGAAACTTAATTATCATGGTTACCTGTTAATTAACGTAAAATCCACGAGCCTGAACAATGGACAGAAAAGTTCATTTTGATATAAATACTATTACCATCGTCCCAGTTGATTGAAAAATATTAATATATACTAAATCTCGATATATATTAGCATTTGATTCAACCAATGCTACTTAATATGATCTCTCTCTCTCTCTCTCTCTCTCTCTCTGCTTTTCCCCTCTGGGTAAACAAAAGATTATCATTATCCTGATAAACATATAAATCCTGATCTCATATTGAAGTTGAAACAAAAGAAGCGTGAAAATATCATCATCACATTGATCTTTATCCTCATCCTTTTGTCATCTTTAGTTATATATCTTTTTTTTGTTCTTATTCACTTTTTCAATTCTGGTTTATTTTTACTCGAACCTTGTGTAAAACTCATCTGAGATCAAAGAATTGAACATGATCTATAAATTATTCATCAACTAATACAATTTCCACATGATGTCTCCTTGGTACATGGGGGAAAAAAAGAGGAATACAAATCTATTATTATTATTATTCCTGGAGAAAAGTTATCATCATCTTTATCATCATCAAACTCATCATTTCCATCAACTCTGTATTTGTACAAAGATCAGCAAAGAAACTTAAAAATACTGAACAGAAGCAAAAAACTTTTTTCCAATGTCAAGAATCAATTGACAAACTAATTGGATGTTTTATTAATCGTTGATAATTTTAATGAATTAAATTAAATTTCTGAGCAATTATTCAGGTCTATTATCATTATCTCCCTTGATTATTTACTACTACTAATTGATTATTTCTCTAATTCAATCAGCTTAACTGTTCATCAATAAATCAATGGAATTTAATTCAATTCAAATTATTACTATTTGATTAACCTTTTAGGTTGATCAAAGTTTATTAATAGATCAATGAAAAAATCAATGACTTTTTTGATACAATATCGATCACCTCGAACTTGTCCAACGAGCTTAATTATTAACGTGAAATTTAGTTCTAATTATTTTATTTACTGACAGTCTTTAACATCTGATTAATAAATTAGTCGATACAATTAACATTTTAAGCTTTTCCAATTGAAGAAACATTATCGAATTGAACTGATAACATTTTTCAAGAAAATTCTGTAAAAATTGATCAGATTATTTTGATTTAGTGACTGGTTGACGATGACTACGATTCGAGTTCTAATGCCTAATTCAACGGGACTAGTTTACGTTACAGGGCCGACAACTTTGACCGGCATCGGTGCTCCGTACACAAAGTTCAGAGTATTATCCATACTCGACAATTTGAACATTACATTTGTCCCCACGATCCATACGACTGAATGTACAGACGATGGACTATGTTCTGGAGACCTACACGATTTACAAACGGGTAAAGGTGATTACGCTAGGCCACGACCTTTGAATGTATTAAACAACATTGGTACCAATTTGACCACAGTCGCAGTGGCCTGGGAGTATGAGTGTTTTCTTGCTTATAAGAAAATATTGAAACTGAATGTAGATTATTCAACTTTTTCGATTTCATCTACTCTTTTGATTGGTACTTTTGGATAATATTTTTTACTCTGTTTGGCCTGATTTCGATTATTTTATGTTCCATAATCAAGTTAAATTCACCGTCGATTAAATTAACTAGCATTTTGTGGAGCCAATTTGAATCGATTGTCGGTCAAAATTACAATACAATATCAGACTTGACCAAGAGATCATTTCTCATCTGGTTCATGTTTTCAATTCTAATCATTGGGATCATATTATCGTGCTCATTACAAACTGGCCTAATATCAAATGTCGATTATATTAAATTAGATACACTTTCAGACGTTATCAGATATAATTACAAACCGATAATATCAACTGTCACTAGTTGTATACCAATGCTAAGAAATAATCTCTCTCCGATTGCTCAACAAATCTCGTCACAGACTGAGGTCATTAAGTACAAATCGGCTACTCATTTCTATCAATTCTGCAAGCAAGAAAAGACAGTGACCATTGCGGACATAATCACCTTCGAATCAGTAAAACATAGCGGTTGTTCAGTAAATGAAGAGGACGAGAATCGAAATCCATTCAGCCGATCAGATCATTTGCTCTACAATTCAATCGCAATGTACATGATTAACCGAAACTCTTTACCAGTGATCAATCGTATAATCATTAGAAGAGCATATACTGCATACGAAAATAACTTTATCAGAAATAGCGATATGGTCAAAATCGTGAACAAATACTTCGGGAACACAGAAGCTCGTCTATCATGTATCGATGCAAAAGTGGAAAATCAGGAATCAGTCTCTCCGATAACATTATCGTATCTTTTAATACCTTTCGCTATTCTAGCATTGGGATATTTACTCGGATTTTTCTCTCTATTCATTAAATACCAACCTAGGAATGAAAATTCTGCACGATTATCAAGGTTTTTTCTGTTTCTACGCCAGATCGTATTTTAATTAATGAACAAAATTTGACTAGAGTAGATTGTGATTGAACAATTTGTAAACTAATAGTTAAGATTAAAGTTGATATTCCAATGCTATCTTTTATTTAGGTAAAAGCCAAGAATGACAATAACTTATCACTATTTTGGTTGCACAATACATTTGTCGCTGAAGACATCAGAATAAGCTCAACACAAAACGATACATTTCTAATGACTGTTAAATTGACAAATTCTCAATTATTCATTATTCTGTATTTGTATTTTATCAGTGAAATTTGTCCAAATTATGGTTCAACTAAAAAATAATGTTTGTATCATCGACAATAGTAATAAGTTTGTAACCAAAGCATATAATGAAATGGCCCAGTGCATTTCTTGACCCTCTCTTGTGCTATGAATAAACTTTATTACCCAAAGGCTGACAAAAATATTGGAATAATAAAACTTAATCAAGGGCGATGACAGTTCTGAGTTTTGAAAAGAAACTTATCACAAATGAAACTCTGGTCAAAATCGTAGATATCGTATGGGGAATAAAATTATTCGCACAGAATATAAAAACATTAATCCGTTTAAACTTCGATTCCTTTAGCCCGTGTTAATTATTCATAATCATTTTTCTCCCTTTTATGCAAAGGATTGTGATGAACATTTTTATTACAAATCCGAAGTTAATCCGATAATTAGTTCCCGAGAAATCACTTGCTGAAATCGTTCTCATTTTTATTCCCAATACGTTACATATCTTGATAATCGAGATCCACCACAATATTGTTTCGATCTAAAATAGAATCTGTGACCCAACTTTCGTCAAACCATCGATTAGTCCGTTCATAACTCTCGAGATGTTTGATCGGATTCTTACTAATCCGACGGACAGAATCGAGGTTGACTTGGATAGTTGATTTTCTTATTCAAAGACGAAGTATACTTACATGTATTATGGATTCTAATGCCTTTTACTGAATTATTTTTGTACAATTATTAATACTTTAGTTACTTTCGATTAATAAAGTTTTTTTCATTAAAATAAATCATCAAGCTAAATATTGATTCGTAAACTTAATTATTGATGTACTTCAATTGCATCAAACACACTGGTTTGTAATGATGGACAAGATTATGGAATAAATTTCCAATAAGTTGACAAACAGTATTATTAATACGAAATGGCCTCGGTTCGAGTTTTAATTCACAATGTGACAGGACTAGTTTACGTTACGAGTCCAACAACGATAAGTGGTATTGGTGCTTCTTATACTCGGTTCAGAGTATTGTCCATACTTGATAATCTTAATTTAACGATACTTTCTACTAACTCTGGTGCTAAATGTTCAGATAATGGTCTGTGTTCTGGTGGTTTACGTGATCTACAAACGGGACGAGGTGATTATATCAGACCGGTACTTGTTCATCCACTCAAAAGCCTTGGGACAAATTTGACCGTCGCATCAATGGCTTGTGAGTCCAATTGTTTTCTTGTTTATAAGAAAAATTTGCAACTTAATGAGGAATATTCAACCTTTTTCGATTTCATTTATTCGTTCGATTGGTACTTTTGGGCCATATTCTTGGCGCTTTTCAGTATGAAAACATTGGTTCTAATCATTTTTTTCAAACTGAATTCGCTACATGAGAAATTGTCTCACATATTATGGGAACAATTTGAATCGATTCTCGGTCAAAATCAGAAGAACCTGTCACCTTACAAAGGTAAATTTCTGATAACTTTACTCTTGATGACATTTTTCTTGACTGGAATATTATTATCGAGCTCATTACAAACTGGCCTAGTATCAACGAGTGATTATCTAACATTGAATTCTTATGAAGATATTATTGAAAATGACTACAATCCGATCACCGCGTCCGTGTCTATGTGTGGTTCACATAATCAAAATGAATTATTGACCGGAAAACCTGGAAAACAACTGATATTATTCAATATCGATCAGCGGCCGATTTTTATAACCTAAATTCAAAAGATAAATATGTATCCATTATCAATGAGATTATCTATGAAGCTATCAAACATATCGGTTGTAGTACCAATCAGGAGGATGAGAAACGGAATCCATTAGGTAAATCAGATAGTCCAATTTCAAGAACAATTCAAATCTATTTGATCAATCGATACAATTCCCCGGAGGTTAATCAGATCATTACCAGAAGGATCTACTCTAGTTTCGAGCACCAACTTATAAGAAATGAGGATTTAATCAAAGTAGAAAATAAATATCAACGTTGGTCTACAGTCGTGTATGAATTTCAAAGTGGAAAAACATCAATCAACAGCTCGAATATCGTTTAATTATTTATTCATTTCTTTCACAATTTTAATCATAGGATATTTGATTGGGTTCACAATTTTGGTGGTACAATCATCAATTATCAATCGTGTCCAGCTAACTTGATTTTTATATTTTCCAATAAGATTTTATTAATTGTTAAAATTCATATAAAGAAATGAACAATCGTTTGGATCTAAACAAAAAAGTAAATACTTGAAATCGGTTAAAAGTGATCTCGATCCGAGTTCTGATACGAGTTTATCATGCAAATTTCCAACTTCGACTGGTAGCTTTTCGTAGACTTAAATCGTTACAATCAATTTGCTGATTATCTTAATCATTTCATCATTTTCTAAAGATCGTATTGTTACCACTCAATTAATGGTATCTAATTAATTGTTAATATTTATGGTGATATTTAAACAAGTTTAGCATCTTTCGCCATTGAATAAAATTCCGTCTTATCATTTGCTAGTAAATTGTTTGGGGAATCGTATTCAATTATGGTTCCTTTATCCATTACCATGATTTTATCATAATCCATGATAGTGTTAAGTCGATGAGCGATTGTTACAATTGTACAATCGGAAAATTCCCGTCTAATTGTTTGCTGAATTAATTCATCGGTTTCTACATCAACTGCTGCCGTTGCTTCATCAAGAACCAGAACTTTAGTTTTCCTGAGTAGAGCTCGAGTTAAACAAACTAATTGTCGCTGTCCAACACTTAGATTTTCACCTCCTTCGGCAATCTCATAATCTAGACCTTGATCTAAGGTACTAACAAACTCTTTAAGATTTGCTTGTTCAAGTGCTTTCCAAATTTCTGCATCCGAGTATTTACCGAATGGATCAAAGTTATTACGGAACGATGAGGAAAATAGAACTGGATCTTGTGGAATTACAGTTAGTCGAGATCGAAGATCGTGTAAACCGAACTTGGTTATATCTTCATTATCGATTTGAATAACACCATTAGCAGGTTCGATTAAGCGGAAAAGAGCCAATGTCAATGAAGATTTGCCGGCACCAGTTCGTCCAACAATTCCGACCTTTTCGTTTGGATTTATGATGAATCCAATTTGTTTCAAAACTAAGTCAAGTCCAGGTCGATAGCGAGTACTGTAATCTTTGAAAACGATTCGTCCACTATCCGGCCATTCGGGTCGAGGTTTATGATTTGGATTAATCCAATCAGCCTAATAGATGGGAATGAGATTAAATCGATTTAAATAAATATTAATTAGGGTTAATATTACAAACTTACTTCGATCCCTATCTTAGTGTATTCCATACACCTTTCGATACACACAATATTTGTTTCAATGTCTGAAACAGCTCGAACCATCATGTTCAATATATAAGTAATTTGAAGCGAGTACGAAAGTGATAAACCAGTTGATCCAGGACTCGATCGATCTCTAGTTAAAACTGCAAAAGCAGCGGCAAGTGTAACAATCAAGTTACCAAGAAATTCAAGTCGAACCGCAAGCCAACGGGAAGCGGCGAGATTTGGGAAAATGAGCTGTTGTTAATATCACATCGTCGATAACATTCTTTAATGAAACGATCTGAGGCATTGTAGGCACGAATTGAGGTCGAACCATTAACGGTTTCAGAGAAATGGGTGTAAATTGGTGACCGAGTAATAGATCCAATTCGGCATAATTGTCGTGATGAGGCGATATAAAACTTCTGAACTGTTATATAAATCACACCTAGAATAACGATAGCAATCACCAAGTAAAAAGACTCTGTACAAATACCAATGATAGAAACACAAGCTCGAAAGAATTGGGTTGTGAAAAATGCTATATTTAAACCAATTGTACTATCAGCTGTATCGATGTCCTTAGTAAAACGATTCAAGACTCGTCCCAATGGTGTAGTGTCAAAGAAGGACATTGGTGCTCTTACTACTCGATGAAGCATCTGATCGTGAATCCAAGCTGAACCGGTTAGAAATGCGAGATTAGAAATAAGTGAATTTCCAAGAATAAGTGCCGATTCCGAAAAACCAAGAGCAGCGTAAATACCAAGTCGTTTATTACGAAGAGATTTGTCGTTAGATGCACCAGGGATTAGCGAGTCGTCAGACCAAGCGGTTAACCAAAGATTGGTACCAAAGTTAAACGCAGATGAACCTACATAAAAAGCAATGGCACTGAAAACAGCCAAGAGTCCAATGGCTCTGAAGTAGTCAATGTAAACGCTCAATTTGACTGAGCCCGTTTCGGTTCCTTCCATTTCCACCAATTTGTACGAAGGTCCCTCTTGACTTAATGGGTTAATTTCACTCGCTGATGGGGCAGTGTCGATTGAAGTCTTTCGTCGACGAATAGATGATTGTGTTCGTTTAAGTTTACTCATTGCACCAATCGACATAACTGAGTCCATTCTGTTGAATGTTGACCGTCTCTCAGCGACCACGTCATGACCAACAACCTCTTTTATTTGTTCAACAATTGTAGCATCTTCACCTTTAAGATCTTCATCATTTGCTTCGGCTAAATATTGGATGATGAAATCAGAGAATTCACCTTTCTTGTCCATAAGTTCGTGATATGTGCCCGATTCATGAATTTGTCCATCTTTCATAACGATAATTTCATCGACTTGAGGTAAAAAGGTGATTCGATGAGTGACCAATAGACGAGTTTTGTGCCTTAGAACACCTTTAGGTCCAATTACTTTATCAAATAAATGGGAAGCGACATGAGAATCGACGGCTGATAAAGGATCGTCCAAAAAGTAAACATCTGAGTTTGCATAAACAGCTCGAGCGATTGAGATTCGTTGTTTCTGTCCACCTGATACATTGATTCCTCTCTCACCGATCTCAGTTAGATCACCTCCCGTTAGAATCTTAAAATCTGGTGCTAAAGCACAAGCCTCAACAACACTGTTATACTTGGTCTTTGAATATGGTTCCCCGAATAAGATATTGTCACGTACTGTAGCGTTTTGAATCCAAGCTGATTGAGGTACAAAAGCAACGTGACCGCAAACATTTGCCGACCCTTGTTGTTTATGAAGATCACCCAGAAGAGCTGAAAGGAGAGATGATTTTCCACTACCAATTGTCCCAACAATGGCCACTAATTTATTCCGTTTAATTGAGAGATTTATATTCTTAAGTACTGGTTGCTCATCATATGACCAAGAAAATGTCGCGTTCTTAACGGTCAAAGGAGTTTCGTAAGCTGGTTCATGTGTTATCGTATTCGGATTTAGTTCATCTCCTTGTAAATATTTGTTTATACGCTTCATTGATATCAGGAACTAATTGAATATTTAGATTAGTCAATTAATTGAGAACAATAAGTTTCATCACTTACATTTGCACCTAAAGTTACAACCATTGGTAAGACAGCGAGAGGACCTCTTAAAATATCAATCAAAGAAATCGAGACGAAAGCTTTGTTAGCGTCTAAGACATTTGTCGGACTGATGAAGATGAAGGTCGCAAACTAGTCAGTGAAACCTAGAAAATATCAAATGAAAATTTAAGTGAAAAATTCGAAAAAGTTTGAAATTCTAATTACCAAGAAAGGAGCAACGGTGAAAGCAAAGGTTACTCCTGTTGACCAAACGGCTTGGAGTTTAAGATATCGAATTTCTTCAGCTCTTATCG